GGCGAACATTACAACACCCATTCACGCAACACTCACTTGAATAATCGAGTTATCACACCCCGAGTGCCACATATATGGAGAGCAGCAGCTTGGAAATGAAAATGATGCAATAAATTGCAAAACTGCAAACTGCGGTTTGAAGCTGGTTCAGATGAGTGCGGGTTATGCAAAAAGAATTTAAGAGAATCGAATATCATAAATCATAAAAAGAATTACGAGTTATTTAGATAATTGAAGATGCATTTTTAAATTATTATTAAAATTCGTATTGTTACAAAAGAGAATATTAAATAAATTAAATAGATAGTTAGAGATAGAAAACTATATTACATCAAACAAAATATTTTAACAAATGAATACATAAGAACAGTTCTAATAAATTACAACCCAATATTATTAATGTATTAATTTAATTTATTTAATATTCTCTTTTATAATAATGCAAATTATTTATTTACAATTTGTTAAATTCGATTTCAATGTCAATGTTTCGATTCCAGTGAAGTTGAAATATTGACATATTACTGTTCTTGAGACAGAATTTAGTATAATATATTACAATTCTAATAAGATGATTTTGAAATTAAATTGAATTTAAACGGATTAATAAATATTATCATCACTCGAGTAAAAGCAAGATCTGATTCAGTTTGCAAATTCTTCGCATGCAGTTGACTGACAAATTCTATAAATAGAGATTAGCAACAGGCGGCAGCAGCTGTCCGGGGTCCGTCGTAAAACTGGGTTACTTAGGGGCTGTAAATCAAGTATCGGTAGTGCTTTGGACCCCAGCTTCTCGATTTTGACTGGGACAAACAAGACAGGCAGCTTGCTCCGCGTGGACGCATTTGTTCAAATGCGCTATTCATTCGATTCAGGGGCGGGTTCTGAGAGCCCACACCATCGACTTGGCCATAGTTGGAGCCTCGAGTTGGCCCGAAGGCATGGCTGCTGTACGTAGACACCATTAAGTGGATTGTATAACTGCTTACAATGTTCCTATATAGTTTTCGTACTGTTTTTTTTGGTGGGGCTCGAAGACAAACAGGAAATGCCGCAGCCAAAAAATCGTTGACCGAAAAAGGCAAACACTTTTTTGTGCTTTTACTCTTTTTAGTTTTTTGTTGCTTTTTTTGTTATTTTTTTGCAAGTTACGAAAAGTCAAACAACTAACGAAATTTAATACAATTTTGTACGGCAGATTGTTGTTGTTTGTCAGCTGCTTCCCACCTCCCAAAAAAATCTGCGGGCTTTTGCTCGAAATCTGACAGCGAGCTGTCAGTCAGAATTCCCCTGCCCCTTTCCTCTTTTATTTTTTTGAAATATCCGAGTGGGTGTTTTCCTATCCGCGAGGCACTCGAATATCTTTCGGCTGCTCTCAGTGTAATTCAATAGTCGCCGGTTGCTGTTGGCGGGTCGCATTCTTGGAATTGATTGTGCCTAATGAAATGTTTCATTAGCTGAATATAGGGTTTCATGCTTTTGCGCGGCTGCCGTGTTTGTGGAATTTGAGCAATTAGAAATTATTATTTGCTTCGGTTAACAGCTAAGGGGTTTCAAAAGGCTTATTGCCGCCAAGTTTGTGACTTGTGATTATTTAATAAAATTTTGACAATATCATAAAAAACCCCGCTTGAAGCTTAGATTATTTTCTTTATTTTGATTTCTTTATTTTTTATTTAATTAATGCTTGATCATAAAATTAATTGACTCAAAAGAGTCATAATTGTATAATACCTTTTTAATCCGCACAAGTTTGTGCCTTAAGTCTTCTGTTTTTTGGCTTAAAAAAGTATATTAATTTTATATTATTATATTACAAATAATTCTATATTTTATCATTACTCTTTTATTAGTTAAAATATTAATCAAATATTTGTAATTGCGGGGGAGTCAGTTAAGATGAATCATTTTTGTTTTTCACAAAATCCACAAGTTCGTGTCTTAAATCTTTTGATTTCACTGGAACTGGATTTTCCATTTTGGGTTGTTTGTTTTCAATTTTGTTATTAAACAAACATAATTTGCGTAGAATATTCTTCTTGGAAACTCTAACAATGAATCACCATCGTTTTTCATTTCAATTTGAAAGCATAAATATTTTAAGATTCAACTAGATTTTCCACTTTCGATTTTTGTGGTTTTTTCCTACCACATGATTCATGCTACATGTCTAGAAAATTATTTATTAGAAGCGGATTTTGGCGCAACTTGAACTAGATTTTCCACAGTCGATTTCTGTGGGTTTTCATGCCACATAAACCCATCCCCCAGGCGGAAGCAGCCATCAGCCATCAGCCGTCTGTATAATCAAATTGTAAACGGGGAAATAGCCACATAGAAATCCATCACAACATGCATTCCCCCATTCACAGAGTATGCAAAAAACACTCCCCGAAAGCAAAAATTAAAACCACCAAATCGGAACCAAACCAACTGAGCAAAAAAGCAAATACGATCCATGTGAATACGATCCATGGGGATCGATTTGAAAGGCTATAGGCTTCATTAGCTCTTTGTTCGTGCTCAGAATGCAGGCAAATAAAAAACATAAACATTAAATTGGAATTTTCTTCGCTTCATTTATCATCTCTGGTAAATTTGGAGCGAACTGTGATCGTAATTGAAGTGGGTTTTAATTAAGAAAAGTGAACTGTGATCAGGCGAAGGTCAGCAACAATGGGGAATTATGATTGCTTTGTTTCTAGCATTTTGCAGAATTCTTTGTTCAGCTTGGGCTTCAGTTTTTTTTGGGGTCAACCGAGCAAGTTTAAGTTGCGTAAGTTACAAAAATCGGGGGGGTTTGAAGTGGATGAAGAGGCTGCGGGGGCGAGATGGTTGCGCAACAGAAAGAAACTCCGTTTTTTTTCTGTTTTGTTACCGTTTCGACAGGCAGCAACAACAATAACAACAACAACTAACGACTGACAATAAAGTAAACAAAATTGCGCGCCAAGGAAAACGTGATTTTCCACTTTTGATCGCGCCCAAAAGGAGTTCGCCTCGTCGGGAGTCATCTCAGGCGATTCTCACGTAACCGAAAGACTCTGCGGCAACATATGTTGCAGCTTCAGAGTCCATGCAACCAACGAAGCAACCAACCAACCGGTTGGTTAACTTGGGCCTCCAAATCGGGGCAGCTACAAATTTCATTCATCGAGAGATGAAGCCGCCCGCTGGTGGCCAGTGGCCACTTTTACTCTCGTTTCGGGCCAAAAACACAGCGGAAACAGTCGCAATAATTTGCTCGCAATTTATTTCGTTGCGTTAGCCGATCAAATAAATCTCCATCTGCTCACACGGAGCTTGTGCTTTTGATACTTTTAGTTATGGCCACTCCATGGCGACTCCAACACGCGAATATCTCGCAAATGGACCGCAATTTGCTATATTACTTTTTTATTTTTTGGGGGAGTGGTTGGGAAAGCGTCGTATTGTATTTGTTGGCGCATTATGTCATTGGTCTTTAGGTGGAAATTCAATTAGCTGTTGGTCTTGGAAAGATTTTTAATAAATTTGGGGCTAGCGATTATAATTAACCAAAATAAAATATAGCTTAATGTTCTTTATAAATTTTAAATTCTTAATAAAAAATAATTGCGCAATTAAATAGACGACTAATAAATTTGGGCATTTATTTAAATAATTCTTATTCTTTTTGCTATTAAAAATTTCCAAAAATAATTGTGGGTGTTAAATAAAAAAGTGTTTGAAAGGATTTACATACAAGTGCTGATGTAATATGTGTCTGTTTAAGATATAATTAATGGCCGAGTTTAGTCAGCTGACAGTTCAGTCATAAATCAATAATATTAAATATTATGCATATATTTTTAACGAATAAAAAAGGCTAACAAAATTCCCCCCTTCAAAAGGTAAGTTCATTCTTTGCGGTTCAATTATTTTGATTATTCCGAAAAGTGTCTCAACAACAATTAATTAAAGCGCCATAAATTGCGTCGAGTCGCAAGACGTACACACATATAATAAGCGAGTAACGAAACGAGCACGAAATTAAAATAAAAATGTCAGCGGCAGCCGAAATTGGCCAGCTAACTTGGCTCAGAGCTGCTCCACCCACTCGAAAAACCCCCTCCTTCTCCTTCTTCTACTTCGAAGCAATGGAAGTTTATGACGGAATGCTGAAAGTAATTGAAGCGTAAATGATTAAACGTGCGGGTGGCTCATACATTAGAATAATTGCCAGAAGTATTATTATTCGAGCTCCAACCTTAACCATGAGTAGTAATGCCGAACCCAAAGTAAAGCCAAATCGAGTCATCTGCCATTACGCATACGCCACGTGAACCGGTTCGATTCGATTCGACGATGCTGATGTTGATTTTGTTATTGATTCAGCTGCTACTGGTGGCAAAGTTGCTGCTGCCGTGAAAAACACTTTCACATACTGCATTTCCGCACGCGGTTTGATGAAATGTTGCACAACCGCATCTCGTGCCATTGATTCCTCTTTGGCCGGTGTCACCTTGACTCTGAAACGTGCCACACACTGTACAAGAAATGTAGGGAGAGGTAACAACATATGTGGCATTAGAAAAGATTAATTACTGAAAAATATTTTGTTTATTTTTTATAAATTCTAGATTCTTTCTTATTTTAAACGGATGTTTTTTTCTGAATATTTTTATATTTTCAAAATCATAATTTATCTAATTGCTTAAAATGTTTATTTATATTTTTATGAATTCTCTTACGTGCTGTGAGACGGCCGAAAATAATTAGGCATAAAGGGGAAATTTTAATTATTTAATCATTAAGAAATAAAAAGTTATTGCTCGCATAAATAGTATATTATCTTCCTCTCTGGAACCGAGTTGCCCCACCGGAAAGCCGGCAACTGTTTGGTGACTGCCTGTTTTCGGTTTGGGGCAGCTGCCGGCGGATGTGATTAGTTAGAAATACCCAATCCTCGGGACATTCCCCCACTTTTCACAGCCTCCAACTTGCAAACTCACAACTCATCGAAACTTTCCTTTCAGCTGGCTGTGGTGGCCCTGGCAGCAGTAGCAGCAGTTGTTTCTGGCAGCCAGACTCCCAGTGCGAATCAATACCACATCCAGACGGACGAGGGACCGGAGCGGTACTTCCGCTTCCAAACGGACAGCGGACAGTTCCGCAAGGAGAAGCGGCTGCAGGATGGCACCGTCATAGGTGAGTGATCAACGATGTCAATGGCGAGAGAGTTCACTGAACCACTTAATTGCTATATTTTTTTTTACCAGGTACTGAGGCCTGGATCGATGCGGCGGGCTATCTGAGGCAGAAGGATTACATAGCCGACAAGCAGGGATACAGGATACTCAAGTCCAAGACCATCTATGTGGGTCTGGGAAGAGCCGTTGAGGTAAGATAATATAATACTGTGAAATACAAACTGCAGTTATTACCCGAATTTGAGAAATTCCATTAGATAATTAATTTGTGTAGTTCTAAACTAAAAACTGGAAAACGAAATTTTTAAATTAAATGGGAATAAATTATTATTTTCGAAAACATTTTGCAAAATTTAAAACTCTTAAAATAACACTAGTTTACAAAATAATATTCTTGGTGTGCTCCCCAGCAATTGATGGCAAATTCTGTTAGTGTTGGACCCCTAGATCACAGAAATAGCACTTATTTTTTTTTCGATGGCACAGTTTTTTTTTAAAGATTTTTTAAAGTTCGTAATGTTAAATTTCGGACTTTTTTCGAATTTCTTCTTATATCTCGCCAGATATCCACTCGATTGGGCCAGTTTTAGTTTTATTTTAAAGTCAATAGATCAGAGCTTAACTTTGCCATACAGATCAATATGATTGGATGAGTAGTGGCAGCGCAGAAGCTCGACAAAGATGAAAAATGTGTTTTTTGGTCGTCTGTAAGTCGGCTGTATATATCTTAAAAACTCGAAATAAATCCGTTGAATAATCAAAATGGGTACAAACTTAAAGTTTACATCCTACCGAATAAAACAAGCCGGATATGGCCCAAATCCATGGAAAACTGGATTTATGGTGGATTTTTAAAGTTCGGATTTTTCCACTTTTTTCGGTTGACAGAGTCCAAATTTAAGATTTATCATAGGTGGCGACATGTAAACAAAAATAATTGGTGTTGGCAGCCGGGTCACTAAATAGGTAAATCAGTTATTTAAAAGCTAGAAAATTATTAAAGTGAATTTAATTTTTGAAATTAAGGTTACTTTTTTCATAAGAATGAACTATCCAAATGGATAGTACTTAATTAAAAATACTCACAGTCATAACGCAAGCAATTTTATATTTTTAAAAGAATTTTCAGAAATTAAATTTATTTTATAATTTTCTAGCTTTAAAATTTAGCTATTTTTTGACCCGGCTGCCGTCACCACTCATTTTTGTTTCCATGTCGCCACCTATGATAAATCTTAAATTTGGACTCTGTCAACCGAAAAAAGTGGAAAAATCCGAACTTTAAAAATCCACCATAAATCCAGTTTTCCATGGATTTGGGCCATATCCGGCTTGTTTTATTCGGTATGATGTAAACTTTAAGTTTGTACCCATTTATATTATTCAACGGATTTATTTCGAGTTTTTACGATATATACAGTCGACTTACAGACGACCAAAAAACACATTTTTCATCTTTGTCGAGCTTCTGCGCTGCCACTACTCATCCAATCATATTGATCTGTATGGCAAAGTTAAGCTCTGATCTATTGACTTTAAAATAAAACTAAAACTGGCCCAATCGAATGGATATCTGGCGAGATATAAGAAGAAATTCGAAAAAAGTCCGAAATTTAACATTTCGAACTTTAAAAAATCTTAAAAAAAAAACTGTGCCATCGAAAAAAAAATTAGTTATATTTTCGTGATCTAGGGGTCTAAAACTAACAGAATTTGCCATCAATTGCTGGGGAGCATTTCTGCTGTAAACTAGTGTAATTTATAAAACTTGTATTTATAAATCGAACATTTTTAAAAATGCTTCAAGGACCAGATCTTAATTCAATAACTATTTTTAAAATGTTATTTACAGATATTTAAATAAATACAAAATAATAATGCAAAGTTTTGGTCAATTTTGTTTTGTTTACTAACTAAGAACTGCTGTAAAATCGAACTTAATTTAATTTATGTTTATTAATTTATAATTTATTTGTCCCCCCCAGGACGCCATAAAATCAACTAAAGCGGCTCCCGCCCAATCGGGAGTCCTTGTGCATGGTGGTTCAACCGGATCCTCGGCCAACAGTCTCGGCAGTTATCAGCGACCTAACTATGGCTATATATCCAGCACCACTTCCACCACCACTGCGGCACCACCTCCGCTACCACCTGTTCTCCTGGACATTGAGGATTCCGGCGTGGGCAAGTTGAACTACCTGCCCCCCGAAGAGGCAGCCAAGATTGAGCCACAATCGCAGCTGGGCTTTGATCACTACCCAGATGAGTTGCCCCGGGCGAGGGATCAGCTACTGTCGCCCCTCCCGGCCACGCCCCTAAGCCCACTGGTGGACATCCACCCGAATGCAGAGCCTGTCCAGGATTTCGAACTGAATGCGATTAATGTGTACGATGCCGAGGCGGATCGGGCATTTGGCCATGGTCGCTTTGGTTCGGTCATCAGTTCGACTACGGTCAGACCACCCCCTTCGCTGGACATGCTGCCCCCCCTGAGTGCCCATAGGCGGCGACTGCGTCCACGGCCCACGCCTGCACCCATTGCTATTGTGTCCAGTACACCAGCGCCCATTTCTGGCGGGGATTTGTATGGCTACTCCACGCCACAGCCCTTTGCGGCGCCTGCCTATCAGTTTGCCCCGCCTGCCACATCCTCCTCCTCCTCCTCCGCCATCACGGGATATGGTTACTATCCACCGCCGCCGCAGTCACCACTGGAGGTCAACTCTTTGGAGGCGGCTCTGCTGCCGCCCCTGCCTTCCAGCGGCTATCGAAGACGCCTGCGTCCAAGGCGACCAATTCAGAGTAATCATTTGGAGGGTCTGGCGGCCTCCGAGTATGATGGAGTGGGCACAACCCGCAATGGATTCCGCTATGTGCTGCCCAAGCAGTATCACGAGGAGGAAACGAATCCGGCGGATGGCAAGCGAGCGGGCAGCTTTGGCTACGTGGATCCCTTCGGCATCCGGCGGGTGGTCTACTACAATGCTGCTCCCGGCAGGGGATTCGTCCATCGGAATAACAACCAGTATGTGGGCGCCAATGGAGCGCCCTACGATGCTCCGGGTCCGGCGCAGCTGGTCAATGAATAGGTTGAATGGGGATTTAGGATCATTGATGGAAATTAGGGTGGGTCGATTTATTATGTGAAAGAATTTTTGGGGATGAGAAATCTAAGAAATTTCAAATCCAGAATTTAGTTGCGGAAGAGGTTTTCATAAAAAAAAAATTGTTGCATACTTTTTGAATACCACATTTCCCTGCACTTTTGTTTTGAACTTGGTATCTACAACTTTTCATAAGAAAATTTAAAAAAAATTTTAATGGATTGTAAATGATCAGTATTTATTCAAATTCCTAGATTTTTTTAAAATTCGTTAGAAAAGTTTCTAGAAATTCACGAAACATTTAAATCGACCCAGGCTAATAGGTGCTGCACTTAACCACACACCCTACTCACTCAACGAGGCACCAAAACTAACCGTAGAACCTCAACCAGGGCAAAGTCCCCATTTACGATTAACCTGTACATATAACCACGCTTAAAGCTTCCCCCTCTCAATAATCCAATCTATTATTATCCTTCCTGCACGCATCCACACACACAAAGAAAAAACGACATCTGTGTTAATTAATTTAATGCTTAATCACATTTAAATGTAACATTATTTATAAATCGAAACTCTGTGCAATTAGCGCTTAGCATAGGTCTATTAGGGGTACTCACTGCCGCACAAAAAAAAACTGAATTGTGCTTGTGATTGGGGAGAAATCGTTTCACGTATTAATCTTGCCATATTAACGAAAAGTAAATTAATAAAGCTCTCTGTTCATCCCTAAAAACTCCCCACTTCGCCCCTTAGCGTAATTAAAGATGTACGATTAAAGCGATAATAATAACGATAGCTGTTTTTTGGCCAATAGCTGTTCATTTGAAAGGAATGAACACCCGTTGCCTGAAAACTTTAGCCAAGTAATGCGAGAATTATTTTGTTTATTGATAAGAAGTTTGATGATAATAAATAATTATTTAAATGATAAATATATCGTGTTTCTTTATTTATTAAAAAATGTTTTGGACACTCAAGCTATTTAAATCAGAGTATAAATAAAAAATAAAATACATTTAAAATAAATAATAGTTATAATTATATGTATATATTTCACATTCACAATTCGCTTTGCCCGGACTTTATGACGCGTAAATTGAATCTTGATCAGCGTCACAAGGCATGATCCGATAAAAAAAAGTCACCAAGAGTTTAAACCAATATGACTTCATAATTTCTAAAAAATTATAGCACTGGAGAATTGGCTTGTGTGTAATTCTTTCCAAAACAGAATCAACTGTTTGAGTCCAGAATAAACCACATTTTGTTTTTTTTTTAGCTAGAAACCTTCGAATTGCTTTATGGGTGTATAGGGAATTAGTTATATGCTCTTGCGAAATTTATTTTTATCGTAAGGTGGAACATTTTGAACTTATAAAGAAAATATATCTTGATCAGGATCATGTGGGCCCCCTCTAACGCCCACAAACGATTTTAAAATATTATTACTCCTTCATATTAAATGCCCAGAAACTTACCTAGAATATAGATAACATCAAAAACCTTTATAATAGTGTTTAAGATTTGAAACTGACGAGACAATTAACGACAAAAATTTTATTGTTTAGCTACCGGTAAATTCACGATTTTTCGTAAAAAATTATACAGCTTTGGGCAAAAAAGACCGATTATTTTAAAATTTGTATTATTAATTTAAAATCTTTGACTGCCGAAACAACGGGGCTTGTTTCTCGGACATTCTCCGATTTTTATGGTCAAGAAAGCTAAACAATTTTTAAAAAAGTGTGAGGATTAATAGTATTTTAAAATAACATTTTACTTACGTGGTAATCCTTGTTCCTGACGTCTGCAATCCTCACTTCGTACATCATACGCATGTGGCCCAGAGTAGACACAATCCGTAGCAATTCCACATGAAGTCCACCAAGTCGGTGGAATCGGCCCAGTCGGATCCTTGCATTTAAAACCCTCGGCACCTAATATTGAAGCAACTAAATAGAGGCACAATAAAAGTATGATTTTAATGGCATGAAGAAAAACTAACCCAGAATAAAAGCAATGCTGAACTTCAACATGTTGACTTGTTAAAGGTTTGAGATTTAATGACTTTAGCTGTAAGATTAGTTTCCGTTTTATGGTGAAATTGACCTACCAAATGCATACAATTTCTGATTATTTTTAATATGATCAGTTACGGTATGACATTTTACCATTGCTCTTAACAAATATACAATACAATTTGGACACATTGGAAAATTATCCACAACATCTTTTACATTTAAAAATTTATGGTTCCAGTTTTGAGTTTTGAAGAATTTACACGGATTCAAATTTCTTAGACTAATTTCCAATAATATTATAACTAACTACAAAAGTGATTTTGCTAATCGGAAAATTAGCTTTTTATCGGAAAATTAATGATTTACCATAAAGAATTGAACAGTTATGGACAAAAAAACCGTTTATTTTTATCACTGCGGGGCAATGAGGCTTGGGCATTTTTTGTCTTGCATGGTCAAGAATGCTAAAAAATTGTTAAAAATATTCTCCAGCACTAATAATATTGCCCATTCAAATTTTGGTATTTTAGTTTTTGTGCTGCTTGTCCTAAAGCGAAGCATCTTGAATCTGACTATGGAAAGGTAAGTCCATTGTGATTGAAAAAGGTTTTTGACTAACCGTATCCCTGTTTTTGCAGATATCATGGAACAAACTAGAAGGCATTTATTCGAATTACATAGAGAAAAAGAATAATTACGGCATTAAGATAATATTATTATTTATTAATAAACCAATGCTCAACCTCAAACCTCAGTTCCCAAAAGTTTTCTTATCTAAGGCGGCCGGTGCCCAAAGCTTCAGTCCGTTGTCAATGTTCGACTTCGAATCGTCATAATCACACTGCTATCGAGAGGGGACAACAAATCCGATTGAAACGTTATCAGCGCGGCGACAAACACATTACCCGGCGAATCTTATCGCGGAGAGCCAACCAAACAACCCGAAAAAGTGACTCAGTTGTGGTAGGAAATTAGAGCAATGAAGGCCTTGTTTCTACTACCGGTGCTCCTACTTTTGGGGATCTTCTGTCCCTCAAAAGGGGCCAATATCCTGTGCCTGGTAAGCACAGCGAAGCACAATAATCCTGGCTGGTCGAGGCCCCTTTTCGACGCCCTGGTGGCCAATGGTCATACTTTGCTGGTGATCAGTACAGCTCCCAATCCGGAGCCAAAGAAGAAGGTGGATGGTCTGCTGTACTACCATCTGCCCAACGATTACGATGTGATGCAGAAGCACTTCCTGCGCGAGGATACCGGTGAGTATCAGCGGATGGTGACCCTCAAGCAGCTGCTGGTTTGGTACGAGGTCCTCTTGGGCAGCTGCAAATCCGTCCTCCGTTCGGCCACCATGAACAGCAAGATGCCCGAATTGACTGCCCAACTGGCGGTGGACTTTGATCTGATAATCACGGATGTCACCCACGGCATGGAGTGCCTCATGGATGCGGTTCCCATTTGGCGCTCGAAACCTGTACTTGGCCTGAGTGCCGGCAAGCTCACTCCGGATCTTATATCGCTGATCCAAGCGGAAAACACCATAAATGCAGCTAGGACACCGCACTATATCAGCCAAGTTCCCAAGAAGATGGGCTTTTGGAACCGTCTACACAACCACATCTTGTACTTTGCAGAGCCACTGTGAGTTTTTAATTTAATTTGGAATAGTTTTACAGATCCTAAGATTTTTTATTCAATTTAAATATTTTTCACTAAGTTTTTAGCCATTTTAATGTAATAGAAATATTACATTAGGAACTATATTTTAATATTTAAAGGTTAAATTTTTAACTGAACACAATTTTTACATCGTTTTTGATCCATTTTTAATATGAAAATAATAAGTTTTAATTTTAAAAATACGTTTTATTTAATTTAACTTTGATTTAAAAACTAAATATTTTTTTAAAGGTACATATATATTAACAAGTTCATATGACTAGCATCCTATGTAAAATGATTCACCTTGATTAAAATATTTTCAAATTAAATCATGCGGCTTAGTATAATTTTGTATTAAATATTAATTGTTTGTATTAAATTTTTATTTATTTAATTTCATTATATCCCTTTCCTAACCCCCAGAATCCGTTTTGTTATCATTCGTCCTGTGCTTAATAGCCTGGTGACTACGGAAAATGCCTATCCTACTCTACAACTAGTGCTACTCAATACTCATCCAACTTTGGACTATGTGCAAAATCTTCCACCCGGAGTCATCGAAGTGGGTGGTCTCCATATCAAAAGTGAGGTCAATTCTCTGCCCCCATATATACAAAAGTTCACACAGAAATTCATCGATGGCATTGTGTACATCAATTTGCCCTATATTGAATACATGAATGGTCAGGGAATACAGGCTGTGATAAAGATGATACTCGACAATCCCAACTGTGGGTTTATATGGAATGTGGAGCAGCTCGAACAATTGCCCCCGGCGAAACCCAATTTATTAACCCTCCATGTGGATCAGTCGCTGCAGCAGGATATTTTGGGTGAGAAGAGGGTTTTTTCCTATTTTAGAGGAAATGAAATATATATTTTTTCTTTATAATTTCTAGCTTTACCTTTTGTCAAGGGTTTTCTGAATCATGGTGATAGTTTCAGTCTCCAGGAGGCCGTGCACAATGGAGTGCCCGTGGTTGTGCTTCCCCTTAAGCTGGAGGAATTTAATGTGAGTACTTATAAATATTCCTTTTTTAAAAATATATTTATTTAATTCTGTATTTATTTTTTTTATTTATTAATTATACCCGTTACTCGTAAAGTAAAAGGGTATATTTTATGCGTTTCCGTCTGTCCGTCTGTCTGTCTTTAAAGTTTAAAGATTTCGAAAAAGTAAAAATGCAGTTTTATTGTGTTTAAAAATACGTATCGAAAAAACACTAACAAAATCATAGCATTTAATCTCCGATAATGATATAACTATAACAAAAGACGAAACAATATTACTACACTTCATATTAAATGCCCAGAAACTTACCTAGAATATAGATAACAAAAAAAACCTTCATAATGGTGTTTAAGATTTGAAACTGACGAGACAATAAACGACAAAAATTTTATTGTTTAGCTACCGGTAAATTCACAATTTTCCGTAAAAAATTATACAGCTTTGGGCAAAAAAGACCAAATATTTTAAAATTGGTATTATTAATTTGAAATTATAACACTGCCGGGACAATAGGGCTTGTCTGTCGGACATTTTCCGCCTTTTATGGTCAAGAAAGCTAAAAAATTTTTAGAAATGTGTGAGCATCAATAGTATTTTAAAATAACATTTTACCTACGTGATTTTCCTTGTTCCTTACGCCTGCAATCCTCATTTCGTATATGATATCCATTTACCCCAGGGTAGACACACTCCTTAGCAATTCCACACGAAGGCTGAGAAATCAATGGAGCAATGTCTGGACATTTACTACCCTCGGTTCCCAACATTGAAGTAACTAAATAGAAGCAGAATAAAAGTATGATTTTTAATTTATAAAGAAACACTCACCCAGAATAAGAGCAATGCCTAACTTAAACATGTTGACTTGTTAAAAGTTTGAGATTTAATGAATTTAGCTGTAAGATTAGTTTCCGTTTTATGAAGAAATTTACCTTCCAAATGCATACATTTTGTGATAATTTTTAATAATATCAGTTACGGCCTAGGATTTTATAATTGCTGTGAAAAAAAGCATTCAATTGTAAATTTAAAAATTATCGTTATTTGTACGGCGTACATAATTTGTTTAGCATCTGATCTCGTATTTTTATACCACTTACTCGTAGAGTGAAAGGGTATATTGTATTTGTGCAAAGGTATGTAACAGGGAGAAGAAAGCGTTTCCGACCCCATAAAGTATATATATTCTTGATCAGGATAACTAGCCGAGTCGATATAACCATGTCTGTCTGTCTGTCTGTCCGTCCGTCTGTAGAAGAAAGTTTTCAAATCGGACCATTCGTTAAAAAGTTATGCGCCTTCAAAGTTGTACATCTTCATCCCTCTCGCACTCCCTTTAGCTGTGTAACGAGTATCTGATGATTGGGCCACCCGACTATAGCGTTCTCTCTTGTTATACCCGTTACTCGTAGAGTAAAAGGGTATATTAGATTCGTGCAAAAGTATGTAACAGGTAGAAGGAAGCGTTTCCGACCCTAGAAACTATAAAAGCTAGAAGATTGACATTTTGCATGCAGATTCTAGGAGTTCCTACGCAGCGCAAGTTTGTTTCAAAAGGGTGCCACGCCCCCTCTAACGCCCACAATCGCTTATAAACGATTTTAAAAATTTCAATATTTTGGAAAAGTAAAAATGCAGTTTTATTGTGTTTATCAATACCTATCGAAATGTGGAAAAAAATTTTTTAAATCGGACCATTCGTTAAAAAGTTACGGCGGATCAAAGTTTTTCTCCATCTCCTTCGCACTCCCTTTAGCTGAGTAACGGGTATCTGATAGTCGGGGCACCCGACTATAGCGTTCTCTCTTGTTTTTTATTAATTTATTTATTAATTTTTTTTTATTTTTTTTTTTATTTTTAGAATGCCCAGCGAGCAATGGAACGCAACTTGGGTGTGGTGATTCAGGCCAAGGAGTTCAATCAGAACTCCCTGACTGCTGCTCTAAAACGAATTCTAGATGACGAGCACTTTACTAGCGCCCTTTACCAGGCTCAGTTGAAGTTCCGAACCCGTCCGAAATCCCCGCTAGAATTGGCCGTTTGGCATGCGGAACAACTGATAGCCGAGCCACGTTTCTTCAAGGATTTCGCACAAACCGAAGCTATAGCCCAAAGTTTCTTTGTTTCCCATTCTTTGGATGTGCTGATGGTGCCTATTCTAATCCTCCTGGCTGGCGTCGTAAGTGTGGGTCGTTTGATCATAGTCCTAGTCACCGGAGGATCCAAAGCTCGTCGGGATTCCAATGAAGAATTGGAGACCGAGTCTGAAGTACCCAAAAAACGCAAGAAGGTTAAAAAGACTCTCAAAATTTCGGAACCATTGAATATAACACTAAAAGACGAGACTATTGAATTAATTGAAGATTTAAATGAAGAGTTGCTCGATGGGGAGAAGCAGCTACTCAGCGTGGAAGAAAAGTCGCTGGAAGAGAAGAAAGAGAAATAAATAATTTCATATACTACTTATATTATACACCAAAGAAAGACTGCCAATAAATAAATGTAACGATCTCCCGAACATTCGCACATTTATTTAGCCAAATCCCATTTTTGGGTAATTAACCTACATAAACCATGTTCAAATAATATGAAATGTTTTGTTGATTACCATATTTGTAAAATAGTTCATTAAAATGCTAATCCAATAATCAGTTAAGAAATTTGTAAAGTAAAACTTAAATTTATTGGTTTTTTCATTTCAACATAGATGATTAAATTAAATTTAATAAAAATGTTCATAAATTGCGAAAATATATAAAGATTGCTTACATTTACAGATTAATAATATTTATTAATTTGTTAATTTACTACTTCTATACATTTTTAATGCGTTGAATATTTGTTATAGAAGTCTGTTGATTTTTTAAATTTTTAAATAAATAATTTTAAACAGATAAATAAAGTGTGCATCCCAAAAGTAGACTCGGGAAATTAATTATCCACATAAGTTCTCTCATCTTGACTCTCTTAAATCCAAACCAAGTACTAGTTAAGAGATTTACCACCTCAGGTAAATCGTAGGTAGATTCACCACAGGTAGGCACAAAACCTCCAGTCCCGCCTGCGTTTTTATGTCTTTTGCCAGAATGCTGAGCCAGCAGCAATAAAACTCCCAAACCCAAGTAACCTTCAGTGCATTTCGAGAATTTGCCGCGAAAAGAACGGAGAACCAAGTACCGAGAAAAAATGCTGACTAAACTATTGAAGATTAGCTGCACTTCGAGGCAGTGCACCTTTGCCAAGCCCTATCAAGCGATTCCGGGACCAAGAGGTCCTTTCGGGATGGGTAATCTCTACAACTATCTGCCAGGAATCGGATCCTATTCCTGGCTAAAGTTGCACCAGGCCGGTCAGGATAAGTATGAGAAATATGGCGCAATCGTGAGGGAAACTATAGTTCCCGGACAGGATATCGTTTGGCTTTATGATCCCCGGGATATCGCTTCTCTGTTGAACGAAAGGGATTGCCCGCAGCGAAGGAGTCATTTGGCCTTGGCCCAATATCGTAAAAATCGGCCGGAAGTCTACAAGACCACTGGTCTACTGCCTACCAATGGTCCTGAGTGGTGGCGCTTACGTGCCCAGCTGCAAAAAGAGCTGAGTGCCCCGAAGAGTGTGAGGAACTTCGTCTGCCAGGTGGATGGAGTGACCAAGGAGTTCCTCAGATTTCTGCAAGAGTCGCGCAAGGGAGATGCCATTGATATGCTGCCCAAACTCACCAGACTGAATTTGGAATGTGAGTACAGATCAGCTCTAAAAATAAATTAAATATTCCATCTATTTGAATTTCAAATCTTGAATGTAGCAATTTCCCGTTCATTTGAATTTCTTGAACCAGGCTTATCTCGAAAATACCGTTGTAGGTCTATGGTAATGCTAGGTTAGGTGCAAACATGTTTAAGCAATTTGATGACGATCAATGTATTAATAGATTTCAGGACTCTAGTAATAGTTTCATTTCATTTGAATTTTTGGAACCAGGTTTATTTTATAAATACTTTAGATAGGTCTATCATGAAGTCAGGTTCGCTTTATAAGTCGAAAAGAAAACATGCATTGTTTTTTGGTAACGGTTTATTTATTAAAACGACTTGGGACCTACTTCAGGATTCGATGGTAAAGTCCTGACAAATATAGGCATTAAAAATGTATAATAAAAATACATTTTTATTAAATTCTAATAACAATTTATATTTCCATAGTAACCTGCCTGCTTACCTTTGGAGCCCGGCTGCAGTCCTTTTCCCCCAAGGAACAGGATCCTAAGTCCCGCTCCACCCGCCTGATGGATGCAGCGGAGACCACCAATAGCTGCATCCTGCCCACGGATCAGGGTCTCCAGCTGTGGCGCTTCCTTGAGACGCCTTCCTATCGAAAACTAAGCCTGGCCCAATCCTACATGGAGAGTGTGGCCCTGGAACTTCTGGAAGAGAACATAATAAACGGTTCAGTTGGATCCTCACTGATCTCAGCTTATCTGAAAAATCCCGAACTTGATCGCAGTGATGTGGTGGGCACTGCTGCAGATTTGCTTTTAGCTGGCATCGATACCACCTCGTATGCCTCAGCATTCCTGCTCTATCATGTGGCCCGAAATCCGGAGGTCCAGCAGCGACTCTATGAGGAGGCCAAAAGAGTGCTTCCAAATCCCAAGGATCAACTATCTATGGATGCCCTGAGAACCGATATCACCTATACAAGGGCTGTTCTCAAGGAATCACTGCGCCTAAATCCCATTGCTGTGGGTGTGGGTAGAATTCTTAACCAGGATGCGATTTTCAGTGGTTACTTTGTGCCAAAAGGGGTGAGTTTTGGATGTTAAATATTAAATATTAATCAATTTGATTTAGTAATGGAGTCCCAACGCATGATTCCTACAACAAAATGAGACCGCGAATTCTTCAGAACAAAAAGAACAAATATTTTCCAAACTGGCATTTGATTCCCTATTATATAAAAATATTAACAAATTAAATATATATTATAGAATTAAATTGATGCTTATTAAAACAAATACTTTATTGTATTAAAATATTACTTATAATCTTCTTCCCAGACTACCGTAGTGACCCAGAACATGGTGGCCTGTCGCCTGGAACAGCACTTTCAGGATCCCCTGAGCTTCCAGCCAGATCGGTGGCTCCAGCATCGTAGTGCCCTCAATCCCTACCTGGTACTGCCCTTCGGCCATGGAATGCGGGCCTGCATCGCTCGTCGTCTGGCCGAGCAGAATATGCACATTTTACTTTTGAGGGTGAGCTAAAGGAAACAGATCAGCACTTTGCGGTCTCGAAAATAACGCCAAATTGTTTATTCTTTTGCCTCGACTTGATTTGCATTTTCAGCTGCTGCGTGAATACGAATTGATTTGGAGCGGATCCGATGGAGAGCTGGATGTCAAGACCCTGCTGATAAATAAACCTGATGCTCCCGTTTTGATCGAGTTGCGATTGCGAAGGGAATAAATTCTGGACAAAAATCCCCAAAAGAGGAGAGACTGAGAGACAACAGACTTGTATCACTTTTAAATAATTCGTTTATTAATTATACTTTAAATTAGTTTATAATTATAATTAGTGTAAATTATATATAACTAGACTTGCATTTAATGTGATTGAAAGGCTGCGGGTGTTTTGGTCTAAATACTAAAGAGAACGACAAAAGGGCATTCATCGCAAAATTCATCCAAAGGGGTTATACTAGATAGAGTTGCCGAATACTCGAACAAATGGGTACAGGGTTGTCATTGCTTCCGCAGAAGAATATATAATTTGTTAACCAGATATTATCTTTCGAGTATTTTGTGCTCCTTTTTGTTTTTTCGTTTTTTGTATACATGTTTTCAGTATGATGACAACCCTAGTCGGGGGCTTTAATGTGTAATTATTTATGACTAAATATTCCAGTACAATGCTTAGTTAAAGATATACTCGTAATGCAGTTCGTTACTATATATGGCTCTATAAAAGTGGTCCGACCTATCCCCGATCTTCCTTTACTTCCTTTACTCCCTTCTTGCCTTAAGCTCAACTCGAGTGAAAACCGTACATATACAAACTATATATAGACTACTACCTGTTTATCGCTCTTGTCCAAGTTCAAGTCAAAAATATATATGTATGTGTGTATGGGGCTATATACTGCTATATACTGATACTCGGTACGATTCTAGTCTGATCTAACCTATAAGGACTTTGGTTGTTTGCCGCACTACACGCTAGGATGATTGGTGAAAAAATACATTTAGATATACACATATACTATCTTTGAACTTCTATGTTCGGCTAAGATCGAAAAATAATTGTGTTTTTCGGGTTTTCTGATCCGCAGAATTCTTAAGATTTCAAATTGAATTCCTTAGATTTGAAATCGACCAGAATTTGGGTTAGAAAATGGTTTCCTTTTCTTTTGAGAAGACTTTTCCAGGAAGCGATTCGAGTCTTCTGCTCTATGGCTATCGTTGAATATGTGTTCGATGAAGGATGATATATGGGTTGGGATTAACATTGATGTCCTGCTGCCCGCGCTTAGTTTATAGTTCCAGCAGCAGAACCTCCTCATGCTAGAGGATGTTGAGCAGCGAAGAGTCCATCATCCGATCGTCGTACAAACTCAGCGTCTTGCTGGCCCGGGCTTTCCTCACCGATGGCGGTACATCTCCCGGGGTCTTGACCCTTTCGCTGGGATCCCTCAGACGTTCGCTGCTCCCCCGACCGCTGAAGACCTCGCGGAATACCTCCAGGCTGTGCTGGCGTCGCATCTGCTGCTCCGTGGGAGGTCCCTGATGGTCCGACGAGGAGGTGGTGACCATCAGGGAGTTGGTGCGCAGGTGACCGGGTCTTCGCTTTGGAGCGGAACGAGTGAGGGTCTGCAGTTCGCTGCCATGACTCTGGATGGAGTTGTTATTGGTGGTGCTCCCGCCATTGATGTGTTTAATCAGACTGCTGGACAGCGATCTCGGCACTATGTGAGCCGGAGTTCCTGTCCTCTGCTCGGCACTCCTCAGCTGAACCGGTGGAGGTTTATCCAGGCGAGGACTCAAGTCCAGATTGTTGGGTCGCCGCAGGGCAGTCACCAGATTGGATTTCTCCTCGCCCAACTGCAGCTGGCGACTCAGTTCCTCGGCATGTTCCTTCCTGAAGAGTTTCTTGTGGATCAGAGCCCGAACACCATGCCATCCCCTTAGCTTTTGATCGGTGTTCTGCTGCTTGGGAAATCCCTGACCCAAATTTGGATTACTATTGGGCACCAAGCTCACGATTGTATTCTTCTGCTGCTGCTGGCTGTGATGATGATGATGATGATGGTTGGCTATCAGCTCCTCCACACTGACGTCGTGCTCCAGGCAGGAAAGTGAGTTCTCCTGCGGTTGCGTCTGGAAACTGTGCTTCTTGCTGCGCTCCACGAGAACCGGAGGAGTTCGCATTTGCTGGGGCGCCAGATTGCGTTCCTGGCAGGGATTCCTGCCCTGATACGGTTGCAGCTGCTGATGCGGATAGCTCAGGTGATTCTTTTCCCGCTCCAAGGCAGCCGGGGGTAGCTGTTGATTGGGCGGTGGCTGGATGAGTCCTGCGGCATCGGAGCTCATCTGGTGATGCACTGCAGCCGATGTAGTCGTTGTGGTTATGACATTCAGACCCTGGAAAATTATAAAATATATTAAAAAAATTCGGAAAAATTATAGAAATAATTTTCGTACCTGCTCCACGTTTACGGTGGCCACCAGATTATTCGTATTAAGTAGAGGACTAGCTGGTTGAGCCTGAGCTCTCGGTCTCAAGGTGGCCATCTCCTGCATGCGTTCCTCGGCACACAAGGAGGTCAACCTGGCATCCGCATCATGGTCCCAGCAATCCTCGCAAGTATCCCGCACCACTTTTGCGGCAGCACCACCACCCCAGCCGGTGGGAAACAGAGGACGCGCCTTGTGCCGCACCACCAGCGATTGCATTTGATCGAAACTGGGATGGGAGCCCACTTCCTGTTCATAGGGAGCTTTATAGGGCGGGGTGGCCTGTGCCGGGGCATAGAAATCCGAGCAGCGAGTGGACACCTCCCAGAGCACCAGGCCCAAAGCATAAACATCCATTTGTTTGAGGGACGTTTCGCAATCTCGCAGATTGACAGCTCCCTCCAGTAATTCGGGGGCCATGTAGCGCAGGGTGCCCACTTCATTGATGCTCTTCGTCTCCGCCATGGCAATTTCTCCTTTGTATTCATACTTGGAGCCAAAGACCTTCAGGGCGAAACCGAAATCCGCAATGCAACAGCTGAGATCCGCCTGGACCAATACGTTTCGTGTGTTGATATCCCGATGGGCCACACAGGGTTTGTGCTGATCCCCCAGCCGGAGTTCCGTGTGCAGATGGGAGATTCCACGCGTGATGGATCGCAGCATTCCACAGCATTCGCTGAAGGTCAGCGTGTTGGCTATCAACCAATCCTGGAGGCATCCCAGTGGAGCCAGGGAGAGAACCAGCTGGTACTCCATACGTCCATCCATCGTACAGCGTTCATCGTAGCCTTTAAATGGGGAAAATATTGGATTATTTAAGGGTAAAAGAAAGAATAACAAATTGAAATAATTCTTTAAAATGTTAAAAATTATTAATTAGGTTTTTAAAATTGTTAAAAAATGTTTAATTGCTTTTTTGAAACTTCTAAAAAGTATCTCTAGGTCTCATAACATCAATTAAGTTCAAGTTTAGTTAAAATACTTTAGCAATGGAAGTATGCAAATCAAAAAATGGCAATCAAATAAATTGTTTTCTGAGGAATTCATAAAATAATTTCATATTTTTTTAAGGTTTTCGAACGTAATTTTCAAAGATATTAAAATTATTATATTATTTTCAAAGTATTTCCCAAAGGCCCTATATAAAATCTGATTTTAACAATAGTTTATTACCAAAATAGCTCAACAGTGCAGGACATTCCATCAAGGGCAGTGCGTAGATATTCCTTTCGTTCACATAGTACTGATGATGCTCCTCGGGATAAATCTTAACAGCCACCTCCTGATCATGAAGCAGTCCCTTCATCACAGTTCCGTACTTTCCGCTGCCCAGCATGCCAATTAAATTCATATTGTCCACATTTCGGAGATTGGAGCTGTAACCAGGACCCGAAGGCGCCAAGGGAGACTCTTCCGGTTCCGGTTTCTCCTTGGCAGTTCGACAATATTGAACGGCCAGAAAGAGTCCAATCGTTAGGGCTGTAAGTCCACCGGCAAGTCCCAGCATTGTGCTGGCCAAAAAGGATTGGTGCTGTTTTTCACTGGCCCGGTTTGTGATCGCTGATCTGCCCTCATTGGAGCCCAGTTCCAGGGGTGCGGGTTCCACTACGGCATACTGGGCATTGCAGACATCTCCAGAACAGCAGCAGTAATACAAGGAACTGGTCTTCGAGGTGGGCGCCGAACTGGTGCACTCCGACTGGCTGCAGATGGATGTGCGATCCGTGTTGTCCTTCCAGCAACCTAAAAAAAAAGGTATAACAGAAGATTTAGTAGTTTATAACTATACACAAAAGAATTAGATCAATAACAATTACATATTGTATTGTAATCTTATGACACCATTAACATAAATACGCAAATTCTTCAGAACCAGAGAAACAAATATTTATCACACTTATGTTTTTGAAGGGTTTTACTAAAGAGGACCGCGAATTCTTTAGAAGAAATGGAAAACATAAAAACCTAATATCGAAAATGCATGTTTCATTAATTAATATTAATATTTGATATTGATTTTTCTTTCATTATACTGATAAAACAATTTACTAGTCATTATTTTTAATTTACTTTCATTATACTGATAAAACAATTTACTAGTCAAAATAAATATTTTCTTATAGAGTGAGTAAATTTCCAAACTCACCCTGCTTGACAATCCTAGTGCCATTCGGAGTCTGATTCCAGAGGGTAAAGCAGAAGGTGTAGCCATCGGAGCAGGTGCGTCTATGAGGCTCGCTGGGCACCGGAGTAGACTCCACCTGTTGCTCCTGCACTTCGCCACTGGAGTCCTGATCCCCGTCGTCATCATGGAAGGAGTTGTCGTTCTCCTGGAAGCTCATACAGCTGTACGACTGGCGACTGGGAACAGGTGCTAATCAAATCAGAAAAAAAAATTCCATTCATAAATATTCCATAGATAACAACTAAGACTTGAAAGTACTCACATGCTCTAGCCGGTGAGATCAGATTCGCCAGAAGCAGAAGAAGCCAAGGCCAGCTATAGATAACCCAATTCATATTGTCTAAAAATCCTTTGATAGGCCACCTTCAATATGATATTCCCTGGATGACTTTTGATGGCCCCAACTGTTACGGCATTTTGTAAAACCTGAAAGAGTTGAAAAACATAGAGGTTTATAAATACCGATTTATTTCTTATTTAGCATCTACGCAGGAATTATCAATAGTCTGGCGTACTCTCTCTTTGCCCCTTCCATAAGTACTACTCTCGCATTCGGTTTGCGTATCAATAGGCGATGACAATTCGCGAGCTCAGCGACTTTATCAACTGCCGGCGATAATGGCCAGACCCAAATACTCTCTCGCCGTTCCACCAAACCCCAAAAGCCGAACACAACCGATCGTGAAGCGTCTGTCAATCGAAGTCTAGATCGGGGGAGGGGGTATACTATGGGGTTCTACGAGCACCCACCCACTCCAAGTCTCGGGGGAACTGTGTTGCACTTTGGAACCCATTTGGAACCAGGCGCCGCCAGAATACGCAAAATCATTTCAGCTGGGGATCGAGTGCAATGAAGAGGATACCGACTGGGGAGTACTTATATCAGGCAGAAAAAAAAATTATATAATATAATTATGAAAGCTAGGAATATTTATTTTCAAAGCTTTTATACCATGGAATTTATTGCGAATTTTTAAAGCTTTCCTTCCTTCCCCTTGAATACTGATTAGAACATTTTCACCGTCATTAATTATGTGCCTGGCTGAACTTAATACGCTCCACTCTCCTCTCCAATTATAGGGTACGTGTATGAAAGTATGTCTTATATACAAACGTTCGCTATATAATAAATGTGTTTATACCCAGCTGGTAACGAATTTGCATTGGCGACATTTGGGTTAATTGTGGGTGACGGGGCATGAAATTTAAAGCAAGATAAGCATTTTATCAGACAGGCCAGGATACACTTATCACGCGATTATGAAATCTCCGCCCGCAATCTACGTCAATTATTTTATGGCGTTTCCAATTCACAAATTTCTTATTTATGAAAGGAGAAGAAAAGCAAAAGCGAGTATTATCTTTTTTTTATCTAGCATTCTTTTGTTTGAAATTGATAAAGTTTTCTATTAATTACAATGCCAAAAAGTGTTGTTTAAAACCGTTATTAAATCCTTAAAGTAAAAATAGTAATTTAAAATAAATATCGATATTTTAAGATATAGTTTTGCAAAACGTAGCTTTGTAATTGTCAAACCTATGCCAAAGGAGCTGTCAAACTCGTAGGCTAGAAGTTACTTGTCAATTCGATGTAATAGAGTTGTCCAAGAAAATTTTTCATTCCGACTAGATCGTCATGAGTGAACTACATCTGTGCATCTACATTGCATTTTGGCTCTGTGTGAATTTCGTCGGCTTTATTCTTGTGCTAAACTACTTTTCATCTCTTGATAAAAAAGACTAAGTTTATCCCCTAAAGCTGTGATAGAATTTCTAGAGTTCAATATGGATATAGCGGATTTCTATGTTCACTTTTGTTTTTTTATGGCCTGTTTAAGATTGATATTATATTTCTCAGTCTTCTTGACTAGTTACGTTTGCGTTAACAAGAAACCATTCGACATCAAAAATTGCCATTGGTGGGCTTACGACCTTCGCTTTGCGGAATCACCAAAGGATGAGTGTCAAAAAATTGACCTGGATTTTCTAACAGAGCCGCAAAAGGATTTCAATAATTCTCAAAACAACAAGACAACATCGATGGACGAGCAGAAGGATTCACCAGAAGAAAATTCGGATGTTCCAGAAGAGTCGAAAGAGGATTACGATTTGCGTGTCAACGAGATGGCAACTCTGGTCCAAATGATGAGTATTCAATGGGAGATTAACGAGGATAAGAACCCACTGAGGACCTTCAACGACCGTTTCAATATCAGTCGCCGGAAGCACCTATGCAGGATGCGACGACTTCGACGGAAGAGATCAACGCCAAGTTTTCCATTAAGGATTTCAATACAATTCGAGAAAAAGCGAAAATAAAATATAATTTCTTCGGGACGCTATATCTGCCCTCTTAACTTTTCTGTTGCTGTTTTCTTCTCCTTTCTCCGCTTTGCAACACATGCGCAGAAGAGAGCCCGAGAAGAAAGAGAGCGGAGTCTCTGACGCGCCAAAACAGGTTCTACTGGCGCTGTCTCAAGTGCTCCGTGGAGTGGGGTGGACCGCGGGCGGGAAGAAGGAGGAGGTGGAGGGACCCGCCGGCTGCTCTCGCACGATAGCCGACGGCGCCAGTTAATTGCAAATACTGCTTGATTCCCTACACTTGGTGGGGCATTGCAACAGCAGCATAAAAAAATTCTAAAATTGTCTAATTTAACCCGGAATAAAATGTTCCAATAAATAATTCGCTTTTGACAATTTTATTTTCAAATGCTTACTGGTATTTCTAAAAAAAAATTATTTTTTTCACAAATTTTATCAATTTGAAAGCACACATTTTCGTAGTCTTTTTAAAATAGGTCTCTGATAAGTACACATTTTTAAATATTTCAGTCCCCTAAAAACATAGTCCAGTTTTTTTTAAAAAGAACCTAATAAACTGAAACAACTGCCTTTAGATTCTTCTAAACACTAAAAATAAGTGTTAATTAACAATTCTGCAACACCAAAAAGGGTGTTTATTAATAAATATCAGGTAGTGGATGCAAATGTCATCGAGGTAAATTTTCCCCTTTCTCGATGTTGGTGCGTTTGGTTTGGTTCTCTCATATTTGTTCTTGCTCTTCGGGGCCTGATTAACTTTTTGCGTGCTGCGTGTGCATTTGTCCATGTCCCCCATCCCCATTTCCATTCCCATCCTCGCAAAAAAATGCGAATGCCGTCCCAGCGATTCGGGATTCATCTTCGTTCTACAGCTGCATTTGGCAAAACGGCGACATTCGCAAGTAAAAAGAAACGATGTAGAAAATCAATGCAAAAACACAAAAGTGCAAGCAGACGGAGAACAGCAGGAACAACAATGGTGAAGGGAATGTGAATGGGAATGGGTTCGGAGGTCTCTTGTTGACTTTTTTGTACACATGGAAAAATTAGGGTATACTTTACTTTTTGAAAAGAAAGAAAGTAAAGTAATTTCAGTTAATTAAATATTTTTTAATGATTAAAAAATTACTTAAGGCAAAAGATATTTTTATAAAACATCCTACATTTTTTTCAAAGCACTTTTAAAAATTCTGTATGAACCGACGGAGTTTTAAGTACTTCTCAAAGCAAACCTAAAGTCTTTCAAGATTTTTCCTATTACTCCTGAAGAAGTGGTTAATATTTTGTCGCAGTGCAAGTTCACTGTGTGCAGACAGAGTTTTTTGCCAGGGTGGGTGGCCCAGCAGGCCCACCGTCTGCCCTTCTGCTAGTCTGCGTGTATTTGTGTGTGTGTACTTGCGCAGAGTGGAGTAAAAAATTGATTTTTCCAAGACATTTTCCAGCGTTGTTTGCGGAAAACATTTGCACTATTATGCACTATTTTAGACGCCATTCGAATGGCGACACTTACGCTTAATTCGGGGCGTTTTTTGCACTGCACTTGCACTTTAAGTTGTATTACTTATTTTTTTTCTTAATCAGTGGACAGAAAAAAGTTGCACACTCGCCGGAAAATTTATGATTTGGGGCACCGGCGCCAGTCGCGTCTGCTTCTTTTATATTTTTCCCCTTTTTTGTGGCTTTTTTATGGCACTTTAAACAAGTTTGCACGATAGGCGGCCCGTTTTTGCCGTTTTGCCGTTTGATTTTTCGCAGCGCGCCACCTTCGCCCGCCGACTTTTGAGAATGAAATGCGGTTTGCTGCCTCGGCTCTTCATTTCGCTGTCCTCTTTGCTCTCTTCTCTGCTCCACCGCGACGTCGACGGCGCTGCCGGCGCTCGCTTTGGGGCAGCTGAAGAAGAAGAAGCGGCCTGCGTGTATTTACGAAGCTGCGGGGAATGACGGAGATGGCGATTGGAGCGAGAGTGGAGCAGCTGAGAGAGAGCATGCCTGAAAGAGAGGAAATAAAGAGCGAGAGAGCACTTGTTGAGCTTATTAGCCTGCACCGAAAAAAATAATATTACGCATACGCCACAGTGCTCTTTGATCCTTAAAAGTATGCTCTAAAAATATAAAATGTTAAACCTTTTGAAATTAATTAGAATAAAAATTGAGTCATTTATAATCGAAAAATAAAATAAAATAGTTTCTATATTTTCCCACTAAATAACAAAAAAAAAATTTAGTACTTTGTAAATTTATTGACATTGAATTTGATTTTTGAATAAATTTAAAAAAAAATTGTTTTTGTTGTAGGAGCATACAAAATCAGCTTTAATTTTCAATCAATATCACATCTCTCAATAATTATGAATATAGTTTTTTTTTTCGGGATCCTACGACCTGAATGACAACTCAGGGCATATCATGCACCTGGTGGATGATCCAGTCCATGAAGTACTGTGTGCTCGTAAGTACGCTGGGGACATTAGGTCGGCCACACCCGGAGATGCCGTAGGACACCACGCCGATCAGATGGTACCGAAAAGTGCCTTCAAATGATTCCGGCATCATAAGCGGACCACCGGAGTCGCCCTGACACGTATCCTTGCCTCCGGACAGATCTCCTGCGCAGAGGACGGCGCTGTCGAACTGTTCGTCGGGAATTTTACTAAAATAATTATGTTTTGCGTAACTCTGGCGGCACACGCTATTTTCTATGACGGGAATTTGCAGCTCGTTCAGCAAGGTAGCTGATTTACCACGCTCCATTGTCTTTCCCCATCCGGCGACGAAGGGATTAAAACCCAAGTAAGATTTCTGGCGCAGGTTGGGGGTGTATGGCAGGCAAATGGGTCTGATATTGGTCGTAAACTCCGCATTTCGCACCAAATACAGGATGCCCAAGTCACTGCGTCCAATTCGTGGGTTGTACTCTGGATGGGCTAGTTTCTAAAAAAGGAAAACTCCATGGACAATAGAACCGAAATCTAAGAATCCTGATTTTAAACTTACTTTCTCAATTTGAATGTCCTCATGGCGAGTTTCCAAGTCCGTGGAAAGATCATGTTCTCCCAATCGCACAAATGTCCTAAAAGGAAACGGAGAGTCGTAATATATGGAATATAATATAAATTAATTCGAAACAAAGGCCTTACAGATTCGGAACGATGCAGTGGGCCGCCGTGATCACGTGTCTGGCGGTGATCAGGGCTCCTCCGCACTTGAACTTTTCCTTTGGATCATTATATCCCAGCAGTGCGATCCAGGGCCACGCCCCAATTTGGCTTACCACCCCGCCCACGATCTTCTTTTTCACCACACTCGTATAGCCACATCCATCTTCCATGCTGAGAAGCACTTTATCCGTTTTCCTGGGAATAATGGATGCCGGTGTGGTAGTTATATTGGCATTCAGTGCGGAGATCGTCTGTCCTTTGGGACAACAGACCCGGTCACCCTCGTTGCCACAAACCATTCTGGAGACACGCAAAAAATCGTTGAAACTCTGGTCCTTAGGTTTATCCAGCCTCAGCTCACTAAGCAGGGAATCGCAGTCATTGAGTTCTAAATGAGGTAGGTTTAATTATTAATTTAATAGTATAATTTTTAAGTAACTTACCTATACAATATCCAGGTTTGGTGTCTGGTCCGCGGCACGAAGGACCCCGTTGTTCGATTAAGGGCTCGAATGATGAAACGAAGGGATTTCCGGGGTTCTTCGGCGGGAACTGAGGACCAATGATTGGGCGTTCCGTGGGATTGTGATTCAGTGCGGGGATCGTCTGTCCTTTGGGACAACAGACTTGGTCACCCTGGTTGCCACAAACCATTCTAGAGACACGCAAAAAGGACTCGAGGGACTCGTCCTGCTGTTTCATTAGCAGCGGTGCGCACTCCTGGAGTTCTAAATGAAGTATTTATTAAGTTATTATTTTAAACTTGTTTAGGGTTTTTAAAATGTAAAAGATTTTTAATTATTTAACCTTTAAAAATAAAACCCTAATGAGATATAAGAAAAACGTGTAGGCACATTGAAACCGATAAAGTACTTGTGAACACCTTGTTAAATGAAAAGTAGTAATGCCACAGAATTAATGAGGCTTTAATTTTTAAGTAACTCACCCATACAACTTCCAGGTTTGGTGTCTGGCCCACGACATTGTCGATGAACTATAAATAAAAGTACGCAGAGAACTTTTACTTTTTATAACATTTTAATAAAAATCAACACTTTCCTCTGGCCTTGAACGAAAGGGTTTAATTAGTCTTATCAAAGATATTCATAAAAATTTTAAAATCCTGAATGTTTCGTGGTTCAGTTAGATTAGATTTTTTAAATTAAAAGTATAGTCGTTTTAATCTACCTTGCGTAACCTGTTTAAACTGGGCGTCATTTGACGTGGTGAGGAGTACGAGGGATAGTAGTGTAATCAGGGCACTGGTACAGCCAATCCATTTCATGGCGAGAACGATCTATAAAGTAAACGTGACGTTTACTATTCAAGAAACTGAACTAAATTTTCCAAACGAAGGATCTTGTGAAATCGCCTCTTCTATTCGAATGAGCAATCGATCCCTAGAGCCTAACTTTATATACAGAGTTCTCATGGAATCCACCGATCTCCCAATATAACGACCGCTCTCGAAAGCTCTCTCGCCAGAAAAATGGAAAAAGCCCCAAATTAAATGAGTAAAATAAATATAACTTTTGGAAATAAATTGTAATTTTAAAAAATCATGTCTTTCGTCTGCTTTACAGGGTATGTCCCTGTCTGACATTTTCAAATACATTTTCACGAAAGGGACCAATAATATTTGGTTACAGCTCGAGTGATGTCATAGGCCTTCCAGTGAATTTCGAGCATGTAGTTTCCCTCCGGAAAAGGCAGTATATCTGAGAATTGATGATAAACACTGCTATACGTCATTTTTTCCATCACAATATCATGCTGAAAAATAATATATTATAATAATTGCACGATACTATGCGTACGAACTTACGTCATAAGGGCAAGAGTGGTTCATATTAGAAACGTTATTGAAAAAATTATAGAAGTAATTAGCAACGGGGTTGGATCTCGGAGCTTTCAAAAATTTACAGGCGTCTAATGTTAGGTTGTAAAGAAAAGGTTTGTAGCCATTTAAACGTTTGTATACGGCGAAGTTCACCTGTAGCGCAAATGGAAAATAATTTTAATCCACAGGAAGCCATTTATTACTTTTCCCTTGCCTTAATTCTGGTTACGGGAATCCTAAGTAATTTAACTTTTACGGAAACATATTTGTACGTCCGGTTCACAGACTTCAGAAAACAATAATCGATTTCGCAAAAGTCCTTATCCACAGACTCACATTTTATATTCGTAAATTCCACCAGAGAATAAACCTAAAAGTAAAGCTTCAATGTTATTGTTTTTGGAAAATGTAAAAAAACAAAATGTACCTCTTTGGTTAAGTATCCACTAACTAGGAGAAGGGCAACGAAAAAATATGGCTTCATCATAAACAGTTGATGGCTTAATGAAAAGTACAATATTGTAAACTTAACTGAAATACTAAATAAGTGGTTACTTCAGCTAAGCTATTAATAATGGCCCATTAAATACGATAAAAGTCGACTGTCATTAAACAAATATATTTCGTTATTTTAATCAAAATAAACGATTGTCATTAAAATTATTTGTCTATTTATATACAATTATTTTTAGCATAAAGAACGTTTAAAATAAGAATTTTAACCTTTGTAAAAATGGTCGGGTTGAGTGGAAAGCAAAAAATATTTTGTGGGAAAAATATGTGCTCTGTAGATTTTAGAAATAATATAGAGATATGTTTGTTTTACCTAATCACAAAAACATTTGTCATTAAGTTTTAAAAAATAAAAAAAACATCCCATTTAAAATCAAATCTGCATCAAAAAACTATCTTAATTGCTTTAATAGTGACAAAGTTTCGGATATATATTTTTTAATTTTCACGAAATTGTCCAATAGAATTTAGTAACAGCTCGATTTATGTCATAGGCCAACCAGTGCCATTCCATCATGTAGCTTCCCTCTGGAAAGTGTAGTTTATCGGTGAAATGGCTATAGACACTGCCATAAGTCATCTTTTCCACCACAAGGTCATGCTGAAAAAAATGTATTTATACTTGAATATTTACTTGACACTTTACACGCGAATGCTTACGTCAAATGGGCAAGTGTGGTTTAAATTGGAAAATCCTTTAAAGAATTCATAAAAGAAGGTAACCACTGGATTGGATTTCGGGTTTTTCAGGAATTTACAGGCGTCTATCGTTATGTTATAGAGAAAGGGCTTATAGCCATTCAGCCGTTTGTAGAGACCAAGACTAACCTAAGAAGAAACCATTAATGAAAAATATAGTTATAAATTATACTTTATACCTTAACTTTGGTTACAGGAATCCTTAGAAGCTTAACTCTTAAGGAAAAATATTTGTATGTTCGGTTTACAGCTTTCAGAATACAATAATCAAATTCACAAAAGTCCTTGTCCACGGACTCACATTTTACATTAGTAAATTCCACCAGAGAATTAACCTTAAGTTGGAGCTATAATTGGGTTTTTAAAAGGATATAGGGATTTTTACCTCCTTTATTAAGTATGAAGTCATCAGGAGAAAGGCAACGGAGAGACACAGCTTGTTGTTCATCTTAAGCTGTTGGTGGGTTCATAAAGACTAAATTTAACAATTTTAAACTGGACTTAAATTTTACAGGAATTAAATACGATAATAAATCTATTTGTTCCAATCGAAATAATCGCCAGCTATTATTATTGTTTTGAATTGGTTTTTGATAATAAACAGCGGTGAAAATATCAAGTTATATATTTATTTTTTATATATTTCAATTGATCGGTTTTTGTGTGTTTACGCGTGCAAATATTTTGTGGAGTAAATAGGCACTTTCTAGGTTTATCAACCTTTTTAAATGGTTTAAGATAATTATATGAAAAAAATAGTTAATTAATAAATTTAGTATTAATAATGAATATTATTGATTTTATTTATTAGTTTTTATTCAGAAAATTTCAACTAATTCAATTTTAATAATAAAAATATATATTTCATTGATTTTATTTATCAGTTTTTATTGAAGGAAATTCATCATAATCCAAAAGTAAACCTACTGCGGCACAGGATGTGCAGGCAGCACCTGACCCACGCACTGCCCAAATCCGATGCGCAGTCCGTTTTTCTCGCAGTGTCCCCGGATGATGACCTCGTCATAGTCCTGCAGGAACTTCCTGGTCTTCCCACCCGGCAGCTCCACAGTTTTGGTGCCCTTCCAGCAGAGCTCCAAAAGGGATCCGTATGAGTCGGGCGTCTCACCGGAGATCGTTCCAGAAGCCATCAGATCCCCTGGTCGCAGGTTGCAACCGGTGACTGTGTGATGGGCAATTTGCTGTAGAGGTGTCCAATACAGGTGCTTGAAATTGGACTTTGAGATGAGCGCTTCATTCTGGTCGGCAGCTAAAAAGAGGGGTTGTGATATTAAAAGATTTTAAAAAGATCATAAAAAGATCCCAAAAATCTCCACACTTACGTTTCAAAGAAACCTCCAAATTAATATCAAAATTAAAGGGAATACTTTGCCGCAAATAGGGCAGCACTTCGGGTTCCTGGGGGAAGTTGTCCAGCAGGAAGGGTTTCAGAGCAGCTGTGGGCACCACCCATGGAGAAATGGTCGTACCCAGATTCTTGGCCGTAAAAGGACCCAATGGCACATACTCCCACTTCTGGATATCCCTGGCACTCCAGTCGTTCATCAGCGTGAAACCAAACACATTCTTCCAGGCCTCGTCCACACGGATGGGTTCTCCCAGCTGATTGCCTTTGCCGCCGATAAAGAAGGCCATCTCCAGTTCGAAATCCAAAAGTTTGCAAGCACCAAAGACGGGCTTCTCTGCGCCGTCGGGAAAGGTTTGTCCCAATGGACGACGGATGGGAGTACCGGAAACCACCACCGAACTGGCACGACCATGATAGCCCACCGGCAGATGGCGCCAGTTGGGCATGAGGGCATTATCCGGACCACGGAACATAATGCCCACATTGGTGGCATGATGGATGGATGAGTAGAAGTCCGTATAGTCACCAATCTGAGCAGGCAAATGCAACTTGATATCAGTTTGGGGAACAATGGAACTGAAAGGGAAAAAGATATATCAAAACTATAGATTTTATATATTTTTTATATTCCTTAATCATACTTACACCGCCTTCAAGTCCACATTCTGATCCAGTTCGGAACCCTTAGCCAAAAGCTTCTGAGTCTGGGTCCTCACCACATCCCAAGCTTCAAAGTCCAAGCCCATAAGCTCATTCAAAGTTTCCGCCCGCAGACTTTTTTGAACTGGCAAGGGATACAACTGCGAGACAGCTTTCAGATCCAGGACATGTTCTCCAATGGCCACACAAATGCGGTGAGTTTTCTAGGGATGTTGAAAAGAACAATACCATTTACGATATAAAAATACGATATACGATATGATATGAGGTCTTATCAGAGCTGGTTACTGGGTTATTAAAAGATTGGATTAGCATATTGTTTTCGTAAACAAACTAGTTTGTGTTGGATGATGTATGCAAATGCTATGCCCCAAAGCGGTTTCTGTTCTAAAGTTGATTTCTAGAACATGTGGAACAAACTCCAAGTCACATGGAAAATGTTACAATTCAATAAGATCTTGGAAATATTTTAGGAATTTAACACATTTTGTTTGTCTTGTGAGACAGCAAAACCATTGTTATAAAATCTAATAAAGTTTTAACAGCAATCGTTTTAGTATGATATCACTCACATTGTTTTCGGTTGAGAAGACAGCATAGGGCAAATTTTCCAGGGGAAAATCACTGCCCGCCGGCACTGGCACAAAACTCTGGGACATTTTAAAAGCACTCAAAGTGGAAAACTTGGGCAGTTGGGTGCGAATCAATAAACTGAAACAGAGAACCGAGAAAAATGTGCGCGGAGCCAGAGTGAGCTAGATAACAACTGAGGGGTTTTCAAACTACGATCCGCTTTATATAGGCTCCCCAGACCCCAAGATCCCACCTCTCTCTATCTCTCTCTTAACAAAACCAAGCCCCCAAAAGTAGAAGAGTTGCCCCCATACCATTTTTAAGAGAAACATTGTTTGCGCTTTGGTTACTTTTATTTATATTTACCCATATATTTATATATATAATATATTCTTTTGCATTTATATAGATGTTGGAATAATTCTTGTTCTGGTTTTGATTTTTGGATCTCTGCAATTACATATACATTAATTTATACATACATAAAATGAGCGCGATGCTGGATAAACTTAGATAACACGCTTTAAAATACTATAATTGTTTAATTTATATTTATACCATTAATTTGTTGTGTGTGTTTTATTTTTGCTGAATTGACAAACGATTTTTTGTGCAAAGGTTTAATGTCTGATTGTGTTTTAAGGGGCTTTCCATTCCATCTTTTAATTTAGTAAAAACAACTGATTAAAACTTAACGAAAAACAGAATCTTCCAACATTCGTAATTGAGTTTAATTGACACCGGGTAATAGATATATATTTTTTTGTCAGCCATTTTGCTGGAAACTAAACTCCAACTAATTCGATTATACGTATTCATGTCTCTATATATAGCACAGTTCGATACATGGACTAAATGGGATCCGAAGTTCTGAAGATTTCAGAACCCAGATCCCCTCTCTTTGGTTTTGTCTATACAATTAACAAGCACAGGTCTCTTTCGATCTCGTTTTTAGTTTGTTTTTTTTTTAAAGGTACGCATGGCCATAGATATATGAAAACATTTACTATTTGCAAACAAAGCAAAATCAACGAATTTAACTAAAGTCCTTCATCATCTTCTCCTGATATGTTAAGATAGCGTTCCAACAGTTTCTATATCGTATATTTCAGTTTTTGGGGCTGGGATTGTTTCGTGTATTGTATTTTGGTGGTGCGTGTGTGGAGCGGTGGCTTCTATGCTCTGAATACTATCTTTATTTGCGGTATACATATAGATATTCAAATATTACTTATAGATTCTCCTCTTCTGAGTCCTTCGATTTTAGATATAGTTGCCAACGAACGGAAATGAAACGCCTCGATTATACATACATAGTAGTTCTTCATCTTGTTAATTTTTTTTAGTCAACTCCGGGACGAACGGATAACGACGGTTAACGAATAACGGTTAACGGATAACGGGATGAGAAATCGTAAAGGAACATCTAGCAACACGTTTATAGATACAAACAAATGTACATTCAACATTGAACTCTGATGATTATCGGGATCTTCTATCCCCTCCTCTCAAAATTTCTTCGTTTTCTTTTATTTTTATCATAGCGGTCTCCTGATATGCTTTTACCTTAATGATACTTCTTGGTTGTGTGATCTACCATTACCAATCTAAGCCGAACCGAACCGAACCAGACTGAAACCCCTTACAAGTCGTCGCCCAGGCGATGGATCTCCTCCAGCATAAAGTCCACATCCGCCTCGTTGACCGCCGCCGATGAGATGATCGATCGGAAGAAGTTGGGTCGCCGATCGTCGGGCTGATAGCCCACCATGAGTGTTCCCTTCTGCATCATGCGGCCCTTGATGATGGGGCAGATCTAAGGGGAAAATAAAGGAATATTAGAAAATTATATGGCATAGATTGATACTATATCTATAACAGCAAAGACTTTACAATTTTATAGCTAAATAATAAAAAATAATAATTAAAAACAAGAGAGGACGCTATAGTCGGGTGCCCCGACAATCAGATACCCGTTACTCAGCTAAAGGGAGTGCGAGAGAGATGGAGATATACAACTTCATGTGGAATTGCTAAGGAGTGTGACTACGGTGCTGGCAATTATTTTGCAGTACAACTTGAAGATTGCAGACGTAGGGAAGCAGGAAAAGCACATTTGTTAGGCGATATGTTCAAATATTATTAGTGCTGAAGAATATTTTTAACAATTTTTTAGCATTCTTGACCATGCAACGCAAAAAATGCCCAACAGACAAGCCCCATTGCCCCGCAGCGATAGACATTGTCCCGCAGTGATAGAAATAAACGGTCTTTTTTGTCCATAACTGTTTAAGTAAAAAATCCGTTGAACAACAACAGTTTTGTAGTTAGTTATGATATTATTGGAAATTAGTCTAAGAAATTTGAATCCGTGTAAATTCTTCGAAAGTCAAAACTGGAACAATACATTTTTAAATGTATAAGATGTTGAGGATAATTTTGCAAGGCGTACAAAAAATTATCGTTGCTAATAAAAAATTGCATTGTATATTTGTTGAGAGCAATTGTTAAAGGTTAGCCCGTAACTGATCATATTAAAAATAATCAGAAATTGTATGCATTTGGTAGGTAAATTTCACCATAAAACGGAAACTAATCTTACAGCTAAAGTCATTAAATCTCAAACCTTTAACAAGTCAACATGTTGAAGTTAAGCATTGCTTTTATTCTGGGTAAGTTTTTCTTCATACCTTCAAAATCATACTTTTATTCTGCCTCTATTTAGTTACTTCAATACTAGGAACCGAGGGTTTTAAATGCAAGGATGCGAATTATACGATTCCATCGATTCTTCGGAAAGCATGTGGAATTGCTACGGAGTGTGTCTACTCTGGGCCACATGCGTATGCTGTACGAAGTGAGGATTGCAAGCGTCAGGAACAAGGACTATCACGTAAGTAAAATATTATTTTAAAATACAATTAATGATCACACATTTTTAAAAATTGTTTAGCTTTCTTGAACATAAAAGTCGGAAAATGTCCGACAGGCAAGCCCCCTTGTTTTGGCAGTCAAAGATTGTAAATTAATAATACAAATTTTAAAATAATCGGTTTTTTTTGCCCAAAGCTTTATAATTTTTTACGGAAAATTGTGAATTTACCGGTAGCTAAACAATAAAATTTTGTGCCGTTAATTGTCTCGTCAGTTTCAAATCTTAAACACCATTATGATGGATTTTGCTGTTATCTATATTCAAGGTAAGTGTCTGGGCATTTAATATGAAGTGTACTAATATTGTTTCATCTTTTGTTATAGTTATATCATTATCGGAGATCAAATGCTATGATTTTGTTAAGTGTTTTTTTCGAAATCTTTAAAGCAGCATTTTGTTTTATATTTTTGTGAGTAAATTGCACGGGGCAGCTCATCAGAGCTGTTCTACAGTATACGTGAGAGGCAGAGGATGAGCAGAACAATTTCCTATGCTCACTTAATACCCCGCTGCCGACCGCTGCTTTAAAGGCTTTGGGCGCCAGATACCTTTTAAAATCGTTTGTGGGCGTTAGAGGGGGCGTGGCGCCCGGCTGAAATAAACTTGCACTGCGTAGGAAGCCCAAGAATATATGTGGCTAATCCCAACTTTCTAGCTTTGACAGACAGACAGACTGACAGACAGACGAAAACGCCACCTTCTCCCTGTTACATACTTTTGCACGAATACAATATACCCTTTTACTCTACGAGTAACGGGTATAAAAAGCATTATAACTGCATTTATCACTACTTTGCTTTTGAATAATAATGGATAATAGTCCTATACTATAATAATTTAAATATAGCATTATACGATGATTAAAATGAAGGTATATCAAAAGAACTAACAATATAATAACAAAATATTTTCGATTGATCGTTTTAGTTCAAAGTTAAGAAAAGTTAAAAATAACCTAATATATTTAAATAAAATCAAAAAAAATTAAATGCTTTATTGAATGATTAATATTAGGTTGGAAGAAAATCCCCAATTTAAGGTTTATATTCCTGAGTATTTAACTTATTTTACAGCCTTACCTTTCCCAGCTCCACCTCCTTCTTGGCATCGTGTGGCACTCCCCTCAGCCGCTTGGGCACATACCAAAACGAAACGTTGACGCACTCCGGCTCGAGGATCAGATGGAAGCGATCGGGGTGCTCGCGGATTCGCTTCAGCTGATATTGGACCAGTTCCATGAGGCGATCCTGCTGCTGCTCGAAGCCCTCGGTGCCCTTGGCCCGCCACTGGAGCCACAACTTGAAGATGTCGTTGTGCCGACCGCACTGGATGACCTTGTCACCGGTATCGTAGCTAATATCGTACTGCTTGTCGGTCATGAACAGATACTCGGCCGACATCTGGTTGCAGCTGATGAGGAGGCCCTGTAAAAAAAATATTACAAAATTATATATAAAAATATTCATTTGGAACTGATTGTGGTGACCTGGAGAAAAATCAGTTCTTAGCTAAAACCTATACTATAGAAATAATATTTTCTATAATATAACATATTGATTTTTAGTATTTGAAGGTGAGTTTCATATATATAACTAGATATCGATTTGGTATAAAATCTCTTTCTCACTCTACGAACATAACTCTCTGTCCATAAGTCAAGTTGAAATTTTAATTAAAATTCCGCCTGCCAAAAGACGCAACTGTGACCGATGGTAACATATTGCATGGGATGTAAAAAAGTCAGGGTGACTCGACGCATTTGGTGGGTTCGGTTCGTCAAAGATTTCATTACGCATTGTGTGTACTGCTACCCTTGGCCATTTTTGGCTCCTGGTTTGGCAGGACGAACAACAAGGAATTGTTCGGAGTACAATTGGAATTCTTTACACAAACATTGTTCGATGTGCATCCAGAAGAATGTTGGGCGAAAACCCATCCAGAGGGGAATGGGGGCGGTAGAAAAGGAATTTAAAGCATGGGGTTGAGCTAGAGGTATGCCTCGAATTTGTATCGCTTGGTTGAAAGACAGGGAATGGAAATGGAAATAAAAGTGGGGGAGGACCAACTTCTCTGACAGGCTGGCCGTTCATTTTAATTTGGCGACTCAAAGAACAATTATTCGTTTATTACTTTGCAAAGAGTAATTTTCCCAATTTTGGGCAATAAAATACGAAATATGTGAGGTCTGTCAGCTGTAAAGGATTCAGGATTGTATGTGAGTGGGATGGGTCATTGGTTTAATTCTGAACCAATTTTGTATAATTTTACGACTGAGCGGTTGGAGTGCTTTTAAACCACATATCTCAAATCTCTCTAAATTCCATTTTCTTTGGTTTTAAATGTTACAAAAACCTGTTGGTACATTGAAGATCCTTTCATAAGAGTTTATCTTCGATTTATTTGGTTTATTGTTTTGCAAAATGTTAAAACATCTAAACTCCAATATATTTATATGTTTTTATTTATTTATAACATTTATCCCAAAAGTTCTTTATTTTAATTAAATTATCTATACTTACATCCTCCTTGAAATGGATGGTGGAGCACTGGAGCAGGGCTCCCATGAGCTTGTGGGGATTCCAGGTGACCGAATCGGCGCTGTAGGAGTCGAAAAAATCATGGCGTTAAATGGACATTCAATTACGAATTACAAACAATTAACACTAATCTGCCGCAGTGCGGTACACAAACCCCAAACCCAGGAAAAATCCAACCCCCTGCTGTTCGACAAGATGTACCAAAAATAAGGAAAAGGGGAAGGGATGCGGAAGGTCCTGGCAAGTGCCATAAATTGTGGCAATTTCAGGCCGCACACTTTAATTGAATTCAAAAGAGCCCGAAGAGCGACGAGGACAACCCCCGTGGGCGCCGGAGGGTTGACATTGACAGCTAAACATCCCTGTGGGAGCTATTTACAGTTATGTGGGCGCAGCCTGTGTGCCAGTGGGTGTGTATGTGTGATTGGGCTGTGGAAGTGTGCGTGAGTGAGTGGGTGTCTATAAACATGGTCCTTATGGAGTGCCTGGAAGTATGCTTCAGTTTTTTGTGCACCGTGTTTTACTTTTTGCGAAAAAGGGTATATTGTTTATGGGTAAATACATACTAATTATTTCCTAAGTGTCTAAAAAATGTTTAAAACAATTTCTGAAGTTTCTAACACATTCTTGTGACATACAAATCAGTAATAATAAATCGACAATTGTTTTTTTTTTCTATTTTCTACTACTATTACTATTTTAAAAAAAAATGTATTTAAGGTAGACCTTTTTAAACTTTTAATGAATTGATATTAAACATTAAAACATAAATTATTTCTTAAAGAATTTTTGTGGAAATATTTTATAAGTAAGTATAAAATATATATAAGAAAGTAAGTAATATATATAAGTATAAAAGATTGAATACAGCTACTTCTGAAATTTAAGGAAACCTTTGAGAAGTATATTATAGTCTGAACCTTTTTCACACCCCTAAATTTTATTTGATTGAGCGACGGCATGTGAAGCTAAACTTTTTAAGATTACATTTTCGTTCGATTGTTTTAAGTTTCTATCCAAAATGAAACTCAGCGGTTTTAGAAGCCTCAATCGAAGGACCATTAATCAGAGCTGCGTAAGCCGATGAAGGCCGCAAAATGTCAGCTGCATGGGCATTTTAATGATTAATTCGCGCTGAGAGCCTTTCAATTAAGGACCTCGATTTGCATGCCACAACAATTCGGGCCTTAGGATCCATTCAAACTAATTGAAGGCGTTTGCCTGCGAGTCTGGGTGATGGATGGATGAAAATGGTGGGGCAATCAATTTGAAAGTGTTTATGGAGTTGGGATACTTGACCGCAAGCTGTCGATACGGCGACAGCTGCACTTGCGGCATTTGCCTAAGCTTCCTGAAGACTGAGTGGAATTAAATTAAAGAAGCTGTATGGGATAGCTGATGTAAATGGATTGGAGGTTGGAGTAAGAGTAAAGTGCATTTCAGGTTGCGACTTTAAAATTAAAAATTCCTCGTCCCGGAGTTGAATCCACTGACTTGCCCTCTCGCATTCATTGTTTGGCGTAATTGTTGTGTAAGTAATGCCCATGGAAATCCAAAAGCACCCCTCTTTGGGAAAGGGAATATCCACTTTGTTCATTTGTTTGTTCGGCCCAAAATGCACTCGGCTTGTGCCTTGTAATCCCTGTAAGCTCTGAACACCTGATGGACCCACTAAATGACAAATTGAGATTTTTCCCACATGTTCAACTCGATTCTGTCGCTTGAAAAAGGGGGCGGTGAGCGATGCGGGCCATTTGGGAGCATTTAGATCTAAATTTACCCAAACCATGGAAGAGATTTCAATTTGTGTTTTGACTGGGCGGAAGATGAGGGCGCTCGAGGCACAAAGTTCATGTCAAGAACGATGATGAATGGGCACAACAATTGCTTTGGACAAAAGATAAGGTTGGCTAAGGGGTTTTTAAAGCACTTTTAAAGAACTTAAGAAACCAAAAGGAAGTTTAAAAAATTGATAACTTAAAGGAATGCTGAAGTTTTCATGAAACCTAATCCCTGTCTTGAAAATAACTTTAAGAGGAATATAAAAGCAATCTTGACAATTTACGGAACTTTAAAATATTTTTTTAAGAATGCATTTATTTACAAGGAAATTCAAAAAAATATTCGCACTGAATTAGGAAAAAATTATGTAAAATAAATAAAAATGTCAAATTCATTTTGAATTTTTAAAATTCAGTGCGAATATATTTTTGGATGTATGATAAGAATAAACAATTTTTTAAAGTAGTATATTAATGTCAACTATGTAAATTACTTACCGCTCAACACCAGTAAATCTGGGATGACGATGCTTGCGCGACATCAACAGTCCGCCGCCCCAAGCAGCCTATAAAGAATTTAAGAAAAGATAGAATATCATATTAAAATATCTTCTGGACTATAATCTCCCAATATAATAAAAAAATGTTCTTTCTAAAATTAATGGATATTTTCTTTATTTTTGTTATTCTTCCCAAAGAACTCACATCGATGTGCATCCAGCAGTTGTACTTCTGGCAGATATCAGCAATCGTGTTGATATCATCGAAGGCCCCCAGAACGGTGGTGCCGGCAGTGGCGTTCACGAAGAACGGGATGTCGCCCTTGGCCTTGCGCTCCAGGATCAGGCGCTCCAGCTCCGAGGTGATCATCTTGCCGTGCTCATCCGAGGGCACCACAATGCAGTGATCAGTTCCCAGGCCACAGACGGCGGCACAAGATTTAATCGAGTAATGGCACTGGTCCGAGGTGAACATCACCAGGGTTCCGGGCAATCCCACCGAGCCGTGCTCCTTGTAGTTGGGGAACATCTTGTGGCGAGCGGCCAGGAAGGCATACAGATTGGAGATGGAACCTCCGGGGGCCAGGATCGAATCGCCACCCGACCAGCCGATAATCTCACGCATCTTGGTCAGCACAACGTTTTCCATCAGGATAAAGACCGGTGCAATCTCGTAGGTGAACATGTTGGTGTTGGCCGTGGCCGTCAACCACTCGCCGGCCATGGAGATCAGGTCCAGACCATTGGACAGTTGGTTGAAGAAGTGGGGATGTCCTGAAAATTATAAAGAAAATGTTAAAAATTAATTACAAAATTCTATTATTTTCTGTATTTTGAATTTTATTTCTCTGATTTTAAAACTCCCACAAAATAAACAAATTCAGTTTGTTTAATATATACTTTATAAAATTAAAGTTCCAAGTTCCAATTTATATTCTTAATTCAATATTTGTAATCATGTTACTATTAGTAAAATCAAATCAATTCCAATGTTAAGGTAAATGTAGATAAAGTTTATTTATTGTTGCTCCCAAATTTGCAAATAAAAATCTTCAGTATATCTATTATCAAACTTGTTCAATATTGGGCATTATTATTAACTCTTACAAAAATCGTAAACCAAACTTTTTAAAATAAATAAAATTTTAAAAAAAACCCCTTAAATATCTATGTAAATTGCAGTATTGTACTTTTTAACTAGACCTTTGTCTCAAGTTAAATTCCTGTCTTTAATTAATTTTTTCGGAAGTAATACTTGTGACATTTTCTATGTGCTTGCCTAATGTAGCAGAAAATGCTTTCCATTTAGCCACGGCTGTCTGTTCAGGCTGTCTCTTCAAGTCTTCAAGGGACTTTTCTCGCTTCTCCGGAGAGCAGAGTGATTCTAAGCTGACAGCAGATGTGCCTGGCAGCTGTGCTTCCTTTTTTGTTTTATTAAAAATATATATATGTATATATTCGAGGGCAGTGGCAAAGTGAAACAAAAGGACGAACGGCTGACTGGCCTCGAAAGGAAAAAAATATCTATGGAGGAAAACGAAAAAGGACGATAGAAAAAGACCGCCGGAAGTGCATATGTTCAAGGGCAGACGGTACAAGGTCCAGAGGCCAATCGATTGGGGATAGTCTGCTCAACAAGTTTAGCCCTGTAATCCTTAAGCCTACTGCTCCTGTTTCTCCCCCTGCTGAGCTCCATAAATTGCTCATTTATTGTAGCTAATTGCGACTTGCCGAGCTTCGATTTTCGGGGTGCTGTATGTGGAAAAACTCCCACGAAGAATCACAAAATGCTTTCAGTCACCATCAGGAAGCTGTCCAACTCCCCGATTTTTATCCCATCCCAACGCTATTCCAGCTTGAACCCTTCGGCGTCTGTCAGTTCACATCTTGAGTGCCATAAGTCGTGTGATTAAAATCCCATTGCCCACAAGGCTAAATCCACCCACAGAAATAAAATATATCTGCACTAGGAAAAATACTAAAGCGTTGTTAAATAATCTTAAATATCTAAAGTTTTTTTTTAAATTAAATAGAAAAATTGTTTAATAAAAATGTATGTCTCTAGATTTTTTAAAAGAATTATAATTTATAATATTAATCTAGATTTCCAGTAATCATAAATAGAAAGCGATTTTAATAATCATGACTAAGTTCAAACATATCTTTCTGGACTCTTTAAACAATTTTTGCTCGTATAGTATTATTTATTAAAAATTACAATGGTTTTTAATATTTTTGTATCGCGTAATTAATTTAAAACATACTCATTTACTTTATTTCAACTAATTCTTTTCGTAACATTTTTCTCTCTGTCTAAACTGACAGAGCGTTGGCATCCAAACATTTCAATTTGCGCATGTGGCCAGGATATTCTCGTTGGAAGGACGACACGACTCGACTCGAATCGAGCGGATTCACCCTCGCCCCAGCAGCCATTCATTCGCATCAAAGGATCAGGAATGCAGCGAGTCAGAAAATAACAACGGATTTTGATTAAAGCTCCCCTCGTTTTTATAGAGTCCTCAGTCCTTCGAGAAGGAAGGAAGCCCTGTATCCTTCGTATCAGGTTGCCCGTCTGACAGGGCGCGCATTATGTGAGATTACGGATCATAAATGGGACTCTTATCGGGTCTGCCGGGAAGGCAAAGTATGGATAAAGGAGTCCTGACATTACTATCTTTTAAAGAGAAAAATGTTTGTGACTTTTTATTTTTTAGAAATATTTTTAATTAAATTTTTTTTTTTTCTACTATTAACTCTGTTTTTATGAAAAATGGAAAATTTAAAAAAAGGCTATAAAAAATTGAAATTATTAAAAAATTGTAATTCCCAAAAAACTTTCACTTTTACAGAATTTTAATTATCAATAAATTTATCATATTAATACCTTATAATATTTTTTAACATAATAAGTAACTATTAAAAGACGTATTTGGAGTTCCCAAGTATAATTTTCTTTTACCACAATCTTATTAACCCGCAACTTTCTTTTAACAAAAGCTTACTTCCTAATCTCATTTTAATGAGAGGAAAACTAATTTCAACTTGAGCCAAAACTTGAGCTTCCCACCATATAAAGCGGTTCTATGACTATGCATCCTAATTACGTTTCTTTTAGCCTTCCCAAAAGTTTCCCATGCAATCTGAGTTTATTCAGTTGCCGTCTTGATTGCGTAGAGTTTTAATTCAATTTTTGGCAAACCAAATGGGAGCAGAAGGCTAAAACGGCAGCAGTCCTCATTTCCTGCGAAGAACAGCAAATCAAGGAAGCAACGCCTGCTTCCGAGACAAGGCCGCAGTTTCCGGGGGTGGTGGGTGTTGTGTTTCTCCTGGGGTTGAGTGGGTGGGGTGTGCCGTAGTAAATACGCTTATTATCGATACTCCAAACACAATTGCGGTCACGTGCGAGGACTGCACAAACATCGAAGGACAAAGACAGCGACGGACGACTGGGGACAGACTCTCTGCCTCTCGCATTAATTTTCAATGAAATCAAATCAGCAAGGACATTCAAAACAAGCTAGAGGAAACTATGATAGAACATATAGACCTCGGAATACCTTAGAAATTTAGGAAATTTGATTTAAAAAAATAATACATTATTTGAGTATATTTAATGAAAGAAGTTTCAAAAGATTTTATTTTGAAAAAATAATTATAAAATATTTTTAGTGGTTTAGATATAAAATATTATCTGAAACTTGAATAAAATAACAAAGAAATATATATTTTAAAAGTTACATAAAAAGATGCAAAGATTAAGGTTTATTTTATTATTTATATTTTGAGTATATTATTTATTATATAATTGATTTTTTTATATTTTTGTTACTAACATTCCCCAATACCCCCTTTATCATCAAATAGTGGGTATAAAAAAGTTAAAAGTGAAACGTGCGAATGACTTTTGGCTGCTAAAGCCGCCAAAGCACACAAAGAACCCTTTGCCTTTGCCTGATTTATGATTGATGGCGAACTGAAGCTGAATCTGAATCAGAATCGCAGGGGGATTACAGACCCCTTAGGCGAGTGTTTTTGAAAGGTGTAAACAAGCCGGGGCCGCAGCTCAATGGGCCATAAAATGGCATTGTCTGCTGTCTGCACTCCCTGTACATCCCAGTGCGACTACATACATATCTCGCCGAGTGCCATCAATATGCTAATGTGCTTATCTACAAGGCTGCACACTTTGTGCTCTCTATAATACGACCGCAAGGTCCAGAGGCACGCGTCCTGCCCCTTTGCCCTTAAAAAATAAAAAATAAATATGCCACAGACAAAAATCATATGCTAAGCAGGGACAAATTTGATTAATCCCCAACTGAGCAAACTTTAGAGGGCGATAATAAAAAGTGAAATTAAAAAGTTTAGATCACCTTTGAATATTTATGATAACTTGATAGGGCTTGGTTGACAGGTTTAAAGAAATTAAACATTTTTGAAAAGTTGCTATGTGACTAGAAAAATATTTTATATTAATTAATAAAATTAATTTACTTTTTAACTTCCTATATTGAACTTATTTGAGAAACCTTTAGAAGGTAACACTCAGAACTGAACTTTAAAAATGTAAATCACCTCTGAATATTCATAAGAGCTTGGAAAACTGAGAGATTTGATGTTAAATCCGCTTTTCAGGATTTTTGCAAATTAAATTACATATAAAATTATCGTTTGTATTTATTTAAAATTGTTTTATCCATTTCTAATTCTCCCTAACGCTTCGTTATTTTAGGTATATTAGTTTTATCAATTCTTAACCAGTGTTTTTTTTTATTGTTTTTTCATACTTTTATAATTTTAATTAATTTTTTTGACTTACCCGTCTTAACTTGGTACTTCAGCGTGGTGGCACAATCCTCGATGAGTTGCTGCAGTGGCAAGGCGCGATCGGGCACATCGAGATCCAGGAGGCGCTTCATGTCCTCGGGATGGTGGAAATCCAGGATCTTCTCATTGCGGTCGTTGGTGGCCTTTACATAGTCCAAAAGCACATCTACTACCTTCAGCAGGAACTCCCGTGTCTCCGGTCCAGCCGAAACTGTGGTGGGCATGAGATCTGGATAGGAAAAACAACAGCAAAAAAGAGAAGAGGGAAATGAGTATTTCTTATCGGTAAATATGAAAAGCGTGCCCCGCTGCTGACAGGAAAAATGGTTTTTCTCTCTTATCGTGATATATGGCCATTATTATTGCGATGATTTGTGGGGAGGCCGTGTCGTAAAAAGAGATGACTGGCTTTTTTTGGATGAAAGGTAAGGTAAGTCAAATCTGGTCAGGGGCTGACTGAGATTTCAATTATTCTTTCCGACTTTTTAGGCTCATTCACCGAGAAAATAAAATGCGTATGAAGTAAAGGAAACTTTTATTTAAATTAGTAAAATGCTAGTTTTGCTAAAAACTAATAAAACATTTTTAAAATAATTAATAATAAAGTTAACTTATAATTAAATAAGGAAAAAAAATTACAAGCCTAAAAATATACCTTAAATTGCTTTTTAACAACCACTATTTTCCGATTAATTTAGTACTTATTTGTCTTCAAAAAATTATGAATAATCAAACAATATTAAGAATTAAAAGCATTTAAAAATACTAATTTGGTTTATATCTTTTAAATCTTATTTTATTTAAGTGCAATATTTTCCTTGAAAAAAATCCCAAAAACTAAGGATTAAAAAGCTGTACATCAAGCAAGGATTTTTATGGAAACTAGCTGGATTTGGGCAGTGCACCCTTGTGGTTTGAGCACATCCTTGGCTGTACGAACAGCAAGGACACATCGTCCTTTTGCGGTGGCTGCAATTAATTACTGGGGCTTTTGTTTAAGCATCAGCAGTGGCCACTAAGCCACCGAGCAAATGGGAGCAGCTCCATTAGAAGCCAGCTGGAATCAATTGGAAACTTAACGTTGCGCATGATTACCATTTTATTTTCGGGGGAAGGACTTTTTCGGGGTGGTGGGACAAATTGTAGCAATTTCAAAAATTCCTCGAGTTTACGGCCAAGAAGTTAAATAAAATTTAATGTGCTCGACTGGGTGCTCAGTGTCAAAGGCAGACGGAGTTCTGAGTTCCGAGTTCTGAATCCAGAATCCCGAATCCTTGGGAAGCATTAAAAACAGCCGTCGTCACACACGAGAGTCCTGGAATCGAGCGTGAGCAATATCCTGTGACTAAACGGTTTATGTTTGTTGGCCTTTCAATTTGAGGCACGCGTCTGCCGCCTCGGGGAGAGTCCTGCCACCTTTTTCCTGGTCCTTGGTAGAAACTTATATCGAAATGGTGGTGGATTTGTTTGACTTTCTGTCTGTTTGTTTCGTATTTGTCGGGGAAAATCTGTTACAGAGCAACAGTCGCCAGTTTCACGCTTCAGCGAAGCCAAAAACACACAAGGACATACGAAACAGGAGCTACCACAGTGCAGGGCCATTTATCAAGGACACGAGTGTCCTGGACAGCCCATGTCCTTAGACAGAAGCAGTAGCCATTGCCCATTTGCTGTTCCGTGTCCCTGGCTGTGTCAGTTTAACAATCGTTTATTATTTGAACAGCCAAAAGCGATTCGAGTGCAGTTATGCGGAGGAGAGGACCAATGTTTGCCAGGATTATTATCCCACAGGCGAAGTAATGCCCCCCTTCGGAATCGTGTTCATAAAATATGTTTCGTGTGCAGGAATGTGACAGGCTGAAGTAGCAAGTACGGAAAATAAATCTCGGCTATCTGCTAAAATTAATACCTTGTTTTGTTGCAATTTATGACTATGACAGAAGTCTGTAAGCTTGAATATTAATTACTTATGTAACCAATTATTTTCTTTTATTGATTTACGCGTAAAAATTGTATTTCATTTACGTACACTAAGCATGTGGAAATATTCAGTAAAATATGTCTAAGATACTCATAATTTAAAAAACAAAATAAAATAAACAATTGGGTTTAAGGAAAATTGTATCATATTTAATTGATAATAAGAAATGAATAACAATCATTTAAAAAAAAAATTTGCAAGCAAAAACGGTAAAAACAAAAAAGAATAAAAATTTTATGGCCTAAAATATAAGCGCATTCAGTATTTTAAATATTAACAAAGTAAAATCACTAAAAATGTTTTAACCTAATTTTTACATTATTTTAAATTAGTTTTTTGAAATTTTCGAAGAGGTATAAATTAATACAATACAATTAAAATATAATCTTAAAGTAATAAAAAATTGACTTAACATTTATTTTTTGTATTTAAATAAAAATAATTTTGTAACAATCGTGGAAAAGAATTTATACCTATTATTTAGGTACATATATGTGACACAATTATTATTTTATTCCCAATATCCTTTTTTCATATTTTTAAATAAATGAACAAAAAATACTTACCATATGCCGTCAGTTTGCCCGTCCTCTCGGACAGTTTATACCCGTTGGGATTGAGTGCCATTTTCTCCTCTGCAAGGATAAAAGGTAAGAAAAGTGTATTAATTACTAAGGGTAATCCCAAGAAGAGAGTCTGCTCCTAAGAACTCCTATGGAAAAATGGATCTCTTGGCCAAATGAAGTGAGTCAATGTTATGTAATCGACCGAAATTCAAAGACCCCCAGGCAGGTGTTACATAAGACCTTGCCTTTCGAAAGCCCCCTCCCCCTCCTTTTTTACACCAACCCACACACAAACACAAATTGCATAACCAAGACAAACAAACAAACGGTGTGAAAATGCAATGGGCGTGTAAATAAACAGAGTGGAGAATGGAAAGGGAAGTTGGGGGGATGGGGATTGGGTAGAGGGGGTCTTGAGACAAGGACAACTGAAGGGCAAGTTCCCAGAGGGAGGTAAATATCTGGTATACAGTATATACACTGATTTCGAGGACCCCTCCTCTCCATTTTGGCGCCATCTGCTATTGCGCAGTGAGTGTTAAGCCAATTTCCTGCGACTGTAAATATATATATCGCTATATATCCTCTATGTAATTTACATGGGGATACAGACAGCTGCAGTTAATGGGCGAAGAAGAAGGAAAAACCTTGGACAGTACGAAACTTATGCAATCGTTTTACTGGGGAGTCTTACCGATAATCCTGCGGATATCGTCGATATACTGCTTTAGATAATTCACTTTGACTCTTTTAACGCCGACGAGGCTTTCGGGGTAACGAATAAAAAAACTAGAAAGTTCTAGAGGAGAATGTGCGAAATGTATCGAAATGTAACTCTAAGATGGAGCTGCGAGTGCTACGAGTGGTCTTCTAAATTACGGCGCAAAACTTACAGAGTTCCTGTTTCTTAGCAATCAAAAAACACTGAAAAAAACACTCGCGGGACGGAGCCTGTAACTCACTGATAAAAACGGACTTTACTAGCGGAAATAGAGGAATTTTTCTTTACAATATATATCTTCTTTTTGTTATATATATCTTTAGCAACTTTCACTTGTTTTACAGAGAACTGTTAGGGAACTGAGCAGCCTACACTCGCTGACGATCTGCGGAGCTATGAGCAGCAGCATCCGACTGGGCTGCCTACGAAGCTTTTCCACAGCCACACAAAATGGCTGCCTCTCTTGCATAACCTTCAGCCAGGAAAGGAAAATGCGGGAAATTCTCCGGGGTGACGTCATTGATTTTTCGGCAACCATCTTTGTTAAGGCCATTTTAGCGTGGGCGGAGCTTCAACCATGCGCGCCCCAAAGTATCCAACAGATACATAAAATATGTGCGCAAGCCTGGTAAATACTAAAAAAAAAAGAAAGAAAAATATATAAAAAAGGAAATAAAGATTGTGTGGGGGGCGACCAAATGAAAAGCTAATTAACAAACTAATTTTGCCACTGTTTCTGACATTTACAATGACCCACAACTTTTTATGAGAGTTCCGTCGAATGACAGTGAAAAAAACCCCCTATAATTGCTGCCGTTTCCCTTATATGTAGGATATACATATAGGACCTAAAACATAGAAATAGTAGTATATAGAACAAAACGAAATTTGGGTCAAAGCTAAAAGTCCCCTTCTTCTTCTTCGCCCATGCAAAAAAGATATATATCTGCGAAGTGAAATTGCATCATTTCCAATAGAACGCTTTTCATAGCATACTTTTGAGGGCCCTGAGAACACGCATATAGTGGAATGTTATATAACTTGTAAAAGAACCAAAGGGGCCAAAGGGAAATGATGTCCATCAAAGCGGAGAGGCTTAAACAACGAGAACATGAAAAAAACACTACCCCCCTAGAAGAGTTTCTCCCCACTTTTTATCTGACATGGAGCAGCTGGCGAAGGATGTTGCCTTGGTCTCCTCGGTTCTTGGTCCTGGCACAGGATCCACTGCGTCAGCATTTTCGTTGCGAAGGCTCTGGCACTTGAAAAGTGTCTTTCGATGTAACTGATTGCAACTTAAGAAGGCCATTACAGTAGCAATAACTCCCCTGCAAGTCCTTGTGATCAATCTTTTATTGAATGTCAGTTCACCATATTGATAACATGAAGTAGGCGGCTTTTAACAAGAACTTTTAAACACTTTTGTATGGTTTTATTAAAGAGAAGCTATAAGCTTTAATAGGGCAATAACAATTTAAATCATTTAATATTTGAAAATTTATTAAAAAGTCAATTAGGTAATTTTCTCGTCTACAAAAGTAGTCAATTCAGAAGTCGATCACAAATATTTTTTAATGAACTTCATCATTATATCTTATTTTATCATCGAGATTTTGATTTGAGTACCTAATTTAAACAAATAGTTGGAAATTCAATACAATACAATATTTATTTAAACAAAAATATTATAATTATTCAACATTTTACTCTTAAGAACAAATAAATAGACTTAATATAACTTAAACATAAAAAATGCATCCTTAAAAATTTTTAAGAAAACTACAATATTTTTAAAAAATATATTTGAAAAAAGTTAGTTTTACTTAAGTTTTCTCTCTTTAAAAATAAATTAATAAACCTAACAACTTTAAAACAGCTGATCAAAATAAAATAAAATAAAATATTTAAATATAAAGCACAAATAAATTATGTAAAATTTGCATAAGCTCGTAAATTAAATGATAAGACCAATTAATGTTTATAATCGTTTAAATTCAACGAAAATTAAAATCCTATATAATAAAACGAACTTCATTTAGCTTAAAAATCACGTGACAAACATGGCTTCCACTCAATATAATTTTGCACACTGAAATTAAGACTCCCGCTTAACCCTTTAACAAAGCCCATCCATCACAAGTGTCAGACAAATATTTGCGATAGCAAACACACACCTATTTAGACAGCTATTTAGACTGGCAAAATAAAGTCGGGGCTTATCTCTGGAGCCTCTTGAACAGCATGTGCTACCAATAATAATTAGGCACTCTGTCTGAACTTATCGCAGATATATATATGGTATGGGGCCTGGGGAATAGTATGACTATATGGCGGTGTTCCATCTGCGATAGCATATCCACTGATTCGCACTTGAATCTATGACACCGGCAGATAAAGCCATCAAAAGCATTTATTATTAGCAAGTGGGATTTTCGCAATGGATTTCGTTCTCTGGCTCAGTTCACCAACTGCTACCATTTGGATCGGACAGCTTTTATATAAATCCCGGCGAGTTAAGAGTTTAAGCATTTCCATTTCAAGTGGGGCAGGTGCACCAAACAATCGCATTTAATTGAGTCAAACTTTTCGAAAAGCACAGTAAGTTGTAAAGGGAAACGGATACAGAAGCCGACATGAACAACAAAAGGATTAAGGGCTTAAACAATTTATAAGACCGCTGCTTAAAATACCCTTTATAAAAACTAGAAAGCTAAAACCAAAATAAACTCAAATGACTTAAGTCCATATATTGTCATGAATCAATTGATTTATTTAGTTTGGGCGTTATATATTTAGTTTATTTTGTTTTTTTGGTGTAGCTGTTATTTTAGCCTTCAATCAATAAGTCAGTGCAATATATGGCCTTTTTTGTTTTTGTTGTAGGTCACTTTTCCTAAGATATACATATTTTGTGGTACAATTTTTGGGTTATTATTTGTAAAATTAAAATTGTAAAATTGAGTTAAAAGTTTTTTGATTTATCTAGGTAGAAAATGTTGGAAATATAATTAAAAATAAGAAAATAATTTCAAACTACCTTTCCAAAATTTTAAAATATATAATATTGCATTTATAATATTGTTTATATTAATATTAATTTTTCAATTTAAAGTTATGAAACGATGATTACCTATTTTGCTATTTTTGAGTTATACTTTATACTTATACTTCAGGAATTATACTTTTCTATTAAAAGTACAGCTATTCAGCAAAAAATAAAATAAACCATAAATATCTTTAATTCATAATATATTTTAAAGAACGTGATAAAACAGTTATACCTCATGAAAAGGGTATAACAAGCGACCGGAATCATGCAATGAAACGAACTCTCGAGCAGAAAATAGGATGCTCACCTGGCTGTGATTGCACGTAGCGCAAGTAGGCCCTGTAACCCAGATAGGCGAAAATGTTTGGAGTCTATGGCCCACCCACGGATGCGGATGGGTGAGGGTTTTCAGACGGGAGTTCAGTTAATTCAGTCTGGGGAGTTTCGGAAACTCTCGAAGCGTCCTCTTTCGCACTCGACTCTCAACTGTGAGCCAGAGGACCAGAAAATGCTCCTCTTCACCCGTGGGCCATAAACATTTTTCCTGGCTATAAAAAAAACGAGGAAAGGGAGTTTTGGGTCTCTTTAGTCTGCTTAGCCTGTCATTACGCTGACAAAATAAGATTCCAGCAGCAGGTTGGTTAGACCAGGTATTTTTGCTGAGGTATTTTAGACGAAAATATCCGTTTGAGGAGCATGGCCAGGATGCCGGGATGCCATGGAAGTTCTGAGAGCCCGAGAGACAGGCGATTGCATAACCCCTTTCGGTTTGGCAAATCAAGCGCATGAAATTCGGATAGCAAATGCTCGGGATAACAATAGTGTAGGGATTAGGCCCTAGGAAGAATCCAAAACCCCAGCCCCCTGAAGGCTGTTGTTTTTTTTGCTGCCTATTTTTGAGAGCGCGATAATTGCATTTCGAGCACAATTGCTCCTATTGTAAGGTCTCCATTTTGGCCCCCCGAAGGATAATACGCCCCCCAAGCCATACCATACCAAAATCAACCCAACATAACCCATCCCCCAATCCTGTAATCTTCGCCTCTCTTTTCAGCCCAGCGATGGGAAAGCGTGTGGAAGGGGGACAGAAGAAAATGGGGAGATGGAATCCCCGTTTCGGCCTCTCATTGGCTGTAATCCTGGTCCTTACTGCGTCGGCGCAGACTGTGACGTCATTGCCGTTGCCGAAGGACGAAACTTTGGGGGATGCTGCGTTGGCATCGCATTCAGCAGCCAAAATCCTTGAAGACATCCAAACCATCAGCGCAGTTCAGGATTGGAGTTTGCTGTGTAAAGAGCTCTGCGGGTAAGTTTCGGATAAACAGCAACCGAAAACTCTTCAAGTTGCCAAAAATAAAGTGACTTAGACAGTCAAGTGTGACTCAAGACTCAAGTGTTTTTTTCGGCAAGTGTAGGTTTCCCCCAAAAAATTACGAACTAACCATGATAATAACAAACTAAAACAAAAAGTGTGTGTGTTTTGCGTGGCCATGAGAAATCCGTCGGACTTTCAAGTGGTTTTCATCGACGTTTTTTTCGTAATCGCGACAGTCGGGCAATTATAATCCACATTCCTGATTTGTTTTCTAGTATCGTGGCGTGTGTGCAATGTTTTTGTGAAGTGCCAAATATGTTAAGCATAATCGGTACTCGAAATTAACTAAAATTTGTTGTTCACGTGAATTACTTGAAAATTTAGATGAAGCTTTTGGGTTTCTAAGATTTTATAATAATTCAGAAATATTTTTCAAAAAGCAAGCTTAAAAGATGGGTTTTCTTGCCTCGCTTTTAATAACCAAATATTGAAACACTTCAATATTTAAAGTAAAATATTCATATAGTTCGTCGTTTTACGAAAGTATTTAAAACTTTTTAATCATACTACTAAAATACCACGCTCAATATTAAAAAGGCTTTAAAAACAAAAAACTCGTGGTTACAAATTTTAATCTTAGAAGTAACTTCTTCTAATTTATTTTCGGATATTACCTACATTTTTTGTTTTACAATAATTTGGTTAACTTTTGGGTAAACAAATGTATAAAAAAGCGTATCCTTTTATTTGTTTTTTCTTTTCTTAATCCTTACAGAGCTGGCCTGGGCGTTGCTTCAACGCCTGATGGGGCCAAGAACCCAATCCTGAGACCAGAGTTCGATGTGGCCAAGTGCCGGCAACTGTGTGGACTGCCTAGGGGTAAGTGAAATACTCATAACATTTTTCTATTTCTATAACGATAATATTACAATTTTGATATATGAATAATACTTTATTCGAAAAAAAAATAAATTAAAAATATACTTCATCTCATATTTAAATATGCATTAATCCAAAATATCAAATTGAAAATTGGTTCAGTAGTTATTTTTAAAATTTTTTCATTCTATAGAGATAGTTAGTTTTATAGAGATAGTTAAATAAAAATAAACATGATATTATCAAAAAATAAAATTCCTTGTTCCAAAAAATTATAAAATAAAATGTATTTAAAATATATTGCATTATTATTTCATCCTGAACAACTTGTATTTTAAAAGTTTACTTTAAATATTTTCCAGGTGCCCAGGGCGACTTGGTCTGCTCGAGCTTCTGCGGGCAGAGAGGTCGCTCCCTACCCGGTTGCAGTCCCTGCCAGCAGGAGGTGCGCAGGATGAAGGAGAACGAGGAGCAGAAGGAGGAGGATCTCCAAGTGGAGATGAAGGCCAGTGGCGTGCAGGGCGATCCAACACACGGTCCCGCAACCCGCGAGATGACACTCCAGAGATCGGTCGACGAGGAGGAAGCAAAATCATCCTCCTCATCATCATCGGTGGCTCCCGTGGTAGCCGGGTCAGCCGCGGATGCGACTACCACTACTGCGGCTCCGGACTGGGACGAAGTGTGCAAGGTGCTCTGCAAGACTGGCGATGGCGGGTCTTTGTGCAACTGTGATTTATCGCCGTTCTTCAGCTGAGCGATCCCCACCTTCCTGAGGGGATCGCTCCCGATGGAGGTGCTAAATCACAAAAACCATTATATATAGATCGAGAATTATATACTACGATGTTTTGTTGTTCTTCGTTTTTGGACTTCAGTTAGTGCTAGTGTTGTCTTCATACAAAGTTATATCCTTATCGGAAAAACTTGTTACGAAACTTTTAGTTCAATATTGTAAAGAAAAAAACAAAAAAAAAACCTATAGAAAAATCGGAAGATAAAAAAGTATATATATAGAGAAGAATACACAATATCGAGGAGGCGAATGAGGAACGAGAAGCGAAAAATCCCTATGCGAATCAATTAATTTGTAACTAATTTCAATTAAAAAATGTAACTATAGAAACGCTATAAAAAGCGATAAAACAGCAAAATCACACAGGGCTTCCAGTGCGCCGCCTCGGAGGATGAGGATCTTTTCCCAAATGGGATCCTATATCCACCGGACGGACACAACCCGTATTGATTAGTAGTTAAGTGAGCTTCTTAGTCAAGGAGCTGGACTAAGGAGACACTAACAACACAACAACAACAACCAAACTAATATCAAAGTACACAACATATCGTGGTATACCCGAAAAAAGTATACCCAAAATCAAAAATCACATTATATTATTTAAATTATAATAACACACACCTTGGTTCGATGGAATCAGCATATCAATTTTCCACGAGGCAAAAAACAAAAACAAGTTGGTATCATCCAAAGAATTTCCTTTGTTTTGGCTTACAAGTTATTGGCGAACAAAAGCGTTGATATATTTAACATCTTAAAAAAAATCCAATCAGTATCAATTATGAGTGTCGCAATTAGGCCAATGAGCCAACCAAGAGTTTAGTGTTGGTTACGGCCCTTTACAAAAAAATATAAAAAATATACAAGATCTAAATGTACTTAATAACAACTGTAATTGGTCTATATATATCCACACAATGAGTTGCGATTGCAAATCAGAAACTCAGACGCGGACATACTGGATCAACCAGAACCGTAAATATATATATATTTAAAGATATATATTATAAAGAAAATTGTAAACCTTAGTTATTCTAATATCTAGGTGTCATATTGTTCAGCATAAATAATAATCGCATATAAATAATATATTATATGCATATTATCTGTGTGTTTGGAAGACATTTTTTCGCATTGCATTGAAATGGAAGACAATATCAGCAAATCGCATTCTGGAAGACATGCGTTGCGGCAGCGGCAACAACAACAGTCAGCTGCCACTTAGTTTATAAGAAATATATCTATATCATAATAATAATAATAACATTTTCGAACTCGAAGATATAGTCAATACACAAGCACACGTTGTTGTGACAAACGCGACGCTGTGACTGACAATAATTAACTATAACTTAGGAGGAGAACAGCAGGCAAGGAAGTTCGCATACTCAGTGTCTATATACCAAAAGCACTATTGCTAATATAAAATAACCATGCACTTATTAAAAAAAAATTCGTATGAAAAAGTATTTAAAAAAATATTGTATTGCACCGAAAGTTATTATTACCGATAATATCGCAGTGTTTAAGGCAATTTTCAGAGCACATTCATTGATAACCTAATGCGGCTTCAGTATGTATATCGATGTGTAGCAAGTTAATCACTCAGTAAAAAGTATATTGTACGAAATGCACTTAACATTTATGTATATGTATATGTGTTAGGCGTTGCGTTTCTGCCATGAATACAGACGGATTATGCCGGAATAATATCCATAATCCATAATATACCATAAAATATATATATTTATAACCAACAGACACATCATCATCAATTACGAAAAAACCGAGTCGAAAACCGTTTCGAACCGATTATACCGTTTCGCAGTTTCGTTTCTTCAGTTCTAACCTATGGCCAGGCATTATCCCAATCGGTAATGTCCTAGCTCATAGTCAAAAAAATAAACACAGAAAAATAGTTTTAAAGGCAATTTCACAACAAATAACCAAAGCAAGCAACTAAACAACCAAATAAAGGCAAATATTATCTTATATACGTTAAATGTTGTAAAGCCCCTCTAAACAAAAAAAAAAAAAGAAAGAAAACAAAGTGTTTTATTCGGAAAATCGGTTGGGATTGCAGCCTATAGATAAAATAATTGCATTTTTATTTCGCGTTTTTTTAATATTTTATTTATTATGAATAATACAATTTTATAATCAATATTTGAAATATGAAAAATATTTTTATAGTTATTACAAATTTTACATACGTTTTACACCAAATTTAAAAATTATACATGATTTTACATACAAGCTTGTAAATCAATTATAAATGTAAAATTTATGAACGCATTAAAGGAATTTTTTTTAAAGGTTTTTACATTTACAGTATTTGTTTTTTAGTAGAAGTAACAAAGTTATCCTTTATCAAAGCTGAAAGGTACATAAGAAATTGAAACATAAGTTTTTAAGTTTTTTAAATTTTCCTTTTGCACTAAAAAAAAAGACGTTACAAATTATTTATTTTAATTAATTAAATTATTAAATACCTTTAGATGTTTCTTGTTGCCCTATAGATCCTACGTTTTCCTCCACGAAATCTACTTGGACGGGTATAAGATTAACTTAAAAATCGTTCCTAGTAACAGAGAACTTACCTATCCATTATCAATTTAAATGTGATTCGCTTAAGGACAAGCAGTACAAAAACGAAAATACCAACACTTTGATGGACATAGTAGGCAACCGTAATGACTTGGTACCAAATATTGTCAGTAGAGAGAAATCCGCCAAAAGAACCTATATAAAATACACCCATTACGACGGAGAGCCGCAGAAACTGTAAGTAACTAAATAGGGATAAAGAATGATTTTTAAATTGGGATCCGATTTGTTAAGTAAGTAAAGCTCACGACTGGATGTCAAATTGGAGGCAGATTGGTTGATCCTTCTGTCGTCGCTTAAACTTCTTCAGTTCCCTTTTTACTTTCCAAATGCGAATGGCCGTCAAGATAAACAATATCACATTGAAAATGCTTAAAATCAGTTTCGGTCCATGCAAATATATCCATGATGACCACCTATTATCTGTTGAAATTATTTGTTAGATATGATTTTGAAAACAATAACTGAAAAATAACTAAAGCTCACTATCAACATAGCATTTAGTAAAACCAATTAGGGGCATCCAACTCAAGGCACTGGGATCCTTATGCCAAATTGTATTCACCAAATAGATGACTCCGGTCGAAACAGCAGCAGTGGCCCAGACAAAGAAACTGTAGGCGAGGAAACTATTACCTGGAACTTCACGACTGATTGACTTAAACGTTTTCCACATGTGGAAACTCATGACAGTGAACCAGGGATAAATAGACATTCCGAAGAAGTAATGAATGTAGCCTACAAAAGATATAATAATAATATTATTTATTTAACCTTCTGGATTTTATATTCGTTAAAATGGTTTGTCTAATTAGTTTTCAAAAACTTACCTTTTAGGGAGCAAATATCATCCAATAAATTTCTAAAATTCATTATGTCGATAAGGGACATTATAAAAATACTGAGTAGGGTACAGATTAGGCACTTGCCGAGCATATTTCGCAATTTCTTTACATAAAGATAAACTGCGATAGTAAGGATGTTAAAAATCATTGATATTTCCGTTACTAAAAGAAAACAAATATTAATGAAGAAATGATAAATTATTCTGATGAGATTGCCCCTACTTTCCAATATCGCTGTCAACAATTTCAGCGTCCGAGGATGCAGAATAATCCATATTGACTTTGGAAAATCGGAGTTAAAATTATACGGATACAGACAGTAATTCGATGTATTCGTTCCATCCACGATGAAGAATCCGTCCTATAGAGCTCGGATTAATTGCGTAAAACAGATAGGAATTTAAATGGCAAACCTCGGTCAATGAGTATTCATCCTTACTTAGGTATAGTACATTTTTATAAAAATCAAACGATTCCCTTTTTACGGTCGTCACATTCAGGTAGAGCTTAATTTGGCCCTCGTCCACGTCATCGTTGCAGACACCATTGTCCATATACTTGCGGAGGCAGCACACGTTAACAAAAGTTTCGATTTCATATTTGTAAACGCGAAAAAAAGTGGTATTGATTAAAACTACAGTCTCTTCGTAACGGTAAACAAAATCAAGCCACCAAGAAGTGTTATTTGTTTCATTGGTTTCTTCGTAACTGTAATCAGAATCATACGAACTGTCGGCGATATAAGTAAGTTGTGTTAGAATCAGAATCATTGTACGAATCGTCGTACTCGTTAGAGTAATCATTATCTAAAATCCGATCTCTATTAATGATATAATACTCAAAAGACTTATTATGTTTCCGCTATTGATTGTCTAGCGATAACACTATGCAGCATTAAAAATTTACCTCGATGGATACTATATTTTTCGATTTGTTACGAATTCCAAAGTTAAACTGCGTTTTCCAAAAAGTTCCCCGACGCAAGGATTCTTAGCAAAAGGACCTCAAAGTTCGAAAAATTCAGAAATTGGCCAACTTTCCAAAGCTCTCAGAGGCAAGCGGATTCATGGTTTGGTTAGATGCTAAAGTTTTATAAAAGATACACTCTTTATCTTTCAAACCCCATACTTAGAATAATTTTAGGATTTTTATTAAGGGAGAAACAAGTTTTAGAAAACATAGTCAAAAAACATAAAAGTATACAGCTGCGGTCAAAATAGTAGTAATGTTGCCGTCATGTGTTTTTAAAAGTTTTTTGTTGTCACTTTTCTTATCCAATTAGTCTAATAGTACAATTATAATCAATACAATATCACCAGAAGAAGATGAATTACAGCAACAAACTTTTAAAAACACAGGGCGGCAACACTACTACTATTTTGACCGCAGCTGTATGTTTTTAAGTTTTTTGACTATGTTTTCTGGAATCTATTTCTGCCTTAAAAAAAATCCTAAAATTATTCTAAGTATGGGGTTTGAAAGATAAAGAAGGTATCTTTTAAAAAACTTTAGCATCGAATCAAACCATGAATCCGTTTGCCTCTGAGAGCTCCGGAAAGTTGGTCAATTTCTGCATTTTTCGAACTTTGAGGTCCTTTTGCTAAGAATCCTTGCGTCGGGGAACTTTTTTGAAAACGCAGTTTATCTTGGAAATTCGTTACGAATCCAAAAATATAGCATCCATCGAGGTAAACTTAAAAAGCACTACAAATGCTGCACAGTGTAATTACAGAAATAACTATTCCAAACAAATCGCGAGTTAGCAGCATTTTAGAGCTACGACCAAACAAAACCTACTGAATACAATGGTCCTCAGCACCAGATTTTATAGGTTCATTTCAAACGCTAGTTCCTATTAATATCAGAAAATAAATAAGTCAATACTCGACATCCCCAAGAACATTTTTTGGAATATATGTATATGTACATTATACACATATATAATAATTTTCCTCCTAACGATAATTAAAAAATTCTCAAGAGCATCGTTCTAATTCCCTATACAAAAATTATAACTTTTGCAATGAACATATTTACTCTACGAGTAAAGGGTATAATAAGTTATTCCAGGAAAAAAATATGATTATAATTTACAAATATAATATTCTTCTTTGGACTTTATTTGCTCGTCCCCAGAACAAATATACATACGCATATATGTAAATAATTTACTGATAAGCCTGGTTTTTGATAAGTTGCAATATATACGAACCAATATGCAGCTTTTTCATCTCAGTCTTTTGAAATTCTTCATCTCGGACCAACGATGTCACAAAACTGGGCAATAGCAGTGTTTCTTTTATATGGCGTTGTAGGCCAACATTTAGGAGGGGTAAAATACTTGTAGTGCATTGTTTAAATTTCTTTATCCTCTTTCAAAATAATTCTTAGGTCCATGAAGGAATTTTTAATGGATTCCCACCCATGGATAATCTTCAACGAGACCCAAATCAACTTTGCGGCCTGAAAGTAACTGAGGATCACTCGAATCTTTATCAGTATCCCTGGGTAATTTCCCTGTTCGGCAGAGGTAATTTCATGGGAGGCGGTTCCCTGATTTCCCCTGGAGTAGTCCTAACAGCAGCCCATCTCCTGGTGGGTTTGGCTGAGCCGGATATTGTGGTCAGAACTGGTGGTTGGGACATTACATCCCGTACTCAACCCTTCATGTCTGAGCAACGCCAAGTGGCCAAAATTGTGCGTCACAAGGATTTCTCATATCGGCTGGGAGCCAACAACATAGCACTACTATTTCTAAACACCCCCTTCGTGTTGAAGGATCACCTTCGAACCATCTGTTTGCCCAGCCAGGAAAGATCCTTCGACCAGAGACGCTGCTGGGTGGCAGGATGGGGAAAAGCTGGATTCCAGGATATTTCCTATTCAAATATCCAAAAGAAAATCGATTTGCCCCTGGTAGAACGAGCAGCATGCCAGGATCAGTTGAGGAAAACCCGTTTGGGAGCAGAGTATGAGCTGCCCGCTAGTCTAATTTGCGCCGGCGGAGAGAAGGATAAGGATGCCTGCCTGGGCGATGGAGGATCTGCCCTATTCTGTCCCCTCGAAGAGGATCCAAATCGCTTTGAACAAATAGGCATCGTCAATTTTGGCATTGGCTGTGGCCAGGAAAACGTTCCGTCTACCTACACAAATGTGGAAATATTCCTCGATTGGATTTATCAGCAATTGGCGAGGGATTCTAGCAGTGTCCCACTGGCTGGGCATTTACCTTTAAGCTTTAAAAATACACAAATGTAATAAACTATAAATACAGAATATTTAAAGCCCCGAAAGGATCTTTACAATTAATCTTTCTTAAACAAAACATCATATAAAACAACTATCTACTGTTAATTTGTTTATTTTTCGCATAGTAGTTTCCAACGTAATCGTTAAATAGAGAACGGCAAACATAAACTGGACGTGTTCATTGCATTATAGGTAAATATATATATATTAAAATTAAGGTCTAGCGTTAATTGCTTTCGTGTACAAATATTTAACAAAGTCATGAGTATAAATTTCAACTAATCTAACAAAGGAAAACAGGGAAGATACAGATTACATTGTGCTTGGGCGCCTTGGGCGTCTTTATTAGTTTTCGTTAGTTTCGATCTTCGCGAGTTAAGTACAAAAGAAGGCTAGTGCTCGATTGGGGTTCAACTGAACGGGATCTGGGATCAATAGGTGGAAATCAATCGAAGCATTAATAAATCCATACATCGGTGATTATCTTCTAGGTTTCTCTTCTTACATCTTCTGATTCCATTAGCAAAGTTACAAAAGTTGCTAGTTACACTATGACAGTTTACAATTGGCAAGTATGAATCGTTATCCTCGTTAAGTATCTGATTTGTTTTCTTTGTTGCTTAAGACGTTAGTATAATATCAGCATTTCCATTCCTCCTACGCAGCCTTTTTGCTGCTTGTCTTTTAAGTGTTGATTTTTTCTGGTCATTTTGTTGTTGTGTTGTGTTTGTATTAGCTAATCGACATGCGATTAGAGAGTCGTCTTCATCATTCGCCCGCCATCTCATCGATGCGACATCGCACAGCGTGTTCGAGCACCTCCAGACTGGCGTAGTCCAATTCCTTGACCAAACAAAGAGTGGCGGACAGTAGATTCGAGTTCTGCGGAAGAAACAAACATATGATTCAGTTATTGATCGAGCTTATCGGTGCCGATGTGTCAGATTATATGCACTCATACCCTATTAACGGGCCTGCGATGGTAGCCCGAATAATGATTCATCACGGAGGCCGAAAGAGTTGTGGTCGAGTCACTGTATCTGCCCTCGGGTCGCCTGTTGAAAGATTACATAAATTAGTTTAAGCTTTCAAGTATTTAATAATTCAATTAAGACACTTAGATATTAGGTGCTAAACCTGGTTGCTTATTAACATGTTAAATAAGTGGTGTAATAAACTAGATTGATTTAGATTCCAGTTCTAAATAGGAAAAAATTTACTATACAAAATATGTATAAAGCTTAAATATTCTTGGTTCTAACAATGTACAATACATTTATATTTTTTACCTATGTATATGAATTACACAAAAAAGTGTTAAAATTAGCCAAGTTTTTAAAGATTCTGTTTATGGATTAATATTTCGAAATGTATAAATTCATGTTATTTATATACAAGTCTTAAATATTCTTCGATCTACATATATACAGATACATATATTTTTAAACTTTTTTGATTTATAATATAAAATAGATAATAATAAACAGGTTTTTTAAAGACTCTATTAAAACCCTATTAAAATGCAAATACATTTTTATAAATGGTATAAATTGATGTTAAAAAATTTAAAAATCTAGAAAAGAGCTCCCTTTCGACTTATCTAAAAATAAATTACAAAAATATTATAAATAAAATATTATAACATAATAAAATTATATACATTTTTTAAGACTCAATATCTAAATAAATTTACATGTGGCTTTTTAATTAATAGGTATTCCATAAATTCATGTAATTTATTTAAAAATCCAGTAAAAAAGCTCTCCTTTGACCCCTTTAAAAATAAACGCGGTAAACATTGAAAGCAAACACAAAACGGAGTGGCTATCTGTGATACGTCAGATTGTTTACCCATAATAAAATAAGCGGCAACCACGATTGGCACAGCCGCAGGCTGGCTGGCTGAATAACCGAACCGTTCGATGACCTCACCTCGACCTGGGCCTGTCCTCCGGATCCCATTCGCCGCCATTCTCCCGGGCACTGCCATTCCGGTAGGCCGGCATCGTCGTCTCCGGACCCGCGCTGCGTCGCTGCGACGGATGATGCAACTGCATTTGGCTGCCATAGGGATTGTGATGCACCTGGGGCGCCTGCTGGTGCTCCTCCCACTCGGTGAGGTCCGTCTGGCTGTGGCGATAGTGCGCCGGATAGGCTGGCCTGTCCGACTGATAGTATTCCTGTGCGGGAATACCGTAATTAGATAGCTTCATTCCCATCGTCCCGAATCGATCCCATCGATTCCATCGATCCCATCTCTCCATGGTCGGTCCCCGGTTGAATATGGGCCCCATCATCGGGCTTACCTTCATCGATTGCGCTGAGATGCTGGGCGGCAGCGGCGTGGGCCGCACCTCCCTGTAAGCTGTGTGCGGACTACTCTCCTGGTCGGATCCCGGCGAGCGCTGCTCGTCGAGAGTCCGTTTGTAGTGCGGCGTTAGTAGTGTAGTTTGCATTTTAGTTTGGTTTTTATTGTTTTAGAGGGGTCAGAGTGCATGGTTGGTGGAGAAAGGCAGCAGATTAGAAACGTTAGATTCGAGTTGATATCACCACAACAGTTCTCAGTCCACAGGGCAATCCACACATGACAAATTGTTCAGCAAGTCATTCGGAGGAAGGGGGTAATTTCCCTCTGGTTCAGTGGTTTTTCGGAGGGACTAGCCCTTTCTCTATTCAGAAAAAGTAAATGCTAGCACATTGTACTTAAAACACAATTAGAAATAAAGAAAGCTGCACAGAAAAAAAATATACCTAAATAGACATAATAAATTAACGTTTTTTTTAAACTTTCTAATTAACAAAACTTTAATATTATCCGAGTGCATTTTCGTTATGAATTTAAGTTAATTTACTGTAAGTCTTGTTTAACTTTTTGTGCCCATAGATCCGTTTTCTCATTTGTTTGTTTAATTTAAAGTAGTGTTTAAAACTTAAAATCGGCGAAATTTAGAGTTTAAAGCCTAGTTTAAGTTTAACATGCGGATCTTAAAATTTCCATTATTTCTAGCACTAAACTTGGTTAACTTTTGATACATTAAAATTTTTTTTTATAAATTTCTGGTATAAATTTAATCTTTTTAAACTTTCGAATCTGTTAGACCTTAAATTATTCCCAACAATCTATTTAAATATTTTTCTCACGTGCATGTATACATAAAGAGCCCTTTTATATGGTTCATTTTGGACTCTTGTTTTGGGCTTCTTCGGCAATTATAGTTCGTCCCCCAGTTCCCATATCCCTGACTGACTTCCAAAGTCAACTGACTGACTTAACCCACAAAAGAGCCGGCAAACAGACAATAGCCCATTGGACAGGCGGCGGCGGGAAAAACGAGAGAGCCTTAACCATGTCGAAGCTATCGCGTGACTATACCCTGAGTTCCCTTCCTTAACTCCATTCCCCCCTCTCCACTCGAGTGTGACGGGCCCACACCCTCCAAAAAAAAGAAATAGGGCCCCAAAAGTGGGCCCGGCAACAAGCTCAATTCTCAATTCTGTCATGTCGGATGCGTGGGGCTGTTATATGGTGTTATTTAGTATTTTTGCTGGCGGTGGAGGGACTGTGGATCTTACATCGTATTGGTGGTAGGAGGTGCGCTGCTCTTTGGTTATGGTGTTATACATGGGCGATGGCGGATGCACGGGTTCCTGGGGGAAGTCCGAAAGGAGATTAGTGGGGATTTTTGTTAAGCAAAAGGGGGACGGTAATCTCAGATCTTACGAGAGGCTGAAATACGAGTACTTCATGCTGTAGCCTATTAAAATAAATCAGACAAAATGAAGGGAAATCCAACTCGGAACAAAAAGATTAAATAAATAAAGTGGCTAATTGAAAGCTAATAATTACTAAAGTACTTGTGAGGAGCAACTGGGGTTTTCTAAATAAAAAAATTTGTTAATTATAATTTTAAGTAAAGGAAATCAATAAAATTATATCTTTAAAAATTCAATTCAGATAAAAGCATAAAAAAAAATTTTAAAAAAACTTTAAGCATACACAGAAACAATTTTTTGATATGTAAATTCTTCTAATTTTAAATCAATAAAAATTCTATATGTTTAATGTAAAATTTATAATTCAAATAATTCAGTTATTTCATATAAATTTTAAATATACTACTTTAAAGTACCATGTGTAAATTTTTTTAAAACAAAAAAAGTAAAATAAGATCATTATAATCTTTATTCATATGAAAATGATATGAATAACAGTTAACTTGATCTTAAAACAAGAGAGAACGCTATAGTCGGGTTGGTGTCCCGACTATCTAATACCCGTCACTCAGCTAAAGGAAGTGCGAACGCGGGTTGGTGTCCCGACTAATAATCGTAACTCAGTTAAAGGGAGTGCGAGGGAGATAGATATATGTAGATAATTTGATTGCGTATAACTTTTTAATGAATGGTCCGATTTGAAAAATGTCTTCTACATTTCGATAGGTATAAATATACACAACAAAATTGCATTTATACTTCTCGGAAATCTTTAAAGGTGTGGGCGCAGGACCCATTTTAAAATCGTTAGTGGGCGATTGTGGGCGTTAGAGGGGGCGTGGCGCTCGGCTAAAATAAACTTGCGCTGCGTAGGAAGCCAAAGAATATGTGTGGGAAATCTCAACCTTCTAGCTTTTGTAGTTTCTGAGATCTCAGCGTTCATACAGACGGACAGACGGACAGACGGACAGACAGACAGACAGACAGACGGACAGACGGACATGGCTAGATCGACTCGGCTAGTGCCCCTGATCAAGAATATATATACTTTATGGGGTCGGAAACGCTTCCTTCTAGCTGTTACATACTTTTGCACGAATCTAATATACCCTTTTACTCTACGAGTAACGGGTATAAAAATGTTAAATAGACCTGATCTTTTGACATTGTTGTTCTATGTAGTTTAAATTTAAGAAAATGCTATAAATCCATAATATATATACAAAACTTTAAAGTAATGTCCCTAAACTCTTCCTAACCTTGGTGGGCGTGGGTGGCTGGGAGCCCTTCAGCGGCTGAGCCGTCTGCACCTGATAGAGATCGCTGGCGCTGTGGCTGATGCTTCCCTCGCTGCTGTTATTGACCAGCGGACTGGCCAACTGCGGCGGCTTGTTAGCAAATTCAATGTTAATTCGGAATAAGTAGGTAAGTAAGTAGGGGAAGGGGAAAGTGACACAGAAATAGACCAAGAGTTGATTACGGAGTTCATTACCAAAGGCGAGAGAGATTATAGCCGCTAAATCAGGGCGTGTGGGATGGTGGGAAAATCCACCCAGACAATGGAAGCTATTTACCTCTTTCATGGGACTGGAGCTGCGTCGCTGCTGATGCGATTGTTGCTGTTGCTGCTGTTGCGGTTGGTGATGTTGCTGCTGGTGATGATATTGCTGCTGTTGCTGTTGCGACGGAGGAGAGTGTTGCGGGTAGCTGTGCTGTTGCTGCTGCTGTGGCATCTGTTGCGGCGACGTTCGCGCCGTCTGTCCCTGTTGCTGCTGGTAGGCATCCTCGTACACCTCATCCTCCGCAACGGGACCACCGCCTCCGCGCATGGCGTCATCCAACTCCTCCTGGGTGACCTCCACATTGTCAAGCTTCTTCAGATTGGGCAGGGCGCGTAACACGACCGCCCGATAGCTGTGATTGCGGTTAAACAGAGGTGAGAACGATCATTAGGGGCTTCTTCTCTAACGAACTAACCACAAAGTCACTTAAATTAATACCCATAAATTGTGTTAGTTTCTGGTTTGACAATCGAATTTAAAAGGGGTTTTTTCCTACTACTATCGATAAAAAAAATCAAAAAACTTATGAGATCTTGTTAAAAAGATAACTAAAGCAATATTTATAAATAAGGTTTTTTTCAAGTTTAAGAATAGAATTTACAGGTGCTGCCTTTCCCCTACCATAAATTCTAAATATTATTTGTGAGCAAAAGCTAAAGCGTTTTAGAAATAAGTTCATCAGTCGGCACGTTGCCCACAGGCTTTGTGTCTTAAAAACACGTTTCAGAGATAACTAAATATTATACAAAACTAACAATAAAAGTGATTTAAACAGAGTGATTTTTATTTGTAAAAATATTATAAATCATGGACAATACCAGTGATTAATGTAAATACCCATGATTTACAAAAACAAATAAGTAAACACCTAGATTCTAGCATTTAAATAATTGGTTTCTTCCAATAAAAAAATATCACCAATAAAATAAAGGAAAAAAAATTAAAAAGTTTAGTTCTAAAAAAATCTTAAAATATTTCTTTAAAAAATCATTCCTAATATATTTTCAAAATTCTATTATTTTCCTTTAGAGTTACTCACTTGGGGCCCGCTCGATCGCAGCAGGGATTTTCCTCCAGCCAGAGATACCTGAGGGCCGGAAGATTTTGCAGGTAGGCAATCTCGTTGATGTCCGAGATGTTGTTCTTCCGCAGATACAATTCCTGCAGTTTGTTGCATTCCTCGAAGGGCGACAGCGTGCTGATCTTGTTGACACTGCAAGAGAAAAACAATACAATTTTAGGTTCAAGAAACTTTCTCTTTAAGGGGACAAAGGCAACACCACCAACTAACTGCCGTGAATCATGCTCAAAACAAGACAAAAGATTCTCCAGCAGCTGCGTGCGGTCATTAACTCGTCGGATTCTTCGCAGAATTCCCCACAAAAATAACAGTTAACGAACATCGGCAGGGGGAAAAGCTGATTGTCATCATTTGTCTTCGTCTAGGTCAGGTTTAAGCCCGTGTTCGGGGCGATTCCCCGCTTAGCACCTGGGCTCCTAACAATGCTAATTACTCTCCGAAGTGGCCAATTGACGATGGCCAAAAGCGTGCCTTGATTGCCTGCCTGACTGATTGAATAAGTAGAGGAAAGGTATGATGCCACACTGAAGGAAAACCTTCTTGACAGAACAAAGAAAAATTCCGATAAATCATTAAATAATTGTTAATGAACTCATTCAAATAATAACTCGACTTTAAAGCTTAATAAAAAATTTAAAAAATATACATATTTATGATCTTAACTATTTAAATTTACTACATAAAAAGTTGTGTCAGTTTAATAATCTAATCTAATATAAAGAAGTAATTACTAATTCCTAATTATGAAATTAATTTTTGCACCTACTGAATATTTTTTCCCTGGTTTTTAAAATTTGGCGTCAATTGACCTTTAATTTATATTTCTAAAAAAAAATTTCACTTAGAAAATTTAATTTACTTTAAAACTAATATTAGTTAAGAGTAGAATATTTTATAATTTATAGAAAAAATAGACTAAATTAATTATTCTTAATTTTTATTTTCCCCCGACACATTTTCGGTTCTTTTCTTCCTGTGCAGATACTTAAAACATTTTTCCCTCAGCAGGGCAGGTACGACAGCAACAGAAACAACTGTCTAAACTTAGCCAGGAAGATCGCTAAATGGCACACGAGTGCATTGCCTCAGTGAACGTCTGGTATCTGGTATCTGGAATTCGTAGCACCGCTTCCACTATATTAATAGTTCGGCTAAATAAATCAGGCCAATTGGGAGGGGGAGTGGGACCGAGAATAAGTGTACCTCCTTAAATATGCATAATCAATGCTTCGCCTGAAGAGTCAAGGTTACCTAGCACTTAAGTGCTACCAAGTGGAAATACCATTGATAGGTCGTCTGAGGAAGTAAAAAAGAAAAGTGCTATCCACACGCAAGTCAAATCAATATGCACTCATAACCCAGGGGGAAATGGAAAATTAGAATGGTAATGAGTGAGGGGCGGAAAATGGAGACTACGCCAACGCATTTTACCTGAAGCATAGTGAAAACCAAACTGATTTATGGCTCATTTATTGCGTACACTACTCCTGGCCTAGCACAACGTTCCTACATATAAGCAAAACAAAGTTAAGAACCCCACGACAACTAAACTAACCCAATGCCCAACGAGTTGAGACTGAAAGGTTTTCGTTGTATAATGTTTAACCAAGTAATATAATGCAAACAGAGCAGACCTCAATGAGAAGTTATTGCCCTCTGGCTTACACGCCTTTCATATCAATTTATTTATTCACGTTTATATAGGAATTATATAGAAATGGCCTTCCATTATCTACAGACTGATAAAGCTCTCGATTGCGGTAATAGCTTCCTGATAACAGAAATGTCATAAGAACCATTCTTAAAAGCAATCAAGTATCTGTTAATAGAGTTACTAAGATGTGAAGTTCGGGAAACCCAAGAACTCTTAAGTCAATATTTATCTCATGTCGTCTAAAATTAACTTAATCTTTGCCTCTAGTAAATAAAAGAACTTATGTTATAATTTTGACAACAAAAATTAAATGATTCTTTGGATCATATAATTTTTCCATTATTTTAGTTCTCTCAACTTTTTATTTCTCTTACACATTTTTGGATATTTATTTATGTGAGTCATTTTATTTTGAAGCTAACAATTAAGCGAAAAAAAAACAAGATGCCAAAAAAGGAAAGACTTTTGCTTTTAATCAAGATTGGTTGTCACTTTGTTCAAGGTTACTCCTCAAGATCAAATCTTTTTTGGATATATCAGATTGCTTTCTATGGTCTACCTTCTACCTTGTTTTGATCTTAAGAGTATAATAATTCTCAGCTAAAACTGATTTCTGTATAAGGTATGATATCTGCTACTTCTGTACCTTAATTATGGTTTCCTGTTCCGTGGGGTTTCAGCGATTTATTCGCTCCATCTGCTAATTCCTGTTGAAAAATGTGATTCGCCCATACCTACATGCTTATTTCCTGTTCGGAACTGCTATTCTCACGATTCTTTTCCCCACAATCACGAGTTCAATGCCAAATTCTCCCTATAAGGCCACGAACCTCCTTCTATATATCTGCTATATAATGCATAATTAAACGAATCGTCAGAGTCGAGAATCGAGAGTTGTCAGCATATTGCCAGCAGATGACGAAGAAGTTTGGCGGGCGAATCGATTTCGGTGACCTTGGCAGTCAAAATAATTGTCGCCTTTTAAGGCAAAAGTGGCAAAATCAGCAGCAACAGCAGCACATGCAAAGTTATCGAGCGACATGCAAGTAGTACGCCAAGTACAAACAAGTACAACAAGTACGAGATGAAGTACAAGGCCCCCCACTTTCCTCTTCTAAAGAAATGTATCTCGCAGATACCGAGTCATAACTATAGTATCTCTGTGCCCCCTACGCAAAGAGAGGCCTACGCTACGCGACCAGTTGGTATTGCCAATTTTGGAGCTCCCACGACTTTTAGTTTTCTGCGGCCGCTGCTTTTTGCTGCCTTTTTGCATTAATTACGCGCCTGAGCGTGCCAAAGTATTTCTCGTATTTCAGCTTGCCTAATGACGGGGCGATGACATCACTTGAAAGCAAATATCTCAGATAATTTAATATACATCTGTCCCGCTTTCTTGGGGCGGCAAATGCTCATCCGACTTTGATTCAGGAAATCATAATCAAAACGATCCTTATATGTGATTTATTTCGACTTACCTCAGAGCCAAAACTTCCACTCCACGCATTCGCTTGATGATGGACACATCGCTGAGATCACTGCCCCTGAAAATAAACAAGAGAATGGATGGTATTTTAATAAAGATAAATATGTACAGTGGAGCCTCCACTTTAGACAGTCATCACTCGCTCTTATCGCAGATGTTGGGTCAAGAGTCGAAAAGTAGCTCAACTGCTTTTCACGCTTTTCCAAGCGTTTTTCTCTCTAAAAGGGGGCCCGCGTGTTTTTCCAGCCCAGGGAATCGTGACTCGCTCCAAAGTGGACACTTCTAAACTGGTTAGAAGATTGCCCCCGGATTTGGGTCGAGTGAAAGCAGGCGGCAAAGCAGCCGAAGTGGGCAGATCCCCCAGACTTATACCCCAGACTACAGACTACAGACCCAAGATCGCAGACCCATACAACCGAGATCGAAGCTTTCACTACGGCTGCACCTGCCCCGGCACGATTAGCAATAGATCAATGCACAGGCGGAAATTAGATCGAAAATCGATTTAATGAACAGTGGGGCTAGAACTTGGAAATTTTTATAAATTAATAAGAAGGGCACATGGTAAATATTTAACAAAAATATATTTAAAAAGTTCTTTAAAAATTAAAATAAAATTTATTAATTTATTATTAGCAATGGGATCATTTTTCAAAATATTTTTAAAAAACTTACTTTATTCATTGATTGATATAAATTAATATTAAAACATTTTATAGACCATATATGAAATGATATTATCCGTCAAATTTAAAAACATTTTTACAAGTTAAGTCGGTTAATCATGCCAATATTTAATTTTTATACCCTTGTAGAATTTCAGTCAGATGTTAATATTATAATATCTCTATTTGGAAAAACAGAAATATTTATTGTGCTACCCACAACTGTTTCTAAAGTTTAAAACTAACATTTTCTGTAGTAAATATTCAAGAAAAACAAAAAGTTTTCTTAAATAACAACATAGACTTGAAACAATCAACATTTTTTCAAACAATAGTTACTCATCCTAATCTGCTGACTAATAATAATATTAATTTTTCTTCAAGTCTAGTTTTTTTAACATTTTTGTTATAAGCTGAGATTATATATTTTTTATAATTATTCCTAGTTTTCTAGACTGGCTACTTACCAGCAATTAAGCTTTTTGATCAGGGACAGATCGGACTGCTTGGCCCGCGCAATCACCATTTCCTCGGTGAGTCTCGACATTATGTGTGATCGTGATTGCAGTTGCGATGGTGATGCTGTTGCTCCAACTGGTCGTCCAATTGCTGGTCAACTGACCCGTGGCCACAGGTGTGCCACTTGCAGATTCCGGCTATATATGTGTATATACCGTCGATGGTTAACCACGTATTTAAGCCGCTTGTGAATGCCCAATTTTAGATGCCGAGAGAGGTGAGCAATAATGCAATATACAACAGGTTACGCTGGCTAGGTAAATAATAATGTTGTTGCTGTAATCACTGGCGTGTCGTAGGCGCTGCCCTGTTGTTGCTGCAATTTTTTGTAATTACGTAGGTCTCCCGGTTTTCAAGTTCCTTGAGGTACGGGTTTATCAACCGCTTGAAGGTGGTGATATCTCAAAGATTGGGATTTTGTATACTATATCGCCTATTTGCAGCTGCTTTTTATTGCAATTGCATAGGAATTCCAGTTTCCGAGTTCCTTTGGGTTCGGGATCTCAAAGATTGGAATTTCAGTTTTTGCAACCGCTTCAAGTTGAGATCTCCAAGTCTTCGGTTTATATATGGTCTATTGTATCTGGTGTTTTTGTATCTCAGTATCTGCAGCGCTGTTGTGAATCTCTTGCACGGATGACTAAGCCGCTCGGGTTGTTGCGCCGCGCTTTTATTTTTATGTTTACTACGACGATATCGTAACGTAACAGGCCGTTTAACTACCCAACTACCACTATATCCACACTCTATCCGTATCTCAATTTCACGCTCCCTGTGTTGTTTTATGTTTGCCAAAAATTGTTGCTTTCATCGGGAAATTTTGGCCAATTTTCACATCGTCTGGATCGATTTTTTCGCGCCCAGATGTTTCCCGTTTTACCGTTACGTTCACGAGGTTTACGACTGTTTGTTTGATTTGCTCGAAGTTTTGACTAATTAAAACACTTTTTTGCCGACACTTTCAATTTCCAACTGACAGGCGTTCGTAAAGCTAACTAAGTTTAAGCGAAATTCAGACTTTTTCAGTTCCGATTTTCCCGATTTTCCATGCACCTTCTTTCGTATCTCTCGCTCTCTCACAGGTATTGGGTATGTATGTGTGTGGGCACGCGAGAGTGTGAGTGTGTGGGTGTGTGCCAGAGCGAGACAGCAGAGCCGCGCGTGTTTTACACAATGCTGCACTATTATACACCACTATTTATTATTAGTGCTATTTTTTTCGAGTACGTGCGCTCGGCTCGACGGCGAGAAACAATCTGGGGGCCCTTGCTTTGGGGCCTTTCAGCCGCCGTTCAACTGGAGCTTTCATTGTCTTTGTTTACGAATGCGGTGTGAAGCAGGAGAGAGGAGAGAGCGAAACGGAGAGAGAGCGAACGAGACAGCGTGGGCGGTAAACCAGTTTTGATTTTATAGAAGGCAAGTTTGCTTTGCATTGTTTATTAATTATCTGCAATATTTATTAAATTTAATTAATATTCTTACTGATTTAATACCTAGTAGCTATTTAATTAAAAAAAAAAACGCGATTGTATTTTTACAATTTTAGAGATGGCACTCGCCAGCAGTGTGACCGTGCTTGTTGACTGAGGGAAACTATCGAAACTTATTTGGTTTTTAAAACCGTTATTTAAAATTGTTTCTTTGGTATTTACAGGCCTATTCGCCAACTTACAAATAATTGTCTTAAAAAAATTACTTTCAAAATGATTCCCTTTTCCAGTAAAACAAAGTTTTTCATAAATTGCAAAATCGATTATTAAAACTTATATGTCAAAAATCTTGAGTGTGTTTACTATAAATTAAAATATCTAACATGTTTTATGCTGAATGGCATGAAATTATTATGGATAAACATGTTTAAATTATCTTTTACCCATTTATAACGTAGCAGTTCCTCTTTATAAGTCCGGGAATACAGGGTGGAATGCGTTTACCTGCGACGCAAACAAGGACCAATAGTATCAGCGACAGTGACTTCATTATTTATTTTCAAGCCGAGTTTTTCTCCTATTTATAGATTCCTTATAAGGGGCTGTCCATATATTACGTAATCACCTAGGGGGGGAGGGGGTCATTGAAATGATTATGTTTGATTACATGGGGAGGGGGGGTCTTGCACAATGATTACGTAATCATTTTATATAAATTTTTTTATTTAAAGAATTTATTTAAAAACTTTTTTCCTTTAATTATATCTACAAACTTAGATAGGAAAGCAGAGACAAAATTTTTTTAGTGGCTGGGCGGCAAAAAATAAAATGTTTAGTGGTTCAATCACACGAAGGACGCGAAGACCTGGAATGGCTTGACGAAGAGTATGTTGGAGATAATTTCAGCGTAGACGAACCGAATGTGTCATACCAAACTCCATTTATAAACAATATATAAGATTGGGTTGCATCTCAGTTTGAATCCACAGATTAAAACAAAAAAAATTTTATTCTTGGGATTACGTAATCATTGGGGGGGGTGTTTTGTTTATTGAATGATTACGTTTGATCACCAGGGGGGGGAGGGGGTCAAAAATCACCAAAAACGTGATTACGTAATATATGGACAGCCCCTAATGCATTATCGCAGGCGATGCTAATGAATTAGACATGCCACGCAAATCTTCGTTACATTCTAACCCATTTAACTACTTATTTTACTTAATATCATTCAATACTTTAGAAACAAACAATAGAATTGCCTTGGTAAAACACTACACTACTTTCTTATTTAAGGTAATTTTTGACATGAACAAAGCTATGAGACCCTCTCAACAAATTTAAAAAATACATATACATATGTATGTGTTTATAGGTTTGATGTGAGTAAATTTCATTACTTAAAATAAACAAACAAAAAATAAGTAGTAAATAAAACTATTTCTTAAGCACAAAAGAAAATATTTAATCGTATATTGACATTGATAAATAGAAAATCTTAAATATAACTAACTTTATTATTTGAACTGGTTCTTAAGATCTTATTTTCATTTTTCCTTGTCCTAAAAATACCCATTTGTCCGACTTGGCAGGGTATGGTATCATGGCAATGGAATGATCCATTCCCACCAGACAAACGAGGACCAATACTAGCAATGCCTGCGACTTCATTATTGTTTTCCTTTTCGGGTTTTTTCTCTTATTTATAGAATACAAAAAATACATCATTTCAGACTATAGAAAATGTATTAGACACGTTTAATTTTGTTACGTATTAATATATAAAATTAGTACTGTTTAATAAAATTAACATTGTTTTAAGATTGTAAAGTTCTACTTTAAGGTTCTTTGTATTTATAGGTCTAACATTGTATCAATGGTGATGTTAATTAATTGCAATATCTCTTCTAAGAAATAAGAAAGTTCTGGAATATATTTTACTGTTTTATTTGACCTGGTTTATAACAGGCCTGCTCGGTCTGGTGGGGGTTAAAGCTCCGCATCTGCTTGCAGCCATTGTGATCGAGCCGACTAGGGAAGCGAAGACCAAAGTTAGAAATGCCAGCAACTTCATTATTGTTTTCCTGTTCGAGATTTCTCTTATTTATATAGGAACCCAATAATACATCATTGCAGATGTATTGAACAAGGCACGCTTAATGCCAAGGCACGCTCAATTCCGTGTCACGCTCGAATATTTTTATTTTTCACTTCTCAAATATATATACTATATATTATTTGAACTGGCATTTACAAAATTATTTTGCTTTTTATCCTCCATAAGGAACTATTCTACTCCTGTTAAATTCCAAAGCAATGGAATGGGCCATTCCCACCAGGCAAACGAGGACCAGTACTAGCAGTGCAGGCGACTTCATTTTTGTTTTCCTTTTCGAGCTTTTCTCTTATTTATATAGAATCCCAAATGTACATTGTTTCAGACTATAGAAAATCTATTCGATATGGCAGGCTTAATTTTGTTACGGATTATTTTCTGTTACCAATAATAAATAACAGTTTAATAAAATTTACATTTCCTTAGAATTGTGAAATATTATATTTTTTTATGTTTGACAGGTGTGGTACCACGAGACCCTCTCAACAAATTTGAAAAATAATATTTCCTTTGTATTCATTGGTTTAATAATTTATCATATATTATCGATGGCGATGGTAATAAATTAAAACATCTCGTTAAACTTGGTTATTTATAAATTACTTGTGGTAACCATCGTAAGAAGAACAACTATTTCTTAAGTACAAAAGATATATTTAATTTTTTTGGAATTGTTAAAAAGAAATATTTAATTTAATTTTATTTTTTAGAATATTTAAATAGAAAGTTTTAAGAAGGTTTTAAAAACATAGCTTTGTGCGGACTGATGGTGGTAAAAACTTCATGCCACCAGCGAAAAGCCCGGGTTGGAGCTTCATTCCATCGGATTGGAACCATTGATATCGAGCCGACTAGGCAAGCGAGGACCAAAGTTAGAAATTCCACCGACTTCATTATTATTTTCCTGTTCTGTTTTTTTCTTATTTATATAGAAATCCAATAATACATCATTGCAGATGTACTGAACAAGGCACGCTTAATGCCAAGGCACGCGCAATTCCATGACACGCTCGAACTATTTATAATTTGTTTACTTCTCGAGTTTATATTATATATTATTTGAACTGGTTTTTAAACAACTATTTTATTTTTGATCCTCCCCCAGAAACCCCTTTATTCGTCATGCGACTTCATTGTTGGTTTCCTGTTCGAGTTTTTCTCTTATTTATAAATTATTAGATGTGGGCCGTTTAATTTGTTACGTAATAATATCTGTTACCAATAAACGTAGTAGTTTAATTAAATTTACATTAATTTGGGATTGTTAAATATAAACTTTTTAAGGTAATGTTTGAAAAGTATGGAACTACGAGACCCTCTTAACAAATTTGAAAAAGAATATGATCTTTGTATTTATCGCTTTGATATCGATAGCGATGTTAATAAATTCGAACACCTCGCTTAATTTGAAAACGTAAGTAAGCTTAGTAGTGTTAAAAAGAGTAGTAAAAACAACTATTTCTTAAGTAGAAGAGAAAATATTTATTTTAATGTAGTTTTTTAGGGTTCTTAAATAGAAACTTCTCGAATATATTTTACCATTTTTTTTAACTGGTTTTAAAAAATCTATATACCTACTTTAGTTTGGCCTGGCCCAAACGTGTAATAACCATTGTTCGGCTTGGCCCACACACGGGAATGGGTCATTCCCACCAGGCAAACGACGAGCAGTACTAGCAATGCCGGCGACTTCATTATTGGTTTCCTGTTCGAGTTATTCTCTTATTAATAGATGATTAGATATGAACCGTTTAATTTTTACGTAGTAATATCTGTTACCAATAAAATTAGTAACGTTTAATAAAATGTACTTTATTTTATGACTGTGAAATATACATTTTTTAAGGTAAAGTTTGAAAAGTACGGTACTACGAGAGCCTCTTAACAAATTTGAAAAAAATAATATGTTCTTTGTGTTTATCGCTTTGATATGATATATTATCTAAAGCGATGTAAATTTTAATGTAGTTTTTTAGAGTATTTAAATAAAAACTTCTCGAATATATTTTACTGTTTTTTTTTTAACTGGTTTTAAAAAATCTACATCTATTGGGCCTGGCACCACAGTGTATTAACATTTCGTATTAATATTTGGAGCCAAGCAAATTATTACCGTTAATAACATTATTTTTGATTAATTATAACCGCCAGTAGGTGAACAGATTTTAATAAATTTGAAACTAATATATATATTTATATCTTATTATTTTTCCATCTTCGTGTTCGTTGTAACTTTAATTTCCACAAATTAGTTTTTATTAGGCTTACAATTTTAAGCAAGAATGTGTCCAATTTTTGAAATTCCGCGGTACAAATGGAGTATCAGGGTTGTTCACGATCTTTGGTTTAAATGCCTTAGCCCAATGCGGTCATACCGCCTCAAGTGTGACCGTCTACCGCCGCTTGCTGATTTATTTATAAATTAATTTCTCTCTATCTCGTTTGCGTGTTGTTTTGTGAAAATTTGCATCGCATTTTTACTGCGTGCCTTAGTATTCGTCGGTGTGTTGACAAGCGCGAGGAAAAGCGCTGAAAATTGCGCGAGAGAGAGAGAGAAGGAGAGCGAGCGAGAGATGAAAACAAAACATCAAGCAACAAGCCATTAAAATCATAACCTTGGGCGTGTATTAATCGAGTGATCCCCCCTCCGCCTCCTCCTCCACCCGCGTAGTTTATCTACATACATACATTCTTGGGCCGATTTTCCGATCTGGATTACTTGGCATTTCTGTTTCCGTGCAAACATCTGGCGAGATAAGGGCAGACACCCCCCTCCCTCTCTCTCACTCCACCTCCTAAAAACAAGAACAACAATAAGTTGCAAAAACGGCGCTGAACGTAAGTTGGATTACGTCATCGTTTCGAGGGCAATTTTAGACTCTGATTGTGTGCCTTCTATATACTCAGTTATAGTTTCGCCTTTGGACACAACAGACGCCCCCGCGCATCTAGAAAATCTAGAAACCGAGAACCCAAAAGATGATTCATGTGGGCGAGAGTACGTGGAACCTGCGGATCCTCATCACCGATCTGCAGGTGGAGAAGACGCTCCGCGTGAAGGGCGATCAGCATATTGGCGGCGTCATGTTGAACCTGGTGGATCCGGAGATGCCCAAGGATTGGTCCGATCACGCCCTCTGGTGGCCCGCCAAGAATGTTTGGCTTACCAGGACAAGATCCACTTTGGATCAGGCGGGAGTCCAGTCGGATTCCTTCCTGCACTTCACGCCCATGCACAAAACACTGCGAGTTCAAATGCCCGATCTTCGCTATCTCGATTATCGAGTGAATTTCTCTGCAAAAACTTTCGGGGCTGTGGTTAGTCTGTGCAAGGATCTGGACATCCGCTACCCGGAGGAGCTGTCCTTCTGCAAGCCTTTGGAGCCAGAGCATCTCAAGAAGAACTTCTCCAAGCTGCCGCAGCGCAAGATTCCCGTGCAGGAGGCAAATGGGATAGGTTTTCTCCAGCCAGCGGCGGATACAAACTCATTTGTACCCATTACAGGCGCCTATAATGGCAGCAATGGCTCGCTGGATCGCTCCCACAATGGCAATCTTCTCTGTGCTCCGGCCTCGCCATATGCCACTACGCCCAGGAGAGCGGCCACGGCGCCTGGCACGCCCATTAGCTCGCCCACGGGCACCTGGAAGCACAATTCCACCGGCTACGCCAGCTACGATTCAAACTCCAGTTTCGGTGATCTGCAGGAGAATCTGGCGGTGTCGCCCAGGTCACCCAGCCCGGATGTTCGTGCTCGCTTAGTGCGACCCAAAACGCGGGTGGAAAAGGCCCGTCTGAACGTAGGCTGGCTGGATTCATCGCTCTCCATCATGGAGCAGGGCGTCCGGGAGTACGACACGCTCTGTCTGCGCTTCAAATACTTCACCTTCTTCGATCTGAACCCCAAGTACGACCAGGTGCGCATCAATCAGCTGTACGAGCAGGCCAAGTGGAGTATTTTGAACGAGGAACTCGATGCCACCGAGGAGGAGACCCTCATGTTTGCCGCCCTGCAGTTCCAGGTGAATCACCAGACCGATTTGCATCCACCAGGCATTGATTCCGGCATAGATACCTCGAGTCAGGAGACTGGCGGCGAGGATGACATCGATTCGGCGCTGAATGAGCTGCAGATTACTCTAGAAGGACCAGGAGGTGGCAAGGATCAGGGGAATATCACGAGGATACCAGAGCTATCGGATTATCTAAAATTCCTCAAGCCGCAGAGGTTCACCCTGAAAGGATACAAGCGCTACTTCTTCACCTACAGGGATCTGCATCTGCACCTGTACAAATCGCAGGAGGAGTCGCGTCGCGGCGCCCCCAGCATCAGCATCAATTTGCGCGGCTGCGAGGTGACGCCCGATGTTAATCTGTCGCAGGGCAAGTTCGCCATTCGACTGGAAGTCCCACCGGAGGGCAGGAATGGCCCGAACAGCGAGGTCTGGGTGAGATGCGAGAACGAGGAGCAGTACGCCAAGTGGATGGCCGCCTGCCGATTGGCCGCCAAGGGCCGTTCGCTGGCCGACAGCTCGTACGACAGCGAGGTGAGCAGCATTCGCTCGCTTCTGCAGATGCAGAAACCCGCCCAGGGAGCCCCACTCACTGTCAATCCAAGGAGCGTTGAGCCCATGGATTATCTATCACCCAAAATGATGCGCAAGCTGTCGAGCAAGGCGGTGCAGAGGATTCTGGAGGCCCATGCCAATGTCAAGCAACTGCCGCTGATGGAGGCCAAGATGAAGTACATTCAGGCCTGGCAATCGCTGCCCGATTTCGGCGTCACCCTGTTCGTAATCAAATTCGACGGGCACAAGAAGGAGGAGCTGCTGGGCGTGGCCAATAACCGGATTATGCGCATGGATCTTAGTTCGGGGGATCACATCAAAACCTGGCGCTACAACACCATGAAGGCCTGGAACGTCAACTGGGGCATCAAGTGCATGATGATCCAGCTGCAGGACGAGAACATCATCTTCTCTGTCCAATCGGCCGACTGCAAGGTGGTGCACGAGTTCATCGGCGGCTACATATTCATGTCCATGCGCTCCAAGGAGAACAACCAGACGCTCAACGAGGAGATGTTCCACAAGCTGACGGGCGGCTGGTCGTAAGTGAATCTATTTGGAGGAATCTGGAGGATTGGAGTGTGGAGTCTGGAGTCTTACGAGTGCCAAGCACAAAACTCGTCGCATCTTCTACAGTTTTATCTACATATATTTAACTAAAGTAGGGCGCGTTGATTTATGTGGGTTGAAAAGTAATCTGCGGATTTAGCTAGGCAAACGTTAGTTGAAAAAGCCCTCAATGTCAAATTTTTAACAAGTTTTTTTCTCTGTTCTAATTGTTAAATGTAACTTGAATTTATCTATATTTTTTTAAACTTACTGTCGGCATTTATCTAAAAAATAATTAATTTTAATTTGACCAGCAAGTTTAAGTTCTAGATTTTGTGTTGTAAAAATAGTGCAATCCATAACTTGATTTTAAAACGAAAGCTGCCTGAAATTGTCTAACGATTTCCTCCATTTTTTATATATCAACCCACAAAGTCGACTCGCCCCAATCGAAAAAAGCGTTGTGTGTACAAGTGTTAATGGAAGTGGAATTCTAGACTAATAACAATCACCACGCTGATAACGATTATATGATAACGATGTTGTGCCTTCGCCAGAGCAATCTTAACCCAAAACAAGTCCAAGTCAATGTCCTGTGTTCTCTGTGTTGTCTGTTCACCTAACACAGCGTTAAAGTTACACTACTTAAGTCCCCTTTTTCTATGACTTGTGCGCGACTAACCCGCAGTTTTACATATTGTATATTTATTAAACAAATTAATAAGCAGAATAAATTATTTTATATGTTTTTAATGATCGTAAACGACAGCCTGTTTGTTTGTTTGCTTGCCTGGAAACCCGAGCCCAATGGGGATTACTCATCCAATTTTACAGCGAGCTATGGCTTCCAAAACGGGGCGTTGATGAAACAGTCGGGCGTTTAATATAAAGCACGGGTATTGTTATTAATAACAGCGCACTCAATTGGATTGATAAGCAACTCAGCAGACGTCGCTATATGGGGATTCGAGATTATAGGAAGCTCCGGGCACCACCGTTGATTGATGACCCCGGTCGGAGAGTTATATATATGGGAATACATATATATTTATGTGCTTCAGAATGGGGCAACTTCTCACCCAATAGCTGGCGAAATCTTCAATTTGATTTAATTTAACGGGGTGACTTTTGAAGAGGCAAAAGTGCCGGATGTAAATAAGGAGTGATAAATAAGAATTCACTTGAATATTTTAGAATATTTGCTTTTTAAATGTTTAATCTCACATGTTTTAAAAAAATTAGCTATACAATGGAATTTTATTTTCTTTTATAAAATATCAGGAACTTTCATATCATTTAAAGTCAAACCTTCCTAACTCAAAGTATCTATAATTTAAAATGTTTTTTAATGGCAGATGATGCTTTGAGTTATTTAAGTTCTACTGTAATACTGAAATAGAAAATGCATTAAAAAAATTCGTCACAGGCGTAAGTATTTACTTTAACACTCTGATGACTCCCATCGAAGGAAAAAGGCGAGTATAAATAATAAATGATTAACTCATTCTTAGAAGAGTTGTTTTGCGTAAGTCTCAAGGATGAGAGAAATTTTTACATAGTGGAGTATTCATAAATTTGAATCACTAACAGATAGGAATGACCTTGTTTTAAATTTTATTTGCGTTAAGTATTAAGATGAATAATTTTTAAACAATTCTGAAATTTTAAGGTTTTTTATTGCTACTAAAATAGTTTGGATTTCGCCTTCATGGTTTTAAAACCCATCAAAAAAGTAAAAAAAAAGATTTAAAATATCATTCGTGGAGATTTGAATAATTGAACGTTAATTTATAACAACTATTAAAAAAATAAACAAATTAAACCAACATAAACATATTTTTCATAAATCAGACATATTAATAATGCAAAAATGGTTTTAAATTATTGACGTTACAATTAAACCGTTACGTAAGCTATACCGTTAAGAATCGTTATGATTAACGTAACGGTATTCTGAATTGGTGACATATGTTAGGTCACACTGGATTATCTGGATGCCACACTTATGTTTGGCGCGAAATTTTAAATTTTCATTTAAATTTTTTATCGGTAACGAATATTTTCTTCAACATCTTTTCAAACAATTTTCTGTCTCAGTTTTCCCTTTCAAAGATTTACACGGATTTATATTTCCCAGACATAAAGTTACCAATAATACTATAACTAACTACAAAATTGTTTGTTTTTAGCGTATTAATTACCGTAAAATAAATAATTTACCATATAAAATTAAACAGTTATGGACAAAAATACCGTTTATTTTAAAATTAGTATTATTATTTTACAAGTAGTAGAAAAAATACCGTTTATTTTAAAATTTGTATTATAAATTTGTAATGATTGTACTGCCGTTACAACGGGGCTTATCTGTCGGACATTTTCCACTTTGTATGTTCAAGAATGCTAAAAAATGTTTTAAAAAATGTGTGAACAATAATAAAATCGTAAGATATAACTGTACTTACGTGGTTTTCCTTGTTCCTTACGCCTGCAATCCTCATATTTTACGATATACCCATTCAATGCACCGAAGACACACTCCGTAGCAATTCCACATGCAGGCGATAAAATCGATGGTAACATATTAATACACTTACTAGCCTCGGTTCCTAACATTGAGGTAACTTAATAGAAGCAGGATAAATGTATGATTTTAAATGTATAAAGAAAAACTCACCCAGAAGAAAAGCAATGCTTAACTTCCACATGTTGACTTGTTAAAGGTTTGAGATTATATGACATTAGCTGTAAGATTAGCTTCATTTTTATGGAGAAATTTACCTACCATAACCATATAATTTCTGATTATTTTTAATATGATCAGTTACGGGCTAATATTTTACATTTGTTCAGAGAAATATAAAAAATAAATTTTGTATCGGTAACGAATACATAAAGATACCAATAATACTATAACTAACTAACTGTTTGTTCTCAGCGGATTAGTTACCGGAAGGTTAATTATTTTCCATATATAATTAAACATTTATAGACAAAAAAGACCGTTTACTTTAAAATTTGTATTTATTTTTTACAAGCAGTACAAAAAAGACTTTTTATTATAAAATTTGTATTATTAATTTACTGGAGGGCAACGGGGCTTGTCTGATGGGCATTCGTTTTTTTCAATGGACAGGAATGCTAAAAAAATTGTTTAAAATAATTTTCAGCATTAATTATACTTTAACATATCAAATAACATACGTGGTATTCCTAATTCCCTACGTCTGCAATCTTGAAATCGTGCGACAAAATCATTGTCAGCATGGTACACACAGTCCTTAGCAATTCCACATACAGGATTATAAATTAATGGGCCAAACGAATTGCACCTACTACCCTCGGTCCCTAACATTAAAGTAACTAAATAAAGGCAAAATAAAAATATGATTTTGAATGTATAAACTTTATACTTTATACTATAAAGAAAAACTCACCCAGAATAAAAGCAATGCTTAACTTCAACATGTTGACTGGTTAAAGGTTTGAGATTTAATGACTTTAGCTGTAAGATTAGTCTCCGTTTTATGTTGAAATTTACCTACCATAGGCATATAATTTCAGATTATTTTTAATGTGATCAGTTACGGGCTAACATTTTACAATTGCTCTGAGCAAATATACAATTAAATTTTGTATCGGTAACGAATACATAAAGTTAACAATAATACCATAACTAACTACAAAACTGTTTGTTTTCAGCGGATAAATTATCGGAAAATTAATAATTTACCATATATAATTAAACAGTTATGAAAAACAAAGACCGTTTACTCTAAAATTTGTATATATTTTTTACAAGCAGTACAAAAAAAACTGTTTATTATAAAATGTGTATTATTAATTTACTTGAGGACAACGGGGCTTGTCTGATGGGCATTTGTTTTTTTCAATGGACAGGAATGCTAAAAAATTGTTAATAATATTTTCAGCATTAATTATACTTTAACATATCAAATAACATACGGGGTATTCCTATTTCCCTACGTCTGCAATCTTGAAATCGTGCTGCAAAATCATTGACAGCATGGTAGACACAGTCCTTAGCAATGCCACATACAGGCACATAAACGAATGGAATTCGGCCATCGCATTTACTACCCTTGGTTCCTAACATTGAAGTAACTAAATACAGGCAAAATAAAAGTGTGATTTTGAATGTATAAAGAAAAACTTACCCAGAACAAAAGCAATGCTTAACTTCAACATGTCGATTTCTTAAAGGTTTGAGATTATATGACTTTAGGTGTAAGATTAGTTTCTTTTTTATGGAGAAATTTACCTAGCATAACCATATAATTTCTGATTATTTTTAATATGATCAGTTACGGGCTAACATTTTACAATTGAATATTTTCTTCAATATCTTTTACATGAAAAAATTGTCCGTTCTAGTTTTCCCTTTTAAATAATTTACACGGATTCATATTTCTCAGACATAAAGTTACCAATAATACTATAACTAACTACAAAACTGTTTGTTTTCAGCGGATTAATTACCGAAAAGTAATTTACCATATTTATATTTGTATTTATTTTTTAGAAGCAGTACAAAAAAGACTGTTTATTATAAAATTTGTATTATTAATTTACTGGAGGGCAACGGGGCTTGTCTGATGGGCATTCGTGGTTTTCAATGGACAGGAATGCTAAAAAATTGTTAAAAATAATTTTCAGCATTAATTATACTTTAACATATCAAATAACATACGTGGTATTCCTAATTCCCTACGTCTGCAATCTTGAAATCGTGCAACAAAATCATTGGAAGCATGGAAAACACAGTCCTTAGCAATTCCACATACAGGAATATAAACGAATGGCCTAGCCGAATTGCACTTACTACCCTCGGTCCCTAACATTAAAGTAACTAAGTAAAGGCAAAATAAAAATATGATTTTGAATGTATAAACTTTATACTTTATACTATAAAGAAAAACTCACCCAGAATAAAAGCAATGCTTAACTTCAACATGTTGACTTGTTAAAAGTTTGCGTTTTAATGACTTTAGTTGTAAGATTGGTCTCCGTTTTATGAAATTTACCTACCATAAGCATATAAGTTCTGATTATTTTTAATAAGATCAGCTACGGACTAACAATTCAATATAATATTCATTGGTAAATTTCAAGGTCAATATTTTATTGAGAAAATTAGTAGCAGTAAAAAATGTAAAGTTGCTATTTAAACTATACATTGCCTTCGCAGTTGGGCCTGTCAGTCGGACATATTCCGCTTTGTACAGTCAAGAATGCTGTGGATTTTTAAAAAGATTTAATTTAAATAATAATAATACTTTATTTGTTTGTACTTACGTGCTTTTCCTTGTTCCCTACGTCTGCAAGACTCATTTAAAATGTCATATTCATTTCGCGCATTATAGGCACATTCCGCAGCAATTCCGCATTGACGGTTTTCAATAAGTGGAATACCGTCATGACATTCACCCTTGATTTCCAAGATTAAAATAGCTAAATAAACGGAGGGTTAATGTATTAATTTAAATTATTACAACAAAAGACTCACCCAGAATAAAAAGGATGCTGAAACTCTTCATGGTGACTAGTCAAACGATTGGAAATTAATGACTGATGCTAAAAGGATTAGTATTCTATTTAAAGGGAAAGCGTAATGTAATAATTAGTAATAATATTTATCGTATGCCGTTACACGAACCTTGAGAATATAAAATTTATTCACTGTGGACGACAGTTATTTTTGTACAGCCACGAATGCTATACAATTTTTAAAAATGTCTATGCATTAATACAATCTAATTAATTGTATTTTTGCGATTTTCCTTCCTTCTTAATTATTTGCAATATTATCAGTCACGGGATAACATTTTGCGGTTGCTCTGAAAAACATATCATTCAGATAAGTACAGGCAAATGGTAAGAATACATTCAATAGTCAATTTCAAAATACATTTTTTATTGCAACATATATTACATTCCAAAATTCCTTAGAGATTTTCAAAAGATGGTCGTATACTTTTTAAACTGATTTAAGATTTAGGACAAGGTGTTGCTCCTGGCTTGCATGGTCCTTTGTGTATTATCCTAAAACCTGTAAAATTTAAAAAAATTTTCCAATAATTAATAATTATAATTGATTTCAATATATTTTACATACCTGTTTTGCCTTGTTCCCTACGTTTACAAGACTCATTTAAAACATCTTCTTGATTTAGCCCACTATATACACACCCAAAAGAAAGTCCACAGTAAGGATTAGAATTTGTCGGTACCACAGATGCGCATTTACTAGCTCCCTCGATTCCTAGCATTGAAATAACTGAAAAGAAGCAGGGTAAATGTATGATTGGAATGTATAAAGAAGAAAATCGCACCTAGAATATAAAGAAGGCTTAACTTCATCATGATGATTGGTTGAAAGTTTGTGAATAACTGACTGAAGCTGTAAGACAAGTTTACATTTTATAGAGAAACAAATATTTGGTCCTACCTATGCTTTAACACGAACTGGGAGAATTAACAAAAAACAAGAGAGAACGCTATAGTCGGGTTGTTGTCCCGACTATCTAATACCCGTCACTCAGCTAAAGGGAGTGCGAACGCTGTGTCGGGTTGGTGTCCCGACTAATAATCGTAACTCAGCTAAAGGGAGTGCGAGGGAGATAGATATATAATTTTTGATTGCGTATAACTTTTTAATGAATGGTCCGATTTGAAAAATGTCTTCTACATTTCGATAGGTATACATATACACAACAAAATTGCATTTATACTTCTCGGAAATCTTTAAAGATGTGGGCGCAGGACCCATTTTAAAATCGTTAGTGGGGGATTGTGGGCGTTAGAGGGGGCGTGGCGCTCGGCTAAAATAAACTTGCGCTGCGTAGGAAGCCAAAGAATATGTGTGGGAAATCTCAACCTTCTAGCTTTTGTAGTTTCTGAGATCTCAGCGTTCATACAGACGGACAGACGGACAGACAGACAGACAGACAGACGGACAGACGGACAGACGGACAGACGGACATGGCTAGATCGACTCGGCTAGTGACCCTGATCAAGAATATATATACTTTATGGGGTCGGAAACGCTTCCTTCTAGCTGTTACATACTTTTGCACGAATCTAGTATACCCTTTTACTCTACGAGTAACGGGTATAAAAAGTATAAATAAATCATATAATTTTTTTTTGTATGATCAGTCACGGATTAACATTTTACCATATCTACAAAGAAACGTATAATTTAGACAGGCTCTCCGGAGTTATCGGATGGGAAAACCAGCCTGTATTATACAAATTTATTTATTAAATGTTCCCACACACAAAAAAATGGATTGGTAAAATTAACCAATATAACATTTTAATATTTTTTAAACAGTACCGAACCACAAAAATTGTTAATTCTAATCAGTAGTCGTTTTTGCAATATATTCTTGTACCTTTTCTCTAAGTCATCTGCCAGATGCGATTTGAATTTCAAAGATACAAAGACACAGAGAACATGTGGCCAGAAATGCGCGGGAGGCGTTGTGACTTTCAAAAAGGATTCGTCTTGCTTTGTACTTTTGGTATTTGTTTTTGATTTGTTCATCAGCTGTTTGGAGAAAAGAAAGCGAGAAGCGTTTTGGGGAAGGTTATCCTTTTCTTCCTTTCTTTAGGAGATGGCGCCCATGAGATACTTTTAAGATCGTATAGGGTTATTCATTCCATTCTCCTCCTTTTCTCTTTTCTGACTTATGTAAATCCGCTTGTGGCTGCCGGAGCAATTACAATGCAGTTCATGTCCGAGAAGGCAGCCTTCTTACCCCGCATTTACTTATGCGTACCCCAGGACCCTTTTTTTTTGGCTTCATTTCAGTAAGTAAGCAAAAGTACCGCGTTCGCTGGTAAATTTTATTGGTTAAAAAGATTAAAATAAATGATTTTTTATATTTGCGTTGGTATTTCAAGGTGATTGCTGCACCTGTGGGATTATCCAGTCCATGAAGTACTGTACCGAAAGATGACCTTATAGGGTTCTGGCCGGTTAGTTATTTCTGGAATCTGTACAGCAGACCTACGTGGGAGAAGCAGGGCAAGGATGAACTGATAGATAGTTAGATAGATCGAGGATATGTCCCTACCACTGGAACCTTGTCAAAGGTGGGCCCGCCCTCACAGCTGCTCATACGGCCGGTCACATACTCAGTTTTCCTTCCTTCGTTGACGTATTTATTTGCGCCCAACTCCTTACACAAGGGCAGGGGCACACAAAATCCATTAATTGCATCCTTGGTGATGCACCTCAGAAGACCTAATCAGGGTAAACAAGTGTATCTACTTTTAAGACTTTCCCCGAATTTGTTAAAGTTACAAAGTGCCTATTCTAGGGATTAAGTTCTACTTCCACGGATTAAAAAGCATTTATATTGGCATCAAGTAATAATAATGTTGTTAATAAGGTGACTTTGGCTACCTTGACTGCCCTGATTTAACTGGGCTGCAGAATATGGAGGAAGCAGTACGAGGAGTGTAATCACAGCACTAAAACAGCACAACCACTTCATGTTTAATCCTCGATTATATCCGCGGTAAAGAGCAACAAAGCAAAGATCACTGTACAAATAACTTTCAAATAATATATTCTTCAAAAAAGGCTCTTCGGAGATCCCAAGCTAGTAACCTCTTCTATTCGAATGAGCAATCAACTCCCAGAGCCCAGCTTTATATCGATATATATTTGGTCCTACCTATGCTTTAACACAAACTGTTACAGTCACGGATTAACATTTTACCATATCTACCTATGCTTTAACACGAACTGGGAGAATTAACAAAAAACAAGAAAGAAAGCTAACTTCGGCCAGCCGAAGCTTATATACCCTTGCAGATAAAGTAATGCTCACTCGGTGCAGTTCCAGGGATTCCAGATTCAGCGTTTCTATTTTAATTTTGTTTATACATAAGTAGTCAAGAATCAAAACGCCTACTTCCTACAAAGTTACAATGAATTTTCTTATATTTGTTTGAATATTTCTATGGGAGCCTTAAGATATAGTGGTCCGATCCGGCCCGCTTCGACTTATGTACTACCTACAATAGAAAGAAGACTTTCGGGAAAGTTTTATCGCGATAGCTTTAAAACTGAGAGACTAGTTCGCATAGAAACGGACAGACGGACAGATGGACAGACGGACAGACGGACATGACTAGATAGACTCGGCTATTGGTCCTGATATATATATACTTTATGTGGTCGGAAATGTCTCCTTCACTGCGTTGCAAACATCTGACTGAAATTATAATACCCTCTACAAGGGTATAAAAAGTATAAATAATTCATATAATTTTTTTTTGTATGATCAGTCACGGATTAACATTTTACCATATCTACCTATGCTTTAACACAAACCGGGAGAATTAACAAAAAAAAGTATAAATAAATAATATAATTTTTTTTTGTATGATCAGTCACGGATTAACATTTTATCATATCTACAAAGAAACGTATAATTTAGACAGGCTCTCCGGAGTTATCAGATGGGAAAACCAGCCTGTATTATAAAAATTTATTTATTAAATGTTCCCACACACAAAAAAATGGATTGGTAAAATTAACCAATATAACATTTTAATATTTTTTAAACAGTCCCGAACCACAAAAATTGTTAATTCTAATCAAATAGTTACTTGCACAACAACAAATTCACACAATTAGGAAACCAACACACCCAAAGCGAAAACAATTTTTCGTTCTTTCTGACATTATTAATCAGTAGAGGCCTATAAAACCCTTCCTGCGCCCACATCTTTAAAGATTTCCGAGAAGAAAGAAATACCTATCGAAATGTAGAAGACATTTTTCAAATCGGACCATTCATTAAAAAGTTATACGCAATCAAAATTTATATATCTATCTCCCTCGCACTCCCTTTAGTTGAGGTTCGAATATTAGATAGTCGGGACACCAACCCGACTATAGCGTTCTCTCTTGTTTTTATTTTAAAGGACCGATTTTAAAACCTTGAAATGGTATACAAATTCAGAGTTTAAAGCGAGAAAACGGCCATAACAACAAAATGTTGGACAAGTGACTCGGCTAAGCGACTTGGCTAAGCGAGTGCACCCTCCATTGGTAAGACCGTTATTTGACACTAGAGATGGGAAAGAATCGATAGTCGACATTAAACATCGCTGGTTTCAAGACTCCGAGCCTTTGGTTCGATAGTTCCGTGGGTCTTCCACCTCTAATCAGCTGCTAAAAAAAATACCAAACGGTTTGGCTGTCGCGCATTTTCAATCGCAAATTAAACGCTGCTAATTTCGCTAAACGGCCGCTGTTCTCGGATAACAAAGCGAATCTCGTGGATTCCAACGAATCGAGTCAATTCAAAAGTGAAAAGTTACGTTTCTAACGCTGCTTTGTTGCACCTGCGTTTTTTCGTGCATTTTTCAATCCGTTCACACGCACACATGCATTCGTTTATCGGTGTGTGAAATTGTGCAAAAACCTGTGACGACAGAGGGGGCGGGGAGGAGGGGCGCGCTATTTGCTTTTGCCGTGTGTTGAAAGCAAAATATTCATTGTTTTTGTTCCGTGTGTGCACTGCAAAATTCATATTTAAGTGTCTGCGTCATGTGGGGACCGCTTACCTCCCGCCAGCGAATTCAGCAGCAGCCAAAAAGACAGCTGCTCATTTGGCGAGTGTAAACAAAGCAGCACACACACATATACACTCGTTTACCTGGCGGCGACTGCGACGCCGACTGCAATTGCGCTGCCTACAACTCGCATATCGAATTTCACATCAGATCTTTAAAGAAGGGAAATCTCCATCTGCCGCTTCATCTTTTGTCTGGCCAACCTGTTCGCTTCCAGACAGGAAGTTTGAGTTGGCCAATTTTCGCAAGTTAAGCCAAGTGCAGCGAGGCAGCGACGTCGACGACGGCGTCAACGTCCTCTGCCCGCGTCGCAGCAGCTGCGCAGCCGTAAACGTTACAAGCGGATCTTAAATATTCGGTGAGTGTTTCCGAAACCGAAAACAAAGCGGAAAAAACCCTTTAAAACACCTCATGGAAATGGAAATGTTACAAATGCTCGAACCCAAAAACCATATAATGGAACTAGCCCCTTTTGGGATTTCGGGGTGGGATAGTTGTCAGTACAGTGGAGACCCTATAAATTAAAATGCGAATAAATCCTAAAACATGTTTACTTTCAAAATCTCTCCGAATACTATTTTTTGTTACAAAACGGCTTATTATTAATTTTATATACGGAAATTCCAATCAAATAGATAAACTTATGAGCAGAGCAGAAAGCATGAAATCAGCTTGAGTTCGTTCCATTGCTTAAATTTAATAATAATAATAATTTATAGTTAAGCTATAAAAGCGTTAAACTTTGTAGCATTGATATTAAAAATATTATCAATTTAAAATGAGTTATTCACAACAACTCAGTTAAATTAAACTGGTTTACAAAGTAATTTCTAATGTAATTAAAAACACATTATACAATAAAAAATCAATAAAATTCCCTAACCTTTTGATTTTAATTTATCAGAGTACAGCAACAAATTTAACTAGAATTCTAATATAGAAACTTATTTATCAAGGCTACTTTTTTTCAGCTTTTTTATTGAAAAAGTAGGAGGATATGACTGAGAAATATCTTTTGGTAAAGACCCCAAAAACCCAAAAATTTAAAGGAATGTACGTAAGCATAAATACATCTTTTACCCGAAATTCCCCCAAGCAGATTTTGTTTTTATCAATACATATTTATCCTAATTTAATTGTAATATTAAAAAAATTTGAAACGGTCTGCAATTTTGAGTTAGTAAGAAGTAAGACTGTATTAAAAATTCAATACCCAGCAGAAAAGTGTTTGTACCTGGGTTATTTCTGTACCTCGAAGTCACCATTTTTCGAATATCCATTAAGCGACAGATGTTCAGTTATGGACGTTCGACTGTATCTAAATTACACAGCTGATAACCTGCTCTCAACTGGGCGTTGTTGTCTCTACGGACATCTCTGTCCGCCTCTCGCATCCGCTAAATTCCAGTTTCCGCCCGAATAATTACTCAAACTGTCGCCGCAAAGTGTAATTTCTATTATTCGCTTGTTAACAATAGGCATTAGCACGGGCAGGTTTTCTTTTGTGCACCCCAGGGAAATCCTATATCATTTTTGTTCCGAATCTCCATCTGCTCACCTTTTATCGCGCTCTATAAATAAACTCCACTTTATCACGCGCCAGAGTTCAAGCTGCTTTTTTTCTGAGATCCCAGTCCCCCTCTCTCAGTTCCCGACTTTATATCACTTCCGGATTGTTGGGGATTCGGGTTCATAGGGTGACGCAACGCGTTTACGTGGATTGCCAAGAAAACGTGACGTCATGTGGGGACATTTATTTACACAAATCCACTTTTGTGTGCATTGGCCCCTTGGAAACAGCAGTATACGTATTCAACAAGTAAAACGATTGAAGGAATTCATAGAACTAAATAAATAAGTTATCTTGAAATCTCCTTGCTTCAGCTTTTTCCTTGGGGAAATCGTAGAAAAATGTCTTTATAGAGTCCCAGGAACTTAGCAGGAGCATTTATTGTTTCTATTTAATATTGTTTATAAGGAAAATTAATCTGTGTATGTAGTTAATATAATCTTTGGAATTTAATAGTTCCTAGGAGTTTTTAAAAATATTTTGTATTATGTGATAACGGAAGTTAGATGGTGTTAAAGCATGTGCTAAAAATTTTTTTTATAATTGGGGGCGACTTTTTGGCTTGATGTTAGTGTGGTAAATCTTAACATGTGTTTCATTAAATTTTATCAATATTTAATTTTGTAGGCTTATCATAAGAGTCAATAACCTTTCTAAAAAGGAAAAAAAAGTGTTTTTTTTTCATATTATTTTCCGCTTGTACAATTACAATTAACCAACAAAGAAAATAAGTTAATTATTGGTTAAACTAGAAAAGTATTTTATGACTGAATTGGATTTATAATCATATACGATAAGTTTCATTAATGGTTTCAAAAATGATGATAGTCTGAAAAGAAGAATTATTTTTTGTAATATCTAGCAACAATAAAAATGTAAATATTTGTATACAATTTTTATACCTTTTCATAGAAACGCTTTATTTGAAAATGTATATTTTTTTCATGCTTAATACTTAAAAATAATATACTTTTAAAAAATGCGTAAATCATTAATTAAACCAGAAACATTTTGTATGAATGAAGGTATACGATTAGTTTAATTGGGGATTTATCCCCCAAATCCAATCCAATTTATCAATATTTAATGATCCACTTACCTATTACATTTGACCATTAGTTTCATAATTATTTTATGGCGTCAGAAATCACTGAACACCTTCTGTAAATATGGAAATGCTGTTACTGCCCATAAATGTTGCGCACTTTCGCCGTTTCCCCACCACCGTTATCATTATCGCCTCTCGAGGGGATTACGTGACTGACCCACTGCCCTTGACCGCAGTTCATTATGTACATAAAGTTAGCAATGCAACTTTTGAAAATGCAAATTTTTTTCTATCGACAATTTGCCGTTATTTATCCGTAAATTATTCGTGAAAGAAAAAAATTTGCCGCTCAATTATTTTTAAAATTATGTGATGTTCTGCTAAGTTGATATCAACTTAGCAGAACACCCCCACTAAAGTTCAAAATTTCCAAAATCTTTTCTAATGGGAATTTGCCGTTATTTATCCGTAAACGATTCGCGAAAGAAAAAATTTTGTTGCTCCTGTTTTAACATTTTTTTTTTTTAAAACATAGTTGTTCTGCTAAGTTGATATCAACTTAGCAGAACACCCCCACTAAAGTTCAAAATTTCCAAAATCTTTTCTAATGGGAATTTGCCGTTATTTATCCGTAAACGATTCGCGAATGAAAAAATTTTGTTGCTCCTGTTTCAACATTTTTTTTTTAAAAAACATAGTTGTTCTGCTAAGTTGATATCAACTTAGCAGAACACCCCCACTAAAGTTCAAAATTTCCAAAATCTTTTCTAATGGGAATTTGCCGTTATTTATCCGTAAACGATTCGCGAAAGAAAAAATTTTGTTGCTCTTGCTTTAACCTTTTTTTAATAATAGTTGTTCTGCTAAGTTGATATCAACTTAGCAGAACACCCCACTAAAGTTCAAAATTTCCAAAATCTTTTCTAATGGGAATTTGCCGTTATTTATCCGTAAACGATTCGCGAAAGAAAAATTTTGTTGCTCTTGTTTTAACATTTTTTTTTAAAAAACATAGTTGTTCTGCTAAGTTGATATCAACTTAGCAGAACACCCCACTAAAGTTCAAAATTTCCAAAATCTTTTCTAATGGGAATTTGCCGTTATTTATCCGTAAACGATTCGCGAAAGAAAAAATTTTGTTGCTCCTGTTTCAACATTTTTTTTTTAAAAACATAGTTGTTCTGCTAAGTTGATATCAACTTAGCAGAACACCCCCACTAAAGTTCAAAATTTCCAAAATCTTTTCTAATGGGAATTTGCCGTTATTTATCCGTAAACGATTCGCGAAAGAAAAAATTTTGTTGCTCTTGCTTTAACCTTTTTTTAATAATAGTTGTTCTGCTAACATATGTATGTACAACGCGGACGGTAGCAGAGCTCTGCTGACGTCGACGTCAAATGTGTAAAATTACCGCGAATTCTGCGTCCTGGAGGTTTATTAATTTCTGCAGTGAGTCTGAGTCATTATTATTTACAGAATTACACATAATCAAAAGTTAATAATGTTAAAGCTTGAAAAATGGATGTTGCTTCTCACAGAAGCAGAATTCGCGGAAATTTTACACATTTGACGTCGACGTCAGCAGAGCTCTGCTACCGTCCGCGTTGTACATACATATGTTAGCAGAACAACTATTATTAAAAAAAAGGTTAAAGCAAGAGCAACTAAATTTTTTCTTTCGCAAATCATTTACGGATAAATAACGGCAAATTCCCATTAGAAAAGATTTTGGAAATTTTGAACTTTAGTGGGGGTGTTCTGCTAAGTTGATATCAACTTAGCAGAACAACTATGTTTTTAAAAAAAAAAATGTTGAAACAGGAGCAACAAAATTTTTTCTTTCGCGAATCGTTTACGGATAAATAACGGCAAATTCCCATTAGAAAAGATTTTGGAAATTTTGAACTTTAGTGGGGGTGTTCTGCTAAGTTGATATCAACTTAGCAGAACAACTATGTTTTTAAAAAAAAAAATGTTGAAACAGGAGCAACAAAATTTTTTCTTTCGCGAATCGTTTACGGATAAATAACGGCAAATTCCCATTAGAAAAGATTTTGGAAATTTTGAACTTTAGTGGGGGTGTTCTGCTAAGTTGATATCAACTTAGCAGAACAACTATGTTTTTTAAAAAAAAATGTTGAAACAGGAGCAACAAAATTTTTCTTTCGCGAATCGTTTACGGATAAATAACGGCAAATTCCCATTAGAAAAGATTTTGGAAATTTTGAACTTTAGTTAGGGTGTTCTGCTAAGTTGATATCAACTTAGCAGAACAACTATGTGTTTTAAAAAAAAAATGTTAAAACAAGAGCAACAAAATTTTTTCTTTTGCGAATCATTTACGGATAAATAACGGCAAATTCCCATTAGAAAAGATTTTGGAAATTTTGAACTTTAGTGGGGTGTTCTGCTAAGTTGATATCAACTTAGCAGAACATCTCATAATTTTAAAAATAATTGAGCGGCAAATTTTTTTCTTTCACGAATAATTTACGGATAAATAACGGCAAATTGTCGATAGAAAAAAATTTGCATTTTCAAAAGTTGCATTGCTAACTTTATGCACATCAGTTCATTCACCGATGATCACTATGCATTTGCGTTTGCCTTCAACTAATTTCGTTCTTTTCTGCGATCTTTCAGGAGGACATGACCTCCAGTTCGGCGGCGGATGGCGGCGGCCCGAGCAGCGAGACGGCCTGGCTGGAGGATCTGCTGCGCGAGGTGCAGCTGGAGCAGTTTCTGGACAGGATTCGCGATGATCTGCAGGTGACGCGGCTGGCGCACTTCGACTACGTCCTGCCCGACGATCTGGAGCGATGTGGCCTGGGCAAGCCGGCCATTCGCCGGCTGATGGAGGCGGTGCGCAAAAAGAAGGCCCACCAGTGGCGCAAGAACATCCTGTCCAAGCTCATTGGCGGCGGCAAGCAGCCCTCGTCCAAGAAGCAGTCATCCTCCTCCTCCGCAAGGGAATCGAGTCAGGGTAATGGCACCCCGCTAACCTGCCTCATCCACGAAAAGGACATCACAATGGGCCTGAAATTGGGCGACGGATCCTTTGGCGTGGTGCGGCGGGGCGAATGGAGTGCCTCGCCGGCGGGCAAAGTCATCCCGGTGGCCGTCAAGGTGCTCAAGTCGGACAATCTCACCCAGCCGGGCATCATCGACGACTTCTTCCGCGAGGTTCAGGCCATGCACGCCCTGGATCATGCGAATCTGGTGCGGCTCTATGGCGTAGTGCTTTCCCAGCCCATGATGATGATCACGGAGCTGGCGGAAAGGGGATCTCTGCTGGATACGCTGAGAAAACAGTGCCGCCACACATCGCTGACCATCATCTGGAACTGGTCGGTGCAGATTGTGACGGGAATGGCTTACCTCGAACAGAAGCGCTTCCTTCACCGCGATTTGGCCTGCCGAAATGTTCTCCTGGCCGCTGGAAATAAGATAAAGATCGGGGACTTTGGCCTGATGCGTGCCCTGCCGCAAGAGGATGACTGCTATGTGATGTCCGAGCACAAGAAGGTGCCCTTCCCCTGGTGCGCACCCGAATCGCTGCGCTTCCGGCAATTCTCGCACGCCTCGGACACCTGGATGTTTGGCGTGACGCTCTGGGAGATGTTCAGCTTCGGCGAGGATCCCTGGGTGGGGCTGAATGGCTCGCAGATCCTGCGCAAGATCGATCGCGAGGGCGAGCGACTGCATCAGCCGGACGCCTGTCCGCCGGACGTCTACGCCATGATGCTGCAGTGCTGGGATAAAACGCCTGCCGAGCGACCCACTTTTGCTGCCTTGAAGTAGGTTACCTATTGTAACACACACTGTAAAAAAAAAGTTCAAAAAAAGTTATTGACTTGTGTGTAAAAAATTGTATCCTACATATGTTAGAAACATAAAAAACACCCACATATCATTTGTGTTATTTACACGACGTGTTATTAACACGACATGTATTTTTACGCAGCGTGTTTTTAACACAATGAGTTTTTGACATTAAAAAATGTAAAAAATGCACGGTTTTCCAGAGTATTAGAATTTATATATGCTTTGAAATGGTTAAAACTAACAAATTGGTTTTTCATTTACCCTTAATGTCAGTAAAATGCAATTTTCATTTGTGTTAAAAACACAGTGTGTAAAAAACACGTCGTTTTAAAAACGCATTGAGTAAAAAACACTAGTGAGCTATGTGTGTTAACAATTATTTTTCACATGTCAACAATTTTGCTCACACTGTAAAATACAATTTTTCATGTTTTAAACATGTGTGTTAAATTCAGAACCCTGATTATAACCAACTAATTACTGTTCTTTACTCACAGGGAATATCTGGCCAGCATGTCGCCGCCTGTGATGCGCGCCTCCCGCAGTCACCACGAGTCCAAGGGTCTGCAGATCGAACCGGGCGACACTATAGCCATCATAGATGGCCGTCAAGAGCTCAAGTTGATCAAGGGCCAGAACCAGAGGACCTTTGACATCGGCATCTTTCCCAGGAGTCTGCTGGAGCAGCGAAAGGTGGCGGCTGCCGGCGATGTGGTGATGCGCAGCAGCATAGGAAACGGCTCTCCTTTTGGCTTCTGTTGGGGCGGAGCGGCTGCGATGGCGAATGGCGAGGAGCGGCAGCGAAAGACCGCCTCTCTAGCGAACCAACCGCATGCCAAGGAGCGCAAGTCGACGTCCAGCAAGCAGTTTGCCTACAACAAACTGGTCAACGAGGCGGCGGCGGCGGCGGGTCTCCAGCGACGCAATGCGGTGAAGCACAAGGCAGCGGCGGTGGTGGGTCCACAGCGTCCGCCGCCGCCGCAGTTCCAGCAGGAGGGCATACTCATTGATATTTCCCCGGAAATGCGACCTTTAGGAGGAGGATTAAACGACAGTTCTTCTCTGCAGGCGGACAGCTCATTTTGCCTGCTCGACGCCCCCATAGATGTGCCCACTTATGCCGAATCCAGTGGCTCGGGGGAACTCAATGTTTCGCCCACCTACTATAATGAGCAACCGCAATTTGACTTTGATCCAGCCAATGCGACAGCTTCTCCCGGGCGCCTGCAGCCGCCGCCTTACCAGATGCCACCCACTTACTCGAACACCATGGAGTTTGTCCAGAAGCGGGATAATTACCAACAGCAGCAGCAGCGAGATCCCTTTGATACCACAAATGTGGAAACAGCAGTGGCACTCTACTCGAATTTTAACCAATCTCTAGAGGAGCAAGCGGCTCCTCCCATTTACAACAGTCCTACGGTGAGGAAGAGTCTCTTTGGTGGAACCACTGCGAATAAGGAAAATATACCTGCTTTGGAGTCAGCAGCCATGCAGCTGAATCTAAATAACCTGGCATTGGAGCCTGTTCCTCCTCCTCCACCTCCTCCCGCTGATGGTGTTCTTCTAGACAAATCCTTTATTGCCGAACTGGAAAAGGACATGTACAGCAATGGGCAGAATCGCGCGCAGGAGGAGTATCAGCGTAACTCGACGCAGATGTATTCCAGCAAGGATATGGTCTACAAACAGAATCTCACGCCTCTCAAGAACGGAGTAGCGCCCTCGAATCATTCCAGTCCCTCGTCGAACGCCTCGCCAAAGCAAAATAACTTAGAGGCAGCAGCAGCTGCAACGGCCACCACTCAAAGTGTGGTGAATCGCATTTGGTACGAGCAGGTGGCCTCCACTTCCTCCGAGTATTATGCTCAACCGCCGCCCGAGCAGCCAGAAGAGCAGATCTACCAAAATCATCAGCAGCAGGAGTCCAACCATTCGTTTGTGGCCATTTCAAACAGGGTGGTGGCACCCAAAACCAGTGTTTACTCCTCCTCCGCTTCCCTTTACGACGCAGTGGCCGCCAGCACGGCAGGATCTACGTACTACGGTCAAGTTCCAAATGGCAGCGGTGCCGTGCGATACGATGAAGTGACCCAGGATGATTATTTGCGGCCCACGCGACCTGCTCCACTGGCGCCGCCTCCTCTGTCCGCCCAGCAGATCCAACGGCGGATGGAGAAGATGCGGCTGCAGCAACAGCAGCAGCTGGAGGGAGCCCATCAGCTGTATGCCCCTGTGCCCTCGGATTACGGACGCGAGCAGGAGAAGCTGCAGCAACTGATGCAGGAACTGGGCAGCTCGGCGGTGGAGCAGGATGTACGCAATGCACTGCGAGCGGCCAGTGGAGATGTTTCCCTGGCCACGAGGCACTACAAGATCGATCAGCTGGCGAGATTGGGCGTCGCCGGGCGGCCTCAATGCGAACAGGCGCTGCAGCAGACCAATTGGAGTTTGGAGGTGGCAGCTGAAGTTTTACTCTCCACAAATGCGGGATAAAAATCCCAGAAAACAACCACGTATTACCGCCTCGAATATAATTGCTTTAGTTTTACTTGCTGAATATTCGTCTATAATTAGCAGCTAACGATGTCTCGAATCTTTATCAAAATACTCCTAGGTGTATGCACGAACATGCAAAAATACACATTGTCAATGACTGTACAATTTGTTCTATTTTATATAAGCGATCGTATAAAATTATTTTATAATTGTTATTCGATGTCTGCATATTGAAGATGCCCCGAAATTTTATTTACAACACCAATCGAATCGTTCGAGAGAAGGTTCAAATCTAAAACAAAAAATGTCAACGCATGCAACAATTAATTTGTTTTGAAATCAAATAAATTATATGTAATTGTTACAAAACATTGAACGCTTTTGAATTTGGCGCCATGTGGGGAGGTTTGAAAAATACTGCAAAAATATACTTGACTGCTGAATGGAAATATACCAAAAAGTCTTTAGAAATAATACTAAACCATGGGTGTTGCAAAGGGGGGTTGAAACTAAGACTTTTCTTACGGGAGGGAAAAAAGTTCAAAAAGTTAAAATTTATATATTTCTTTGGTGATTTTCTGAACTATAAATCCCATGTAATATGGTATAATTACAAAAAATTATTAATTCAATATTTGATTTCATAAGAAATTAATTAAAGAATATGTATTTTATATCATATCTTTAAATATTTTTTTTTAAAACCAGTTATAGTTTCCAAGATATAACCCTTTAAAAACCCCAGTAAATCACAAAACCAGCAAGATATGTTAAAAGAATAATTATTTATTTTCAACAGGGGACATTATTCAAAATAGATCATTCAAAAGTGTGTAACACGTATATTTTCTCTGCCTGTAAATACATTATCTTAAATGCTCTGCGTTTTTGATTGATATTCAGGTGGTTAGTTCGAAACAACATTTTGTAATCGTTACTCTACGAGATAGAAGACACTTTCATCAAACACAATTCATTATTTCGTTTTCGATCCGTTGATCACTTATTATCTCACTTTGCATTGGGGACAATTTTCAAACTGTCTTCGATGGCACAAAATCTGAGTGCGGTTTTTATTAGATAAGAACGAAAATATATATTCAAAAACGATTTCGTGTCGCAAATGCAAATGTTGAAAATAGAATAAATCATCCTAAGATCCGTATGTACGAGTACTTAATAATATTAAATTAAAGTAGTTTATGTTATTACATAACAGCATACGCCTGGTCAATTGGAATACAAATACAAATTGGTATCATAAATACATATATCCGTATATCATATCATTTCAGGGTTTCTACCCAAATTTAGCTCAAATCGTGAAAAGTGTGTGGAATCCAAAGTGTTTGGCGCTTTGGTTTTGGTCTTTTATTGCGGAATGTCTGAGAGCGAAGGATGGGCGGACGATCCTGGATGCTGGATGCAGGATGCAGATGGGGATCTACATGTGCCGGGTGTTGCCGAAGTTGATGCCGGACTGGGTGGCACCCTTGTTCGATCCGTACTGCAGGGAGATGACATTGGCGCCGGCGCGCAGCTGCTCATCGCTGAAGTTGCGCTCGTTCTTGTCGGCCTCCTTGGGTCCAATCGATGGCTTGTTGAATTTCGAGGCCTATTTGAAGGGGTAATATCATATTAATATCGGTTTTTAAAGGTATATATATTTTAGAATATATTTATTCATGGGATAATGGTAAGTACAGATCACAGATGGGTGTAATTAGATACTTTCCTAAAAACCTTTTGTATTATCATCATAAAAATGTAAAAAAAAATAAATCAGAAGAGATCCAAGATGGGAATAATTAAATATTTTTCTAAAAAAAATTGTATATTATTATCATAAAAATATAACAAAATTAAATCAGAAGAGATTAGCGATGGGAATAATTAAATATTTGCCTAACATATTTTTATGAAGAATTTTTTAATAGAAAAGAAATTAGTTTTCCTTTTTTTAAGAATATTCATTACAAATGAAGTATAGATATAATTGAATTTTTTCATTCAGAAAAAAGTTATTGAAATTTATCACTTAACATTTTCCATATAAAAGTGATCTTTGACACCATATATCATGTGTAAAAACCAGAGTAATCATCTCACCTTGCGACCCAGCGACTGCAGGCAGATGACCACCGAGTTCAGGTTCTGACGCTCCCACAGATCGACGCTCTGGAAGGTTTCGGGGCTTGGGACTCCAAAGTTCTTGGCGCACTCCAAAAAGGCGGAGATATTCTCCATGCACTTGAAGGCCATCTTGCTCTCGTTGACCTTCTTGATGGATCCAGGCTGCAGGGCATTGGCCAGTTTGCACAGGATAACGCCATCCTTCAGCACCTCGAAGAAGTTGTCGGTGTCTCCGGATGTGTTGATGGGCTCAGCGGTGACGGCCTTGATCCACTCGAGGGATTCCTGGGCCAGCTCCTCGCTGTACTTCGAGTTGATCTGGAAAATGGGAAAAAATTGGAATTAGATTTAATATATAATATTAAAAACTTTAATTAATATTTTTATAATTTTTTTTAAAATAGGAAAATGCTTATTAAGTCAATGAAATTTAAATCTAATATTTTAAGGAGAAATTAACCTTGGACTGGTACATTTTCTGGCTGCTGCACTTGGTAGACTAAAGCCCCAAATCGGGGGTTAAATCAAGTACAGGCCATTATTTTATTTGTGGGCCATTTCCCCCGACGCCTTATCTCATCGAAATATCGCCGCTGATAGCGGACTTATCATTAATTGGTTATAAACATACAGCAGACTCTCTCGCACTCGTGACAATTTGGCGGTTATATTTCAAGTTGCGATAAGGATAAGATTGCACTCGACCGGTTCTCGGCACTCCCCATTATTCCAATATTATAACAAAAAATTATAAAAGTCAGTCACGTTCGAATGTACTCATACAATATATATGCTGAATAGTAAGTATTCCATATTTGCCAATGCCGATCGATAGCTTTAACTGGGAGCTAAGCTCCAGCCTGTTTGAAATCTGAACGTCTTGACCATATTTGGGCCTAAGTTTACCGGCCGCTTGGGCGTCCTTCGCACCGATTTTGGCCATAGTCAAACAGCCACTTGTTGAGCCAACTATTCTATTCTATTGCCATTTCCACTCGACTGGCACCTCAAAAACCACAAAAGCCGAAAGTCGAAGTCCCAAAACAAAACCCGCAAAATTGTTTGCGTGTCGCGTTTCCATTTGGCTTGCCAATAAAAATCGGAATCAAAATGTTTAGCAAACTATGGGTCATATCGGATGGACTCACTTAACACGTATTTATTAGTTTTATTTGATTGAATTGAATTGCTGTCGCTAACAGATTTTAGATTAGCTATTTCATCAGAAAGTTCAAGTAGCACACACAGTTGCGGTTAAAATAAGCGTAGAAATAAATTTAAAAAAAAACTTATAAAATTATTAATAAGTAAAAACAATAGTCTATTTATTTAATAAATGTTTCTTTGGAAATAAAATTGATTTTTAGCATATTTGGGAATTTCTATTTGCGGCTATAAAGCTATTAAAAATAACAGTTGATATCTGATAGATAAAGTTTGTCTTTTTTTTCTATTGTTATTGTTCATATCTGTATGGTTTTTATTTGTGGGAAAAACAATTAATCTTTCAGTTACTCTATAAATAGAATATTTGCTTACAGAACAACTATTTCTTTACCCACAATTGTACTGCTATTTTTTAGTATTTGTTTGATTTTTCGTACTGACTGGCAAGTCTATTAAAATAAATGATCTCAGAGAAAACAAATGGAACGATTGTCGCCAATTGAGTTGTATTCCACTCCTTATCGCCGATTCGTGGGGAAATGCAAACTCGTAAATTGAAGGGGAATGAGGCGGAAAAGTTGGCGATGCAGTAAAAAAATAAAAAAGTGAAATACAGACCAGAAGCTTTCCCTGTATTTGTGTGTACTTAATGAAGGTGAATGCACTTTGCACACATTATTATGCACTGGTACAAAATTTGATAAGAAGTTATAAGCGTTTTTATGAGTATAACTTTAATATGTTAAAAAATAAACTAAATCTATTAAAAATATTTTCAAAAAGCTGAAAATAAAAAAAATTAAGAATGTTAAGAAAATTAAGAAAATATATAAATTAAACTTTGAATATCTAATTGATCTGGACACTTTTTTCTGTGTAGTACTCTATCAAATTGGAACTCTCCAAAACAACAGAAGTCGAGAGTTATCGAAACATAAAATTTAACGACTTTTTCGTTGTTCGAGCTCAATAAAAACCACCGATCTTTCATTGAGATATGCAGAATAAAAGCGCAGAATATGATAATCACCTGGAAATGGCTTTATCTCCTGAATTTCACTGGCTTAAACTAAAGATTATCAATAATTGCAATCGACCGTTGGGCAAATTGCTTTGTCCGAATTTTCGGGTATAACGGTCAAGCATTTAACAGCAGAGGTCAGTTCATTAGCGCCTCAATGGGCAAAAATAATGGAAAAGAAAAAGAGGAGAAAAGAATGGAACCCAAATAACAGCATCATCCATCATCGAAGCCGAGAGAAAATCGCCGAGAAGCGTGAGGCAATTAATAAAAGCAATTTTTGATTGACATTCTTCGGTTCGAAAAATCAAGAATCTGGCCAAAGCAAAGCCAGAAGTTGATGATCATAACTTAGAGAGCCCCCTCCTGATGATGGCAGATAAATTGACACCCTCGGGGCAGATGAATAAATTTTGATTAGGAATAAATATGTTTATGGGATTCTGCGGCCAGTTTATGCATATACCGTCTATAAACCATAGTAAACCGAAAGCCGTTAAGAGCCTAATGAATTCCGATCGTTTCTTACACGTTTTTTGGCTTTAGTTTGAGGTTTTCGAACCGCAAATCTCCCAAAACAAATTTGACAGTTGGTGGTCCCAGAAAGCAGACAAACAATGTTCGGAACTAATTGAAAAATGGTGAAGAATAGCCGAGTTATTTTTTCGTCTTCTTCTCGCCGCTTATTAAAATATTTTTAGCGCTGTTTTAATGACTCAGCAGCAGTCAGCGAATTTCGCTGGTATTTTTTGTTTGGCTTAGCGCTATAAGGTCGACTCGAAATTCAACGACGATCATCGAGTACAGCCAGTAATGGAGTACACCCATATATATATATATTTTGTTAGCTAAAAAAACATATGTACAGCTGTTTAGAACGTACTGCCTTATCGAGAGTGAGGAATTCCGGACGAAAGCTGCCGGTTGATAGGAGCAAAAAATATGAAAAACAATAATTTAAAAGCGGAACTAAAAAATTGCTCATCGCTTGCCGTTAGAAATGACGTCGGTGTGTCTAACGGTTTCCTTATGTTTTCCCTGATCAAAA